CTCGGCAATGTCGCCGACATAGACTGACACGGGGTACTGCAGTGCCTTGAACTTGATTTCGATCTGCGTCTCGGTGCTTCCGCCAATAATCTTGGCCTGGGGATGCACACTCTTGATCTGGAGAAGTTGATCCAGGGTGACAGGCCGGAACCACTTCTTCCGCTTATTGCCGAAAGCGAGGGGCCGCAGTTCGTGCTTCTTCAGAGCCGGAGGGAAGATGAGCTCCGTATCAGGGTTGTATTCGATGAAACCCGGAGGAGTGAACCGTTTGATAGGCTGGTCGTTGTTCATCTTGTCCATGCAACAACCCCCCTCGGGCTTACCATTCCCATTCTCCATACAGCAACCCCCACCGCCGTTGGACTTGGACTTGCCACACGAGTTCTCGATGCTGAAAGTGTGAGCTGCGTCGAGAATAGACCTGTATCCTGTGCACCGACACAGGTTGCCGTCAAAAGCTTCTTCCATTTCATCCTTGGTTGGGTTGGAGTTATTCCGCAGCAAAGCATACAGACTCATGACAATGCCCGGCGTACAGAAGCCGCACTGGCTTCCATGAGACTTGGCCACCCGTTCTTGTGTGGGATGTGGGTTCTTTGTGTTGCCAATCCCCTCAATGGTAACGACATGCTTGCCATCGAGACTTACAAGAGGTGCCAGACAGGCGTTGACACTGGCGTGGTAGATTTGTTTCGTTGTTGGGTTATACTGGCTTACAACAATGGTGCAGGCACCACACCCACCCTCGCCACAGCCGCTGTTGGATTACCTGTGTCAGCTGGATCGTCCATGATGACGGGAACTCTCCATCAAGGTAAGGAAGCAAATGGGGGTTTCGTACAGTTTGGTTCCAGTCAGGCCAATGCCTCTCAGGTACTCGAGAACTGTGATTTCAGGATCAATGTCGTCGAGAACGACTTTGGTTCCATTGAGATAGAAGCGGATTGAGTCGTCGAACTTGGCAGTCAGAGCCTCCAGCGAGTCCAAGTGACCGTCCCGTTCGGGAGATATGGCAATGGGGGCCATTGTGAGGACGAATAACGGAGGTGAGAGAGGCGATTAGGACATGGCAGAATGAGATAGACGACCGAGGATGATGATGATGATGATGATGATGATGATGATGATGATGATGATGGGGGCAACTAGGAAAACAAAGATGCAGGATCGATGGATTATTCGATGCAACTGATGCCACAAACACGCTTTGAGATTGATGCCGATGGAAGTTGAAACAAGCAAGTCCAGCATGTATGCCTAAATCTTGTACCAAAGTGGCGACACGACATTTAAGTTGCTGGGAGAGGCGGTGGTACCTGGTAGTACCCAAGGTACCTGACTATCGCCTCTCCTGTGCGCTTCAGCCCAACGACGACCCGTACCCGTACTTTCCGCTGCAGTACCCAGTGCCGGTGCATTCGCCTGCTCGGATACTAGCCTAGTGGGTATAGGATACCTGTCCATATCAACGGCACGGGGGCAAGATAAGAGCTCCAATGTTCCAATTGCAATGCAGCTCTGACACTCTCGCTGAGCTAAAAGGCAAACAATGCGTGTGACAGGCATTCCCCAGGACGTGCGAAAAAAAGGGCAAACCGGTGAGATGCTGCAAAGTTAAAAATGGTTGGCACGTGGCGGAACTCCCAATCCCGTAAAGCCGATGCCAGCCCTGTGTAAGCCATGCCATGTGTGCCTTGCTTCTTTTCAACCAAGGGTTAATTGTATACCACAACTGCTGTAAATTGATTTAGTTGAAGATAGGTAGGCACTTAGAAGGTGTAATCTGGCGAGTCGATAGATGATTTGATGCTGAAATGATCGATGGTATCCTGATTTCCCGTCCATCGACACTGTGACTTATATGGAGTCGATACAACTTGGAACTTGCCTCGATCCCTTCCCATTCAAATCGGCCCTCAATCATTGGAGCCCATCTCCATCAAATCCATGTCAATCCACCCCCCCAGAACCCCCCAAAACATACAAAATCAAAGTGTCCCAAACTTGTGCCATCATTCCCCAGGTGTCAAATTCAAACAGATCGCCGTTCCGTTCCGTCACCCCCTCAATCGAACCCCACCGGGGAAAACGCGCTTCGGCCGGCTCCGCTGCTGAGATGCTACTCCACCTATCGGCAAGCTCCACGATGCGACGAGAAAAAGGCGAAGATGCAAAAGGCTGCGTAATCTCGACTAATCGATATGACTATTTGTGATACGCGACGCATTGATATGGACGCCGGGATATCTGGATCAGAGCTTTGGCCATTTATAAGCTGCGCTTACGGCGTGGCGTTGTAGGCAATCAAGGATAAGGAAGAACAGTCAAGATACCTAGATGAAGAGGACTTCCCGCTAAGCTTGTACTCGTACATGCCTATAATATCGTTTATTGATGTTCCTATGTGGAATGGAAAATCTATTTTATCCAGCTTTCTCATCTTACATTACCTCGGCCTCGAGTGACGTTGAATTCCCTCCTCTGTATCCTTGAAAACCTAGTCTATTTCATATACTTCTTCAGCCCCCTCAGCCTGTTCTTCGCCTCCTCCAATATCGAGTCCTCCTTGCAGACCGCAAATCGGAGATAATCCTCCGCCATGTGCGCATTCTCATCCGTGTAAAACTCGGTCGGTGGGATAGCAGCAACGCCAACCTCCTGGATCAAGAACCACGACAGCTTAAAATCTCGCGGCCGGCTTGCCACGTGGGGAGGGAAAGGGTAGTCTTCCGGGAGTTGGACCTTGTTCATGTTGACGAGAACGAAGTAGCCGCCTTCGGGTTCTGAGTAAGGGAGGCCGAGTTCGTCCCAGACCTCGTTGAAACGATCCATCTTGCCCTTCATGTCGCGGATGGCATCATCCCAGAACCCTTCGGCCTCGGCCTTTTCGAATCCAACGGCGCAGGCTTCCTGCAGAGGCGAGACAGACGAGTAGCAAATGCGCGTGTGTGCCGCAGAGACATATTTGATGAGATGCTCCGGGCCCATGAGCCAGCCTGGAAACTTCAGGTCAGCATTCAGGAATCTTCGTCAATGCTCACAGCATAGGTGTCGTACCAACACGCCAACCTGTGGCGTAAAAGTTCTTGCCGGCAGATCCAACCGTGATGGTCAGCTGCTCGATTTCAGGAGACAGGGTCGAGATTCTGGTGAAAGGCACGTAGAACAGGCGGTCATACACCTCATCGGAGAGGATGATGATATTGTTCTTGACACACAGGTCGCCAATCTTTTGCAGTTCCTCTTTGGAAAAGACCTTGCCAACGGGGTTATCTGAAACATCATGAATTCTCGGGCTCTCGTGTCAAAACGTTGATTAGGGATAGACGTACGAGGAGTGTTGAGGACAATCATTTTCGTCTTGGGAGTAATGGCTCTCTCCAGCTCGTCAAAGTCGACGGTCCAATCGGCTGCTGAGGAGGTCTTGGTGGCTCCGGTGGCCGGAGGGTGCATGGGCACATAGACAATCTTGCCGCCAGGCATCTCGATGTTGCTGATGTACCTACAGTTCCATGTGATTAACTCATGGCCAGCAAACATTGTCGTGGTATGGTGAAACGCATGATACGTACTGGTCGAAGAAGGGCTCAAAGATGATGACCTCGTCACCCGGCTCAATAAAAGCCATGAATGCACTGAGCATACCTGCCATCACCCACCATTGTTAGGAAATTAGACCACCCTCAGCTCACTCAAACAGCAAACACATAACACGACCCAACTCACCCTCATTAGCTCCCGTCGTAATCGTCACCTCCGTCTCGGGGTCGATCTTCCTCCCCCAAAAGGGCGAATAGGCATCGGCAATGGCCTTCTTTAGTCTCGGCCTCCCCTTGGTGGGCGAGTACTGGTTGCAGTCGACGCGGTCCAGCGCCTCCTTGGCAGCGTCGAGAATGAATTTCGGCGGGTTGTAGCCGAAGAAGCCCTGGCCCATGTTTACAATGGGCTGCTTGGGCGACGCGGCTGCCGCCTCATTGACAATGGTCCTAAACCGTGTTCAATCTCGCCTTAGCATTTCTTTGTCCTTTTTTCTTCTTCTTTTGTTTCCCGCTCATCTTACAGCCGGATACACGTGAAAGCCACCACTTACCACACATCCTGCTTCTGCCCCGACACTCTGGCCGCAGGTTTCACCTTGAAGCTGCTGCTCATGGCCGAATACAATCTTATGACAGCTGCGCTATGCGCCACGGGTCCTTTGCTAGCTGCGAACACGACTCGACTGCGGACGGTACCAAGAGAAGACGCTCGCAGAGCAGAAAAAGACATTGAAGAAGGGCAAAATTTCAACGCCCGCTTTTCACCTTTTCTTTCTTTTCTCAAATGGGTTAAAGTAGCCGGTGATGCAATCGATTAGGCGTGCGAAAAAAAATAAATAGCAGAGGATAAGGTCGCGGATTGGGTTCCCACCTCTCTCTCCCTTTGGGCTCGATGTGCCGGCTATAGCCACGATAAGCAACAAAAGACGCGGGAATTGGCCGTGGAAAACACGCCAAAAAAAAAAAAAGAGGCACGGCTCGGATATGAAATAGTAATCGATGTGCCCTTGCAGATCGCGGGATTCCTCAAAGAATCTCTTTGTGACGGTGAAACGTGGTTGCGACATCGGCTTGAACAATTGACTGAAAACAGCCCGAGCGGGATGACTAAGGGATTGCGGGGGTTTAGGCGATGGCGTCAACGCTCATCAACTTCATTGATCAGTGCTGGTCCCATTTTGGAGTTGAGCACATGAAACGAAGCCATCTCGGGTGTGTTTTTTTTGGTATTTTTATTTTATTTTATTCCCAACTACTTCCTAGACTACCTAACTATATGAATATGAGTTTTCCCGTATCCATTCAATATCAACCAAAACCTTCCAAGCATAACAATCTGACGATACAGCTCAATCAATCTCATCTCAGAAAAATCAACAAACAAGAAAAATCAACCAACAACCAATATTTCTCCCCAGGTATTCCATCATCAAGTCGGTGCACATAAATCTGAGTTGCCTTTTACCAAAAAGAAGGAGGCGTGAATCCCTCAGGCGATCGAAGTCCCAATCCCTCCGTGCCCCTTTCCCTAGACTCTTCCATATCCATATCCAACTCGTCCAAAAGCCTCTCGGCCTCCTGGCTGCAATCCGCCGCCGAAATACGCCCACAAGACGCGCGAATCAGCATGCGTCTAACAAGCTTCACCAGTCCGTCTTCTGGATTCAGTTTCTCGAGGTCTCGTGCGTGCTTGGTACAGCGTTTGGAATGTTCGTACACGTCCTTGTGAATCTTGTTCCTGTTCTTCTGTGTGATGTCCATCCGCGGTACTTGCGCCATCATGGTAAGCAGCGTAACTCCGAGAGCCCAGATATCGTCTTCCTTGCCATTGCGAGGGATATTCTTCGTCATCTCTGGAGACCAGAACTTGTACGTCCCAGCCTGCAGGCGATGATGTTTGTCATTATAGACCTCGGTGCCTTGGACTTTGCAGTCTGCGCAGTCGGCCAGAACGACCTCGATGGGCTTTAGCTTGCGGATAAGAATGTTTCGCGGCTTAATGTCCGAGTGATAGTAATTCTGTCCATGGATAAAAGCAAGGGCATCCCCTATTTGGCTCATAACTCGGAGGATGTCCATCTTGCCCATGCCGGCAGAAGTGTGATGGATGTGCTCGGACAGGTCGCCATATGCACAAAGCTCGGTGATGAGGATCTTAGCCCCTGGGGCATCACCTTGCTGGTGGAATTCAATGAATTTCAAGATATGGTTCTAATGAACATGTCAGCTTGGTTCGTTCAAAAAGAAACAGCTTCTGAAATGAACAAGGCATTGTCAACGAAAAGTCAAGTACTCACATGATTGAACTTGAGAAGTATATCAATCTCCTGTTTCAGCTGCTCATCACAAGACGCCTTGCCGGCGAAAAGCTTGCCGTCTGCGACTCTCTTCATCTTATGGACTCTAGACCACGCTCCCTGACCCAAGACACTGCCGCGGATATACATGTCCGAGGCATATACGGCCTTATGAGCCATTGAATGCGCCTCGTCTGTTGAATTCCAAGTGCTGTGGGAGAACCCTGGCATCGGCAGTGCCGTCTGCGAGGGCCAAAATCCCTGGGCAGCGACAACGTCGGTGGAGTTGGTAGTAGACATGATTGCCTAGAGTTGTTGATGTGTTACAAAGAGAAGGTGTAAAGGGGTGTGTGGTAGAAATGTTGAAGGTACTCGCGTAAATGTGAACGCAAATGTCAACAATGTGAAAGTTTGGTGTTCAAACGCCGGAGCTGAAGAATATTTAACCAAGAACGAGGCAGGTTGTGATTGTGTAATGGGGTGGTGAGAAGAGAAAAGAAAAGAAAACAAACGGCAGATGGGCAGGTTAAATAGAAATCCAGTCTGAAAGTGTAAAGCCTCCTTTGGCCAGACAACGGAGAGACTTTGCAATTCACCTTCTCTCCAAAGGTAGCTCTACTTACAGTCAACAAGCCTAGGAGTGCATACTGTTTGTACTGGTTCAACAGCTACCCACTCCCTTATCGGACAAACATTGCGTTTGAGCATATCTATCCCCAGATGGCTGCTGTGGCTGCTATGTAGAATTCAATTTATACAAATGTTGCCCAGGAAACACACAAACTCTGTGCATATATAGTTTATGGCAAAGCAGGCGATTATCTTCAGTGTCAACAGCAACATGTTTTCTGTTTATCTTATATGACGACTTCAAACACAAAACGAGACATCACCAAACCAAGTCGAGAACGATGAAAGAAAAATCCCAATTGTCGTGTGACTACCTGCGGTATGTAATATAATAATACACTTACGTCGCCGTAACTTTCTCCTGGTAAAAGAAAAAAAAAAGCAACCGCAGCAATCGTTGAATCCTCCTCCGCTTCCAACGTGGCAATGCCAGTTTCTTCTAGTCTGACCCTCAAAACCGATCGCCAAATACTCCCGTTCCAACGCCAAACGGCAATTTCAACAGCCAAAAAGTAAGGACACAAAAGTCCAGATAAGATCCCATGTTTTTCCATCGACTGTGCCGTTATAACGTCGTGTACGTAACCTTAATAAATCATAATGTGTCTGACCAAACCGTCTCCCCCGAAAAGTTAAAAAGAAGAAGATATGAAGAATTTGTACAGGCGTACGAGAAGCAGCACCATGATCTGCTGTGAGGCGAAATAGAAGTGAAACTAGGATGCTGCCCCTTTCAACTTTTGCTCTCTGTTCAGTTTGAAGGCCGTCGCTGGGACGCTTTTCTCAGATTTTCCATCATCCGCTCGACAAACTCCATAGATTCGCAGCCCGGAACGTCTGGAAATCCTTCGGGCTGATGATGCATTGTAGATTTTGTAGGAATGGACTGTGGGGCTTGGTCATCCCCAGCCCGCGTATTAGTTGTGAAAATGGTTGACATTGCTGAAGCCGCAGACGTTGTCATGCCCGGAATTAAATTATTAGAAGTACCATATGGTGATTCAGTGATTGGCGCCACAGCCTCTCGAGAAACATCAGATGGTTCTTTGGGTACGAAAACACTTTGATCATAGTCCCTCGGAAAAGCTGGTTGTGAAACCTGTGGTAACATCGGAGGTTTGGCTATTGTAGATGGAGACAAAGAGGCCCCTGTGTTTCCTTGGACTGCCATTGAAAATTTGGGGAGCGGCACTGGAGTTGTGGATATCCTCTGAGGTGGTTGCACCGCTTTGGGTGTTGAACTTCCAGGGCTTGTCGACTCTTGTGGAGGTGATGGCGAGGATGCCACAGCTGCTTTTGTGCTGGGAGAGGCGGCCTGGGGACTTCCCGGTGGAAGAGGTGAATGTTTAGTGGAGGAGGGCGCAGGTGTACCGGGCGAGGAGGTCATGGCGGCTAAGAAATTTGCTGGCAAAGGCACTGGAGATTGCTTGGACGGAACCTGCATTGCGGATTTAGTCGCTTTCAGAGACAGACTGATAGCAGCGGGTAAGCCAACCTTGTACGACTTGGAGACTGGGGTTGGCTTGGGCTTGCTGGGCGGCTGGACCATGTTCCTATACTGTGCTTTGATCGCCGGATGGTATTGGTGGCTGGCAGTTCCTAATATCGGTGCAGGGAGCGTGGAAGCAGTTTGCTGCGCCGACGTCACTGTCTGGTGTGATACGGAGACAGCTGGGCCACTGTGCGGTGCAGCCACAGAAGGTGAGGCCTGATATGGTCCCGGAGTGCTCACTGGAGACATTGCAGTCAAGGATGCCCGTCGGAGAAGATCATTTTGATTTGCTAGCAGGTGTGCTCTCAAATCGCCTTCGTATCCATTGGTGAACCCGCCCCATGGAGAATAAGGGGTTCGGTATTTGGATGGTTCTCTGTACAATTTAGGTTAGTACAAGTTACTCTACACTGCGGAACTGTTAAGAGACTTGCCTATTGTGATTGACTTGGAAAAAGGGGTACTTTTGATAGACCGACGAATGAACTTGCCAAGTGGGCTTGCCATATTGCTGCGAGCCTTGGGTAGTCGGAGCATTCCTGTAACTTGTGAGAGTTGCCGAAGACCTGGCCGTCAAAGATGCTGGGAAAGAAGATTGAGGCTGTGGCTGTGGCTGTGGCTGTTGCTGCGGTGGTAGGGGTGGTGGGAATGCGTGAGCTCGAGGGATTGCGTTTGCCCCAGCCATGTGGTCAAACCGCTGTTCTGTATATGGTTGATATTGATTGTGAGATTGTTGATACTGATGGTGAGCGGGAGGAGGAGCGGGATGGGGATGGGGATGCGCTTGAGGATGAGGATGAGGATGGGCCTGAGGATGAGGATGAGGGGGAGCGTTCGTCCCTTGGAATGAAAAGGTTCCAGGGAGTTGGTGAGTGTAGCCAGCAGGGTTTCTTGGTTGATAAACGTATGGTCTTTCTAAGCCCGTAGCGTTCGTGGGCGTCATCATGTGGCCCGCAAAAACACCCGTGTGAGCGAATTGGCCAGGAACCCCATAAGCTCTCTGTTGGTATACAGGTCGCACGGGTACAGGCTTGGGGGGCTTCGGAATTGTATCCAGGAAATTACCCTTGGGGTTGTGCCGTGGGTTCGACGGATCTTCGGTATACTGAGCTCTCGCCTCGGTCGAAGTCTTTCCGAGATAATACCAAACCTGGTCTTGTTTGCTGAAATCGACCTTGACCTGCTGGGTGGTGACTTCGCTGGTGTGGAATTCTGCCCAAGAATAATCTCCCTCGACAAACGGGTCGCCCTTTCGCGGCTTGTCATCCCCTTGATGGCGCTTGGCATTCAGCTTATCCTTTGCCTTTTGTGAGGATGGCAGCGGGATGGCGTTTGCGGACGCCTTGGGTAGGTGGTAGTCGGATGGATTTGGAAGTAGTAGCCATTTCCACTCAACCTCGAGTCGGTCGCCATTAGGGACAAGGTCAAGTAATAGCATTCGCTCGTCTGGCCGATTTTCCACCACCATTCCGGCAAAGATTTCGCCTTTGTGATACTGCAGCTGGCAGATATCTCCCTTTTGGAGGGCCTCGGCGGCTTTGAGAATGCGAGAGTCTTCTTCCAAGGCATCGCCATCCAGCTTCTTATCACGCTTGGTGCGGTGGAAGCGGCAACTAAACTCAAAGGCCTGTTCTTTGTACTCCGTCCCATCTTCACCAAAGACGGGCACCTCTTGCTCCTCCGTAAACACTCCAGCTGCTGCAGCGCATGTTGCGTGATATGCCCTTGCGCATTTCTTTTGAGAACACTGGAAGCACGCCCCACGCTTCGATCGGCAAAATAGACATTTGAGATCCAGACGGTCCTTGTGCACTGCCGCGACGTTAGATACAACTTCTTTGCCATCCACCGTGTCGATGTATGTCTCAGGAATGTAGAGGGCGCAGAGGCGATGGGCTTTTCTGCCGTCATCAGTCGGTAGAAACTCGAGGTTCGGCACATCGTTGGGGCATAGGCAACAGGGCGGCTCAGCCTTGACTTTGAGCCTTAATCGGATCTTCTTGACCTTGGCCTTGGCACCCTTGTCTGCCCGGCCGCGCTTTCTCTTGCGGCTTGCGTCCTTGAACTTGACCCCATGGCCACCAGGAGGAGTGGGAAGCCCCGAGAGCTCGTCGTCTTCGTCTTCGTCTTCATCGTCTTCTTCCTCTGTCTCTTCGTACTCAGTCTCCTCGCCGCGCAGTTTACGCTCAATCTCGTAGACGTTGACCCATACGCTGTCTTGGGCCTGAGCACATTCGCACTTTTTGGCAATTTTGCCCATCTCCAGCCAGGAATCGAGAGCAAAGTTGACCGCCTCGGCGCAGTTGTACCCCAAATTGTAGCCGGAGTGATATCCGTAGGGGTAAGTGACGACAAATTCGCCAGGGTACGAGACGACTTTATTGACTTTGATACCGTAATGCTGCTGCAAGTGTTGGGGCGAGATGAGAAAGGCCTTGTGCCTGAGGAACTGATCGCAGGCTTTGGCATCAGCGGGCCAAATGCTCTTCATGGCAGTCTCGAATCGTCGAGCATCGGCCTGAGAAATGCTGTACCACTGCTTTGGAGCGCCAAAGTGAAGATAGTTGATGCTGTAAAGATCGACATCCTCGAGGTGCCACGCAAACGTCGCTTTCCACATGCCAAGATAGAGATATGCCGTATTGACCCCGGGGACCTTTGTGCCGAGAACGTCCAGGAGGTTGGGTAACTTGTTCAGATTCCAGTTCTCGGTCCTTTCATCAAAGAGTGTGCCCATCAAATCAGCACCATATAGTGGTTGAGCATATGTGAGGGTTTTCCAATATACTCTCTCCAGTTCTTCGCAGCGCTCAGGCGTGTAGTCGGAGATGTCCATCCGATAATCGAAATCCTTGAATGCAGCCTCATCGATGACTGCAGAGGCCTCTCGACGACTGAATTTCCGCCGCGCCGAGGTTGATTGAATCTTTGGCTTGGCAGGCCTAACACCGCCCATTCTGCGGACGGTAGGTTGATCATCTTCGTCTTCATAGTCCACCTCGGTTCCTAGCTCCTTTTCGATAGAGTCCATAACCTCGTCTTCCGCACCTTCGCCTTCAGCCTCAACTTTTGGCGAGACGGGAGTCATGGGGCGACTGTCCTCGCTCTTCTTTTGCTTTCCCTTCTTGGGTGGTCGTCCTCTCCCCCGAGTTTTCTGAGAGCTAGTGGTGGTGGTGGCAGCAGCAGTAGTATTCGCGCCCTTGGTAGCGGCAGGGCGAGCTCGCGTAGGCCTGGGCTTGTCTGCATTTGCACGCCGCTCTCCACGCCTGGCGGGAGGCTGATGTTCGCTCTGTTCGCACAGCTGCCTCCATTGCGGGATGTTGTAGGATCGTCCATGGAGGATGTTGACTTGGCGGTATGTGCCGTTGGACCCCATGATGTCCTGCTTGATTGGTTCGCGGACTCGGACCTGCTTTACGAGGTCGTCAAGGGGGGGCTGCGCATCCCTCCACTCATCTGGCGGGATCACCTTGATAATGCCCGACTTCATTCCATAGCTGTCGACTTTTGTCATCTGTCGAAAAGCAAGGCTCAACAGTTAGCGAACAAAGGCACAGAGCCAAACACAGGCAGACAAAGACAATTGGGACCCGAATGGCTGTCAACATACGAAACGCTTGAAGTCCTTGAACTGATCCATGGTCGGCTTGAAGACGGGCACATTGCCAGAGGACCAATGGTCTGGCTGGATGTCGCCAATGTCGTCCTCAAGGCCGACATCCGGAGGGAGCATCGGCGCATCCTCCAGCGGCGGCTCGTCCTCGAGGTCGCTCAGCTCCGAGTCGCTCGACTCCGACTTGCCGGCATCGTTGCTATCGGGCGGCGAGTGCAAGAAGGCGGGCTGCTTGGCGCACTCGATCTGGTCGTTGACCTGCTCCTTCAGCGCCTCGGCCGGCTCTGGGACGCAGGCGTCGTCTGACATGGCGGGTGGTTTCAGCTCGGCTAGGCCATCGAGCGGCTGATGGCGAGCGCAGACGCGATGCGACCAGGCAGGAGGATCGTGTGAATTTTTGCCGTATTTTTCTCCTAGTTGGTTGGTTTCGCAAGGCAAGGCGCGCGACGTACAAAAAGTCGAGATGCTCGGTGTGGGTGTGCGAGATGCGGTGCTTGCGCTGTGGTGCGTGGGACAGGGAGTGCGTCCACTGAGCTCAAGCCTGTAGGTTGGTGATGATGCGGAGAAATTCCCAGCGACGGGGGTGCGGCTGCCGGGAAAGAGAGCGGCTGCACTGATCGCTAAGACCTGCTGTAGTGGGTGCAGTGCAGAGGCAGAGGCTGCGGGCTACTGTGCTGTACCGTCAGCGTTAGTGGGCTCACAACACCTGAGCGTCAGGCCATTCCAAGCACTGGACGGAGCAGGTGCAGCGCTATGCATGCACTGGGCAGGGGTAAGGGGCCTCGAGGCGAATTCGAATGGATGCTTGTGCTTCCAAGCCGGCCAGTCTTTTGCTTCTTCTTACGCCTCGATGGAGTCGCTGTACCTGTAGCGGCGGTATGACACGAAATCTCTGCTGGACATGCCCCGGACTGTGCTAGAACTGCCGTCCACGGCCATGGATCTCGAATTTCAGCAGATCAATCTCACTCTTTCTCACCCTTGATTTTAGAGCTCAGGGCACGTGGCCGACACTCCAAAAGGCGCCTCTGATCAGCTGAATCCAGTTGCTTCGCCGCTTCCTAATGCAAGGGAAAAGCCAAACAGGGCTAAATAAGCGGGTCCCGAATCTGCTCCACACAAACAAAAGGTACAAGTCCAAGCAATGGGATGATCAATTCACGTTGCATCGGCCTGCATACGGCTGGCTTAGTTGGAAAAGTAGTTATACAATTAATCTTGCAAAGCCGTGCAGAGGGAGTGCGGGTATGGATGTATTAGTCGCCATGCCATGTATAGGTACAATGTAGTATGTATAGTAGTCAGTGGTTTATATTGTGACGCGCAAATTCAATAGATTAGACGGTAGTACGAGCACCAGAAGGAGGTGCGACATTCAAGGCAAGGGAGAAAAGCCGGGAAATACGAGCGTTTGTACGGAGCACATTTTCCTTTGCAATCTGGAATTTTGATGCCTGAGGCCGATCTGCATAGCACGCTTGTCCAAATCAGGAACACTGTCGTGATTGATAAGATCCGAATCTGGCCGAATACACGTACAATGGATTGAAATCGTGGAGGTGATGCTAATCGATCAAAGTTCTGAGGAGAGTCTTTCCTTATGACTGTGCAAGCCATCGGATAATCCTCTTATATGACATACCTTGCGTACAGTGTTGCCATGCAGACTCTCTCTATGGCCGACGGCGACATGCGTCTCCTCACCAAGAGCAAGATGGGCAAATGATGGACGGTCCCTTCTCGACGTCTCGCTGCAATTTGAAACAAAGCCAACACTGGATTTCTGTGGATTTCGAATGCAGTGAGAGGTATATGTGAGGCGCTGACCAAATTTAAGAGAAAAAACATCAGGCCAAGAAGGGGGAGTAACAAAGTCGGAATCTTGCGTGAGTATTTTGTGCCAAAGCCAGGTGTAAATCTAGCAGCGTTCATCAAAGCGCCTTTCCACAAGGTGACATTCTGATGATACGCTGCCACTATGAAGGCATCGCCAGTCTTGTCTATATTCAGAAAAGATAAAGGAAAGTTCAAGCAAAAGAGCAAAAAAAGGTTCCAGGGGGAGTCGAACCCTCGCTGGCGGAATCAGAATCCGCAGTCATAACCGTTAGACCATGGAACCGTTTGAAGCGGTGATCCGCTTCCCATGGGTGGTGATTGTGGGAGGCGTCCTTGTTATTGGTTATGAAGGCTGACTTACCATGGTGGGCCTTGAGCAAAGCGGGGGCTACACCCTCACTCCAGACAAGAGGCTGAAATGACGAGATTGATGGCATACGATTAGGTATGAAGGCAATCAACTGTGACATGTACGAACTAATCTTTGACAGGTGACAGTTGTTAGATAGCGTAAATGGGAGGTTAATATAAATCATGCATCTTACTTTGGGTATTTAATGCCGTGAAGGTGCTTAAAGTGCCTGAGTTGGTTCATCACGACTTAGACCGGTAAACCACTCTGACGGTTGTCCAAGAACAAAGAACAAGTACATCCAGTCTTCGCCCAACGACATGATGTGATTCTGAAACATGGCATCTCCAACAATGGAAATTTCTGCATCATGAAAAGGCTAAAGATTACTTTCCAACTCGGCTTCAAAAAAGCGAGCGGAAAAGAAAACGGGAATAGCTTCGCTTTGTCTTAATAGCTAGTCTATTGACTTTCCCCTTGACGTCACTCAACGCCGCACCTTTGTGCTTCGTCATGGGCGTCAGAGTTGAACCTATTTCTCCACAACCTCCAGAGCTTGGCCGCAAACATCCAAGAGAGAGAACTTTGACAGCGACAAACTCGAGTGCGCGCAATTATTGCCGGCCACACTCCAGAGCGAGAGAAAAAGCCTTGGGACTTGGCCTCGTCTCCTCAGCCGAGCCTCTATCGAAGCACTTGTCACAAAGCCCCGCACCTCCATCAACACCATCTAGGCCTTTCTCAGCAACATCACAGCGCACGTCAGGATGCACGGGACCAGCCACCCGCCCAAGCTGGCCGGACGCTGCCGCTCAGACGGCCCTGGGATTCGCTGATCGCGGCGTGGGAACCCCAGCTCTATGCTTGTTTTAACCAACGGCGGAAATAGCCTGATGCGGGTTGGCGAGCTGCTTGTTTACGATTAGATAGCGATTCCTTCTGTGCTTCGAGTAATTACTACACCATGCGATGGGTGGCTGACATGCTCGGGGGTACGAATGAAGGCTTGAATTCCAGGCTCTTCTGGGGGTCCGAGTCGAAAGCTCTTTTCTCCCATCATGTCCCTCAGCCACCTGCGACTTGGGTTGACGTGAGAACTTCTCCTCGTCATCGCCTTTGTTTATCGCGTACTCGCAGTCTCTGGCCCTGAAAATATATCGGGTCGTTTGATCTTATCTTCTATCTTTGACTGAGAGCTTTATTTGAACTGTCTAGGTACTATTTTCACTTGGCCGAGAAGAGCAATAAACACCAACGCAACAACAATATGGCGTCCCTTCCAAACGCACTGTCCCTCTTTCTGTCGATAGCGGTCCTGGGTCTATGCATCTCAGCGCAGTCCAACGATAAGCCAAACGCAAAAGTCTGGGCGGTTCTTGCGTACATCAACCATGGTGAAAAGACTCCCACTCTTGGCGGCTTCAATACCGTCCTCACGCCCATGGGAGCTCGGCAGATGTGGAGGCAGGGGAGCGCCTTTCGCAATCGCTACTTGGGCACCGAGAATTCCACCTCATTCTCAGATTCAACGGGAAACTACACTATTCAAGGCATAGCCAAAGATGCCATCGACAATGGCCAGCTCACCATCATGTCGCAGGCGGACGACTGGGTTGCCGGGGGCGCTGTGGCTTTTATGCAAGGCTTGTACCCCCCGACTACGGACTCGTTCAACAACCTTGCCGGTGGTGAAGAGATGGCCCAAGATGTCTTGTCCGGTACGGGACCGATTGATTATCCTCTAGGAGGATATCAGTACCCAAGTATCGAGACTCTCTCCATGTCAGACTCGGCATCAGTTGCGTAAGTGGCTCACCGTGTGAAGCATTCTATCATCTTTCATCTTGTGTGCTGACTTGCTCCCGGATATGAAGCATCCAAGGCACTGTTGGCTGTTGGGCCTGGGATACCAACGTGAATCTGATGAAGCAAACTGATCCCATAGGCCGCGCAAGGTCAACTCAGAGCCTCTATAGGTCTCTCTTTGCCACCCCTCCTCTCCAGGGCACCATATCCAACGGCTCGGTCAATTATTGGAATGCGTACAACATCTTCGAATATGTCAACTATATGAATACGCACAATAAAACCGTCAACACTGGCTTGGGATTCGCCAACACCACTATTGGTGTACTCAGGAAGAACGCCTTTGATCTGGAGCGGGCCAAGAACGGAGACAGCCTGAGCAGCGTCCCAAACTTTACTTACAACAATATCACCACTATCGCCGGTCAAACCCTCGCCATGCAAATCGCAAGTTCGCTCAGTGCCGCCACCTTGGGAAGTCCTAATAGCAAACTTACGCTCATGTTTGGCTCCTTCGAGCCCATGTTGGCCTTCTTTTCACTCATGGGGCTCTACAATACAAATAACCTGCTTTCTGGACCATTCTCTACCCTTCCAGACCCCGGTTCGGCCATGATCATTGAAATGATCGGCCAAGACTCGGGAGACAGCGCCGGTTTACCAGACGCTCAGGAATTCATGGTTCGATTCACATATCGAGCCAATGCCGATGTTGGCGAACAATTTGCAGTCTATCCACTGTCTTCAGATAGCTCCGATAGTCTGGTTATACCTTTCACGGAATTCCTAGGCCAGCTTCAACGTGTCTCTCAAGACTCTTTACAGTGGTGCAGCACTTGTCGGGCACTATACGCGCCTTGGTGCACCTCAAGGTCCACGTCTTCTTCCGACTCTTCTTCTACATCCAAGAACTCGTCCGTCAGTGCCCCCGTCGCCGGTGTTATTGGTGCCATGGTGACGTTGGCTGTGACTGGTCTTGCTGCACTCGCTCTTTATTTCTGCGGAGTGTGTACTTTTGGACGACGCGCAAAATCCAACTTGCGGAGCAGCTCCCCTGGCGGCTTCAAAGGAACAGACAAGAAGGCGAGCGATGTCGACGTTGCAGTCACGAAGCGCGGAATGGCGCACGAGAGGATGGGCAGCTGGGAATTAAGAAACGGGTCAGGCCGGCCACCGACTGGATCTGCCGGCATAGCGACGACGAATCTGGGGAATGACACGCACGACCCACGACATTTTGATGACGAGGACGACATGAGCATCATGGCAGCGCAGCCCGTGAAAATCCGCGAGAGCGTCTAGCGCTTGGAGATGGAAAGTTGCGAGATTTGGTATATGATATCCTGCTTTGTGCTGTATTTACTTGTCCATGCCGTTGGATGATTGGAGGATTACCAAGGTAAAATCTTCGACTGGATCAAGAGATGGTGGAGTCTTGTTTGTCTTCTTCTCTTATTATTCAATTCACCTTGGCTACGTGTGCCGTACATGAACTCGGGATGAGATGTCCCTTCACATGTGCCCTTCTATGATTTATCAGCTTGACGTGCCAGCAAAAGTGCCAGAAGCAGAAGTGAAGCATAAGCCAGACATCACAGGTAGGATCAGCGCGCTGGGATGAGATGAGTCAAGCGGCATGACATGCAGCAGTAGCTGCTGTTGGACAGACGTGCTCTCCACCTTGATACATAGCGTCGCACTACTGATCCAACAACGGTCTCTTGTCGAGGAATTCAAAATATGCGTCTTCATCGATATGCTGGGGGTCGTCGTCGGTTCGTCTCATTTGTATTCCATTCTTGGCGCAGCATAAACCCAGCTCTCAGACTCATCTCGGGCCGTGATCGTGAAATATTCAAAGCCCTGTCCAGCCTGCGCCTGCGCGCATCAGGCTTCCGCCTAGAGTCTCTCTTCTTGAGTCACGGAAAGAAGCCCGTCAAGCGTCGTGGCTTCAGACCCAAGGAGTCCTTCATGGACCAGCACCAGCCGCTGTCTCATCGCCCCAAACAGTCCTTGAGCATCCCACAAGGGAAGCGATACGTGTATAAGCCCCTTAGAGAAGACAAGTGCGTTCGGTTCCTCACTCTTCAGCCGGGGTCAGGTTCTGACCCTTTAGTCGGGAGCCTCGAGTTCGGGAGCCTCGACCCGGCGGACCTTGCACAGCTTCCACCTTATGAAGCCATCTCGTATGTATGGGGTACTGGTGGTCGTCTCTTCGAGCTCATATGCGATGGCGCCATCCTGCCGCTGACGCAGAGCATTCGCGATGCGTTGGTGAGGGTTCGGCTGCCGGATCGGCCTCGCCGACTGTGGGCGGACCAGATATGCATCAACCAGGACGACATTGCGGAACGGAGCCAGCAGGTGAAGCTCATGAATGCGGTGTATAAGAATGCCAGCAAGGTGCTTGTGTGGCTGGGGAGGGATGTAGACGGTGTTGCTGCGGATGCGGTGCGAATGGTGCATTATCTGGATGGTGTGTTCAAGGATGACAAGGCTCATGAGAAGTTCAAAGTTGATCACGAGGAGAATCTGGTGATGCAGAGCTCGGAGCGTTGGATCCCTCTGTCAAAGCTGACCAAGCTGCCTTGGGTAAGTACATTATATAAACCCTCCGCTACCGCAAGATGTGATGTCTCGAGTATTGACGACATTACTCGCTTTTGATCACTTGCAAGTGAGATCAACTTCTGACATTAAGCCTCAAGTTTCACCGAATATGGATTGTTCAAGAGATTGGAACTACCGCCCCGGCGACTCTATACTGGGGAGACACCGAGATGGACTGGGACATGCTCTCCTTTGTCGCCGGGATCCTCAACGAGAGATACCACCACCTACGCACGCGCTTCTTCATTGGCACCTCCAACATCCGCTACCTTCACAAACGCTTCGTCGAGCCAGACGTGGAATACGACCAGTTCCACAACAGAGGCAACTTTGCCTACGAGCTTCACCGCGCCAGGCACCTCCTCGCACAAGACCCTCGCGACCACGTGTACGCCTTCTTGGGCCACTTCTCCCTCGGCAAGGGCAGCGAGGAGCTACAAAGCCTCGTGGTGGACTATTCCAAGAGCATCGAGGAAGTGTATTTCGACGTTGCGGTGAGGGGCCTCCGCGGAGCCAACGATCTCGTCATGTTGGCCGCGACGCATCACAGCCGGCCCAACGGGAAGAGGCGAGCGCCGGGGAACGAGCAGGAAGCGGACTTGCCATCGTGGGTTCCCGACTGGAGGGACTTGCCGATGCATATTCTGGGTTCGCCTGCGGTGCCGCATCGGGCGGCGAAGGATACCAGGCCGGATCTCACCATTGATGAGGACAGACGGATCCTGCATGCTCGTGGTGTTAGGGTCGATGTCGTGGAGAGGCATTCGTGGACGATTTACGGGACGGCGTTTCAGGTGCGGCAGGACGATCACGGGCCGAAGAAGAAGTGGTGGAAGCATCGTCCAAGGGAGAATAGTCAGGCCAGCGACCATCAGTCTCAGCCTCAATCCCGGAATCAAAGTAATGATATTCGCTCGCCCAGCAGCAGCAGCACCTCAAGAGGGGGCAAGAATACAAATACCACGAGAGGCAGCAGCAACTACCACCGCGGCCGCAACTCTCATCAACGACGAAACAGCCAAAGCGAACAATCCGGCTCTCGCACACACCCCATGGAAGTCCTCTGGAAGCACATCTGCGGCTACCAAACCTTTACCCTCTCACGCATATACCCGCCCTTTCTCAAGGACCCTTGCTCGTCTCCCTCTCCGTCCCCGTCCATCCCCACGACCTCGCACGATCACCACAAGTCCGCCTTCTTCGCCCTCATCCAGACCCTCACCAACGCCTGCACCGGCATGGACCGCTCGCGGCCTTACTCGTCCATTTCGCCGGATGAATGGCTCGCCAGCGGAGCAGCCTATCTCGTGCGCTCTGCACTGCCCGCGTCTTCATCTTCGTCTTTATCGCCTTCGCAGACGTTTCCCTCTTTCTCTTCCCAACACTCAGAAAGCAACAACAACAATAACATCACTTATAACAGCAGCAACAGCAGCAACAACAGCAACAACAGCAACAACAGCAGCAACAACAGCAACAACACCACTAATAACAACAAAAACGTAATGTCCAACTTCTTCGAGAGAGCAAACTCCCTCGCCTCGTCATCACACACCCCCATCTCCCCCGCCATCCACGCCCTCTCCCTCACCGGCGACCCCTTCAAATGGAGCCACGAAGCCACCCTCATCACCCGCTACCGCCGCTTCGCCGTCACCCGCAACGGCTACTTCGTCCTCGGGCCCGACGCCCTGCAGGAAGGCGACGTCGTGGCCGTGCTGCGCGGCGGCAAGACGCCCTTTTTGCTGCGCGAGGTGACGGACGGCAGTGGCAGCGGCAGTGGCTGGATCCTCGTCGGTGAGTGCTATGTGCATGGGTTGATGGATGGGGAGGGCTGGGATGTGGAGGGGGCGCAGGAGGAGGTGTTTTCGATACGATAGGGGGGGAGGAGAATGAAACAGACTGGTTTGTCAAAGGGGGCGAAGGGGGTTGACTATGTGACGGGACGTGGGCTAGAAGTGTGTATGCCCTTGTATAAACACCATCTAACTAATACACTCGATGATTCTTCACTATATTCAGTACCGAGAATGAGTCTCTGCAGCCATATACATGGTCCATCCTCACTGCCACGATGTGATATTTAGGTAGTTGTCAAGTGTACCTAGTTGTGACGTGTTGTAAGTGTAAATGACTGTCCATCCTCGAGCAAGGCCACAGCTTTTACGCATCACTAGATAGATCCCAACTCCTCTGCACTCTTATTCTTCTCCGCAAATAGATTACTGTTCAGAATCATCCTACGCCATGACTTGCTCTCACAGCTCATGTTAACTCTACACATATACATCATTACAAAACCTCACACACACATACAAGGCACATCTCGAGTAGGCAGGAATTCAAAGTACATCATGAAAATATTTTTGGGCATTTCATATCCACTCCGCTTCTGGCCGAGTGAACCTTTGCCTCTCATCTATCTATACAAAATCCAAACATGAAAAAATAAGACGCCAACCCTATCCGGCCAGCTCGTGAGTGGAAGTCGGGGACAGATTATGTCGCGCCCCTAGCTAAAAATGTGACAAAGGAAAATTGAAAAAAAGCGAGTAAAGCTACCGTCGATATTTGTGACCCGTCCCATTGTGTGTCCCAATTGATTCCCAAATGAAGAAAAGATAAAAACTCCGTCGCCGTTGCCTGGTCCAAGATTGTGTACATATGAGCCCTGGAATAGGTGGATAGAAACAAGCCGCTAATTAAGATGGTTTCGTGCAAAAAAAGATTTTTTTTTTAACCTTAGAGATCCATAGTCAAGATCTCTAGCCTTGAGACAAGAGACTCTATGCTGGCGCTTATACTTTGTACTCGGGCCATGGCAAATGCGGCACTGACTTCCTCTTCGGTGGCATCGACAAGCTCGATTCTGGACAGCATCTTCTCGGGCTCAATGCCACCAAAGATGTCGACGTGTGTCAGGCTGTCAGTGTCAAGGGCTTGGGACTCAGGGCGGGATGCTGTAGGCTCGGCGTGGAAGAGGGCGAACTCGGGGTCTGCCTCAAACTCCTCATCGACTGGTGCAGCCTCGGTTTGGACAACGGGAGCCTGCTCGATGGGTCGCTTGATGACAGGCACCTCAACCTTCTCGTCATCAGACTGGAAGGTCTGCTCGACGAAGCTGGATGTCTTGCCAGAAAGGATGCTCGACTCGATAGGAGAAGGCACCTCGGAAGTCTCCACAACGAAAACCTGGGGCTGGAAGTTGAAGCCGTCGAGGTTAAACATGGAGTAGTCCATGCTCTGCTCAGGGATCATAGCCATGCCAATCTGCTGTTGAGAAGGTTGAGCGCCGTAAGGGTTCACGTCCTTGACGGAGCGCTGCTCTGGCGACTGCTGAGGCTCAGGCTTGACCTGGGGCTGGGCAGCCACGGAGGGGTTTGAGCTGAGGTGGTCCAAGAAGTTGGAGAATGAGGGAGAGGAGAGGAGCATGCGGGTAAGAGCAGACAGGCGCTTGTTCTCCTCGACAAGAGCCCGGTTCTGAGCACGCAGATCGTTGTTCTCGGTGACTTTACCGGAGACCTCAGACTCGAGCTGGGTGATGTATTCTGTGAACGGTTAGTAAAAATTCTTTGTCATGACTACATTCATATAATATCTTACCCTTTCTTCTTGATCGGAATGCACGGGCGGAGACCTTGTTGCGCAGCTGTCTCCGCTCTTTGCTGCTGAGCTTCTTGCCCTCCTCGCTGGCCAAAAGGCGTTCGTCCTCATCCATTTCCTCCTCATCCTTCTTAGACCTACTCAGGTTGCTGGTGGGAGTCGGGCTATCGGATGGCGGAGGAGCAGGCTTGGCCCGCATCGAGTTGAGAAGCTGAGTGATCTTCTGCTCGACAATGGGGTCGTTGTGAGGCGACAGCTTGCCACGAGGCTTTGACGGGGCGGGCTGGCGCTGAGCCTGTTGCTGCTGCATGATGTGCTGCTGCTGCCTCTGTTGGGCATGAGCCTTGGCCATGGCAGCCTGAGAGTGCGCACCAGGCCACAGACGGCCGACACTGCCTGAATGGTTTGTAAGGACTGGCGAAACGATGTTCTCCTGCTCGATGTTGCTGGGGTTGATGGTGGAGAAGAGCTGGGAATCGGCGGGCGACTCAAAGTCCATGGCCTCGGTCGGTCCAATGGTGGTCTGCGAGGGCGAGGTGTTGAAGTCGAACACTTCGTTCTCGGGAGTGAAGCTGGTCAGGAAGTCGAGGTTTCCGAAATCCTGGTAGCCCGCGTTGCTCGACTCGTTGACGGCCATTGTGTTGGCGATGGCTCCGGGCACAAAGCCGGTCTGCTGGCGGTACATGTCATAGTTGTGACTGGGGCCGCTCAGGCTGGGTGTCGTCATCATGCTAGGCGTCGTCACGGCGGCGCTGACAGGGCTGGCGAAGATTGGCTTGGATGAAGACGAAGGAGACACGGACGGCGAGCCATAGCTGGGCATGGCATCGTACTCTGATAGATCGAGCAGCGCGTCCAGGTCGACGTTATTGTTGTCCGCCATGATAGCGGATCTGCCGGCGAAAGCGAGGTCGTTGGGTTCGAGTCGGTCTGATGCAAAGAATGATGCGTCACGACGGTTCGAAATGCAATGAACGGCTTTGTGTTTGATGGTTCACAAAGTCGCAGAATAATCAAAACCTTGGAATTAAGGATGTGCGAGTATTGATGAATACAGGTTTGAGTGCAGGATAAAGGTGACGACGACCGGTTTTGGGGGAGCGGCGATATTATGGTTGACGGGAATCTTAGCGGCTGGGCCTGAAGCCAAACGGGGGGCCGTGGCCACTACGGAGTGCTGGGACGTGCTAAAACACCTGGGCAGGCACCTGGAAAAGCTGCGCTCTAGGGGCTGCGCGGAGGCCCCTTGGCGTCTGGGCAGAGGTTGCAGGGGTGCGGCGGGGGTGCACGCACAAACGGGGCAGTGGACGCGTAAGCCTTTTTTTCCCTGAGCATTAAATGCAGTGAGCGGCCACTAAGGCGCAACCACTAGGCGCAGCCTTTGGCCTCTTTGGCCCAAGTGCGGGATGGATCTTTTGCAGCCTCTGCCTTTTGCTTGTCCATTGCCTGAGGGATGACGACGCCTGCCTGGCCGCCGGTCCACTCACAGCCGCTGGGCTCGCTCTCGTTAAATCCTCGAGCAAGCTCCGGTCGGGTGCGCCAACCGAAAGGCCAGCACACAGGCTCGGAGATTCGCAGGGCTGACGACCAAACCGACGACGCAGGCCGCGAGTCCAGTCCAGTCCCAGCGACTGCGATACGATAGTGTACAGCACAGCAGTCGACGAGATGGGGCATGGGCGATGCTACTGTGCTATCGAAAGAAGATGTGCTACAAAGATAAGCCCAAGGGAATTGATGGTGCTGGTGCTGGCGCTGGTGCTGGTGCTGGCAATCCGGACAATCAACCACATCAGTATTGCTGCCGGACAGCCAGTGTTAGCATCTCAACTATCGATTGATTGCTCCGGCTCCGGCTCCGTTGGCTCAGAATCCAAACAAAAAGGCACCCGAGCCCGTTCGCTCGCTTTTCGCTTTGGACTGGGCGTCGATAGTTTGGCTTTTAGGCCTAGGACCTGATCATCAGCAAACAAGATTCGTTCGTTCCGCTCCTTCGGGTTGCTCAACAGCCCGACGGTTCGTAATCATTCCTCCAGAGGCGCTACTTTGCCGGTACTCCCAGCCGCCTCAGAAGCCCACGTAACTCTCCCGCTGGTTCATGTATCTCCCAAGTCCATCCAACTGCTTGCGAGACCGTCTCCCCACTGTGGTGGCTGTGCACACCATTCCATCTTGTCCAAAGCATCAAATCCTGGTGGATGGACTGCTCGGTCTCCGAGCTGCTGAGTCACCACACTCGCTCGTCACGTGATGCTGCTCTCGCATTCGCTTGCAAGCAGCAGATGGAGATTGGCGGTGGCAGTGTTTCACAAGAGCATCTCGTTGGCTCAATCAAGCCCTTGCCAGCGTATCGCCGTTTGTCTTGATTGGCTCACACAAGCGTATTTCATCCTGCGGACGGGCCCGACTCCTGTCGAGCGTTGCCCGTTGGTTTGTCGACAGCGAGCCAAGGTCAAGGTGGCCATTGCGTTGCCGTGGTTGCGAAACATGATCTGCTATGCCCAACACGCCGTGCTTTGTTTGCCGTGAGATTGCTGAATTCATCTCTTCGGTTCCAAGGTCGCTAATTCACTCTCAAAGCGGCATGTACGAGCACATGTACATACGATACTCGCATCTACCGCCAAGGCCTGGTCCGAGTCAATGCAATCTCTCCCACCGCTCAGCTTCAGGATTGCTGTGGCTTAGGTCCTTGCCAACGTAACAGCAGCATCTAAGCCGGACCAAGCACCATCACTACTCCGTACTCGTACTGGTAAGTAGTTTTTCTGAATCCTCCTTTTCTTGGCCTCTGTGATTACTTTGCCGCCTTGCCGGTGCGCAGGAAACCATGTCGCCGGGCAGCGGCTGAGTCGGCAGTGAAGCTGCTCCTGAAATCCTCGCTGGGCGGAGTACCTCGTATGAAGAAGACGAATTTTCGAGAAGCATTGGTTGAATCTGAGGAAATGCCTGGCCCGTTGCCTTTCTCGCCTTGTTTCAATCACAATGCCCACCAGCCCTGCTGAAACTGTCTAAAGCTCCCAAGGCTATGCAACCCAACACGTGTGATGTTTCTATTTTTGACAATGCGACGTGTACCTTTTTTGCGATTCAGTTCGCCCTTCTGGAATATTGCATGTTTCCACAAGCAGCCCCGGAGTGGTGTTGATCTCAACTGACAGCAAGCCGTCCATTTGCGGTCGAGTCTTGATACCCACATGCCCACCCAGCACGGCTTGGACGCCTCGCCAAGAGCATCTTGACGTTTCAAAGTCTTCAGTAAGTTTACATAGTACATATTGATCCAATTCGTCTCTCGAGTATCCAATCATTATCCGGCTGGCTGTTCCGTGGCTGTGTTAAAGCCGAATGGCGTTGCGGATCATCGGACAATCTCTAGTCTCTGACATAATTCCACATGTCCGCCGTTGTCGAGATGTGGGTGCTTGAATCGCTATCCTGTTTAGGAAATGGATAGACGGAGAACGGCTTGGACGGACGCAAAACGGCGGTTTATTGTATCTCCGCCATCCGCCTCTTGTCTCCAGGTGGATGTGGTGGACTGTATTCCATATAATCAGATTGATATAACAAACTGCCAAGCAATGGAGCAATAAAATCACTAGTCTTGGACCATGGCGTTGCTTCTCACTTCTTGCTTTCTTGCTTCCTGTTTCTTGACATGACTTGACATGTGCACATCACATGCGAACTCCTGTCGGAAAGGGAACAATGTTCTCCCAGCTCCCACGTGATTATGTAATAAAAAAGCATCAAGCTGCCCAACATCATGAGAGAAACTCGCGTCAAAACTGCCAGATGGTCACGCATCTGGCTTCAGCACCTGATCAGTCAAAGCCCAGCCAGCTTCAGGCAGAGCCTTTGAAAGCGGCTGTTTCTGTGTTGCCACGGCCCGCCTCGCCGTCCGCTGGTATCGGGAGCTGTCGGCCTGCAACTCGAAGACGATAACGGGCGTCAAGGCTCTCTTTGTTCAGTCGCTCCGGACCCACGCAACTGTTTTTCCCGTTTTGATTTGTTTGCTGCTCGTGCTGCGTTCCTCTGAGCCGGACGACCCCTCTTGGTGCTTGTAACCGCCCAGCTGAGCGAGGGTTGATGCAAGATCCCAGCAGCTCGCTGATGCAACCTTGGGCGCGTGCTGAGCCGGTGAACTGTGCCTCTCTGCTGCTATGCTAACACTGCCCCCGTTCCTGGAAGACGCCGCGTTATGATATACATGTCTGTATGATAGCCACTGAAAACTCAACATGGGAAGAGCACGACGAGGCTTGGTCCCAGGAGCCGCCGCTGGGCCCAAGGAGCGGCACAAGAGAACTCAAAGATCGCAGTATCGCAACCCCTACTCGCCTCGACATGACGCCTTCGTGGCAAAACCGCCGCCGCCAAAATCAAAGCATCACTCATACTTCGAGCTGGTTGAGAATAAAGAAAAGAAGAAGAAGCTCGAGTATCAGGTACACAGCGGAAACGCTCCCCGTATGCCTGTCGCGTAGTGGAAATATACTCACAATCTCAGATCACGACGGAAAAGACCCCGCCACCGGGGTTCGAGTTTGTCCCCATCGGCAACCCCCAGCTTACCGCAGCCTGCAAGGAAATATCCCGCGAAAAAGATGCCATGATATTTATTGTTTCCGTGCGTTTACTACCGTCGTGCGCGTGATATAGCATTATTATCTAATCCTTGGCTTCTTAGAATGCAAAAGGTCTTGATGAAAGCAGCCTTGCCAACCAAGTGCATCGAATTGGCCATCATATCAGGCAAGTCATTGTTGAGGAAGCCAAGGCGAGCATCGATGACATGCCTCACCTTATCGGTGCGGTAATAGGCGCAGGCCCTGAGCCCATTCCTGAATCCCAGAGCGCCTATCATGCTCAAGTTGATGCCGCCATTAGGGACCTGTTTCCACGGATTCCCAATACTGACCGTCAGATGATTATCGAGCACTCCTTCACTCGGGTTTGTATTTTCTCCTTTCTCTCCCCATCTTTCCCCATGACACAAAAAGACCAAATGGCGAACAATAATATCTTCCTTAGGGATCAACTAATCGATCTGAGCATCCTGTCGGCTTCTCAGAAGACATTCCACTCTCTCGCAGAGTCCAGCTGGCAGTCCTTGCCCACATAAGGCACACTCATACGCGGTATGATGCACTGTTGAGGGAGACAACTTGGCAGAATGCACGACGAACTGTAGAATCTCTGTGTCTCGACATCCTCGTTAAGTGGCGGGGAGATGAGGAAACCGGTCGCGACCAACTGGACGAGATCCTGCGTGAGGTTGTGGTAATCTCTGATTCCGAGGATGATGACGATGAAGATGATGACGACGACTCGACCGACTATACGTCGGACGAAGAAGAAGCTGATCATGCCAGGCTCACACCCATGCCTGTGTCTCGGTCAGCACAACCTATCCGTCTTATATATCAGCCAGATCGCTCCCCTCCTAGGTCCTCTGTTCGAGAAGCGATCCAAGTGTTTTCTCCCCCCGCTCCAAATGGGGTAGCATTGGGGCACACTGATAGTGGTCGCAGAGTTGACAGGAGAGCTCAGCGTGGGTTCAGAAGATACCGCGCCTGGGAAGAAGCCATCAGACGTAATCGAGTGGAAACACCAGTGGCTGGGCCGCCCTCTCTGGATACTGCCATCAGTCATGCCGCATATCAGCCTTCCAGGCCTATTGGGCCTTCTTATGACATCTATGTTCGGCCATATGACAACCCAAGTCCAGTGGCTCATCCCCCTGGAACTTCCCCAAGTTTGAATAGCCGGATACAACGGCCCATGTATGAGGTACCATCTTCTTTGACTTCGTCACCCTACCGTGGTCCGCCTATAGATGCTCGGCCTTCTCACGAAAAGGTAATGTCCGTTGTGCCGTTCTCAGCCAGCACGTCATCTCGCGATCTGGCTTCTTCGGCTTCCAGTCATTTCTCAGACATGTTGGTGCGGTCTATTGAGCCGGCATCCCCAGCCGTGCAGTCCACATACATACGCACCCTACCCCCAAGGAGCCAAGTCTCGGTAAGTTCTTATGCAACACCGGTCACACCACTGGCCGGTTCTCAGCATCCCCCTAGGCTTGTTTCCAATCCAGGAGAAGGAATCCATTCTTGGGACCGCCCCCCAGCGCCGCATGTAACCTATGATGGACCGCAAAATGCCTTGGATTTCGATGCCATTTCCAGTAGAGATTCCATCCGTTCGCATGACTTCCGTGGCCAGACATATCCGCATCCCACGGCATATGGAGCACCGCCAGCATCTTCTTTTCCTCATCCGGCGTCAGGCAACCCAGTGTCAACTTCTTCTTCCAGGCTTCCGGAGATGAGGAGAATCGTTCTAAATGCAACCCGCCCTGGAGAGCGGTCAAATCCTATCCTTATGGAGGATCGAGGCGGATACTATGAAAGGGTCAACCCTCGACCTGAGGGTAGCGGGAGAATTCAACTACGACCCACTCGCCCTGCTCAGCCACCGGTAGAGGTTGAGGTCCAAACCACTGTCAGGCCTCACACGATTTTTCAATGGGAAGAAGATTCGAGACACAGAGCCGAGCGCCGGGGTGTTGCAGAAATCGAGGCCAATCCTCTATTCGATTCTCGCCCCCGTCCACCCCAAGCCCATACTCACCCCTACCCTCCTCGCGACTACTATGGCGCACCGAGGCTTGAACCACTGACCAAAGAGCCGGACTACAGAGTACAAACCCGGCAAGTGCCTAGTGGAGAGTATGCTGCACCACCTCCTGAGGGTTATTGGGTCATGTAAGTTGCAGACGCTCTTGTTTAGCATACGCCTTGAATTTGCTTTGGTTCAATACTCATATGTTGCAGACGACAATACGGTGACAGACAGGTCCCACGACCTCATCCCGAACCGATTTATCATCCCGCCACACGACCCCCTGGGGTAGATGAGCGGTATGACACTAGACGAGAGCACCCGGGCCTAGGTCAGCCAGTATCAAACGTAATTGTTATCGACTGATTACGTGACGTTTCCGGCTCTTGGGTTCCGATGTCAGCTCTCCTGCCCCTTTGTTCCTTGATCTTTTCTACATCGAGTTCCAAGCCCAGGCATTGCGCAACATTCAATGATGACGATTATGATGAGCACATCAAAGAGTTTAGAAGCATATACGGTTTTGTTTGTTTGTCTTTCAAAAAAATGGCAGGGCAAAAAGCATGGAGTGGAGGATTTTTGCTTGGTCGGACTCATGTTTATATACCCCCCAACGCTCTCCTTTTGCCGGATCCCGGCCACGTGGAAGCACCACTATTAGATACCCAGGGGGAGGCATTGGCGGCTGTTTGTTTTGTTTTTTTTTGTTTTTATTTGTTTTATTCGGCATGATTTGGAAAAGAGCATCAATGATGGAACGACACGTGCGAGTACATGATGCATCTTATGTTAGAAAGGGGGGGTAGAATTGAAGGCGAGCCGAGTGTTGAGTTTATTGTGTTTTAAAAAAATGGACACTTCAATTGTGATGTTGCCTCTTTTTCGCCACAGCTTACTATTACGAAAACATAAGAACATCATGAGCAGATTGTAGAACAAGTAAATATGTATTTATTTCGAGGACAACAAAAAACTAAATAGTTAACCACGCAACCCACATTTCGCTCACATTGTAGCGTGAGTCCAGCCAGCTCTCTTTCTTTTTTATGACCTGTGGGTATCCCATAAGATGCATACAAAGGCTATTTTCACCCAATCATGCCGTCATTTCTTTCATGCAAGAACGCTTCTCTCCTTAGGAATCCCGCCTTTAGTTCCGGCCTCCCCTCTTCCCCTTGCCCACTCCCGAGCCCGGGCCGTGTCTCTTCTCGGTGCCCAAGCCCCTTCGGCCGGCAGCGATGCCGCCCTTTCCGCTCCTAGGGCCGCCGAAAGAGCCGCCGCGACCTCCACGGCCTCCACGCATCGGGCCGCCTCTTCCACGGCCCCTGCCGCCGCGATCACGCCCGGGGCTGATGCTGTTCTTGACGGCCACGGCGTCGTCCTCGTCCATCTCGTCGCCGTCGTCGCCGTCCTTGGAGCGCTTGTTGGAGAACTTGAGTCTGCCGCCGCGGCCGCGCTTGGCAGCATCGCGGCCCTTGATGGCGGCGACGTAGGCGCCCACGCCTGAGTTTTCGGCGCCGCCGGCCTGGTCGACGTCCATTGCGCCCTCGTCATCGCTGTCCTTGCCGAGGATGAGCTTGCCGTCGAGATCGGTCTTGGCTTTTGTCTTTTGGGGCTTGCGGAGCTTGACGGGCTTGGTGGATGATATTCTAGCGAGGGCCTTCTTGTCGAGAAGGTCGAGGGGCTCGTCGTCGTCTTCGACAATGTATGTCTTGCCGCCCTTCTGGGCCTTCTTCTTGGGTCTCTGTGCGCCGTCGTCGTCTGACCCCTCAGACTCGTCCGAGTCGCTGCTATACAGAGCGCGGTCGTATTCGTTTTCATACTGTCGCTTGCCGTCGTCTTCTTCGTCGTCTTCACTAGCGTCGTCGTCGTGGGCACCCTTGGCAGCATCCTTCTTTCTCTTTGCCCTCTCCTTAGTCTTGCGAATGTTGGCGAGCAACTTCCTGTCAGTCTCGGGGCAGCTCTTGTTGATAGCGTCGAAGCCGAAGCGGCGGACCATGCGCTCCAAGATGTGCTTTACCTTGGCCTTGAAGTGACCCTTGTGTTCGTTGCTCCAGATGATCAAATTGGGTACCAGTGTATCCAGCCGCGGCATCATCAGCTCAACCGGCAGGCTGATGACGCAGACCTTGACGAAGCCAAGGCAGCTCTTGACAATCTCCCGGTTATTTGAAGTCAAGAAGAGATCCATGGTTTGCACCAGGTCCGACAGAGTCTGGTCGCTCAGAGATGATCGGAACTCGTAGAGGAGACGGCTGATGGCGGTGACTGACGCAGAAATCATGTGGGGGGTGCTTCCGGCCAGACCAGCGCTCACCATAGTGAAGAACTCTTCGATATTGGCAGTGGCGGCTGGGGCATCGCTTGGCATGTGAGGCACCTTGCTGTTGTCGATGACAGCACCGTTAGCAGCCGCCATCTTGTGCCCCATCTGAACCAGGAGGTCGTAGGCGCTTTCACGGGCTCGTTCGTTGTTCTCCTTGCAGCAGATGACAATCTCGCTCAGAACAGACGGGATGAAGTGAAGGCAGTCATCAGGGACAAAGGGCAACAATGCAGTGATGGCAGCGATTCTCTCGCGTCTGGCCGGAGCAGAGACCTTCTCTGAGCTGGAGAGGATCAGGGTCTGCAGCTCAGCATTTCGCTCCTGCAGAGCAGCCTTACCAAGCTCGGAAGTGGCAAGCCGTGGTATCAGCTTGTAAGCCTTCTTCTGCAGCTGAGGCTCCTCCTCCTTGTTGATAATTACGGAAGCAATCTCAAACAATGTAGCGAAGCTCTCTCGTGGGAGGTATGCCGAAATGGTAATGACAAGATCCATGAGGGTCTGTGCAGTGGACGGCATGTGATCCTTTGACTTTTGTCCTTGAGCGGGCTTTTCAGCGGCTGGTGCATTCTGAAGTTCTCCTGCAAGCATCTTGCTGACACGGTCAAACGTGTCCATAAGCTCCTGGTTTGGCGTGATGCTGAGGAAAGCATTCACGGTTTGCAGAATGGGGCCTCGGCTCTGGGGCAAAGTCTGGGTATACACGTTGAAGAGAACCGCAAGCATGTTACCAGCAAACTGGCCCAGATATGCCAAGTTTTTGCGAGCGGCATCCTTGGTTACCCGGCTCTGTAGGAGGAGGTCCTCCTCCTCCTCTTCGATGTTTGCAATGGCTTGGTTGGACTCAATCAAAGTCCTCAGACCTCGGCAGATGTCCAGTCTCAAATCGACTTGCTTGTAGAGAAGATTGGCCAGAATTTCAGCCATAGCTTGGTCGAAAGACTCCATCAGGTCGAGCGGCAGGTCGCAGTAGCCCGGCAGAGTAGACCAGATTTGCTGCACTAGCGTCTCGTAGATCTTGATCTCCATAGTCTTTTCAGCTTCTCCATGATCCAAGACCTTCTGGAACATGATTTCACTCAAAGGCACCATCTCACTCTTGAAATGAGCCAGGTTTGTGTTGCTAATGTAATCTCGCAGGATCGGGAACAGCCATGCTCTTCCGTTCTGACCCTTTACGGGCTTGATGATGTTCAATGGGAGAATGGACAGAACCGCCTCAGGGCCCATAGCTCGAACAGCCTGGCCCAGGACCTCGTCTGCCTCCTTCTTGTTCCGGAAGGACGGGTTTTCGCGGATCTCTCCGATAGTTCGTGTGACGTTGAGCATAATTGGGTTTGCCCTCCATCTCAGACTGATGAAAATAGCCTCCAGGACATTGAAGGTCTGCAACCAAGCGGCTTGGTATTGAACACTGAGGAGAGACTCGGCCGCCTTGGCAATTTTATCCAGGACCTTCTCGTCGTATATTGAGGGCTCAACAATAACCTGTGGCGGAATGCAGTTGGCAATGAATGATACCAGACACTCGGAGGCCGAGATTCTAATGTTTTCGGAGTCAGACTGAAGGAACTGTGCTACCATGTTGAAAAGATCGGGAAGGTTTTGGAAGGTCTCATCAGCTTCAACCTGTGCAGACACATCGTAGCCTCGGGAAAGGATCGCAAGCCACGGGGGGACAAGTTGGGTATCGTTCGCAGCTGGTCGCAGCTCTGAAATGATTTCCATTAGGCGAGGCAGCTTTGCTGAAGTGAGTTCGTCTGTCATTCCCTCAAAGATCAACTCGAAAATCTCAAAAGCAGCCATGGTCATGTACTCGTTGCCCGTCTTGGCAATGTTTAGGAGGAGTTCACAAAGAGACTCGATTTTGGTGCTCGGCCAGCCACCGCTCGCAGATGCTACTGTCTTAATCAATTGAAGTGCATGGATCAATGCCGGATCGTGCGTCGTGCTGGGCGCCTTCTTGCCCTTTCGTGCCTGGACAGCCTGTGCTGCAAGATCCTCCAAGTTCTTCAGCGCGGTGTGGGCGCACATGTCCGCGGCTGGGTGATCCGTAGAGGGGCTTGGTGGGGGATTCTTGAGAACTTTCTTGAGCGCATCTTGAGATCGTCTTCGCACCTTGGGCCTCTGGTCCAACGCTAGATTCAGCAGTCCGGCTACAGCACGCCTCGGTCCAATCTGGGTAACGGACAGTTCCCATGAAGCGGCATCTTGGGCCAGAAGAAGAGATTCTAAGCATCCAATTGAAGTCCTGAGAAGAATTGGCTCCGCATCCTGCGACAACAAAACCGGCGCGAGCAGCGTAAGGATCTGCGTAAACTTGGATCGAAGCAGAGGCTGCGGTGCGAACGGGGTGACTACGTCGAGAAGATAGACCACCGGAGTGGCCAATTCGATGTTAATGTTTCCATTGCTCTCCGCCTGCTGAAGGAGCGCGAGAAGGGCAGCAAAGTATCCAGTAGAAGTCGGAGCTGTGTTCTGCTCCTTCAAGGTTGATTCGACCGCCTGCAAGACAACGACAGTCTAAGCGCACACAAAAAAGTCAGCCAATGCAGCCCGCATAGCGCTCTCTGAATACACGAAGACGCTCACCTTTTGCTGACTCTGAAGCCCCGGAGACTTGATCTTGTCCAGCTTCTCAGCCAGAGTCGGAGTTGGAGTCGCCATCTTGTCGTAGATATCGTCCAAAACCTCTTGAGTGAGAGAAAGCGTCCGCTTCGCCCGCTGCAAAATTCGAGGCAAGCAAGCGCACAGCACAAAAAATTCCTTATCGTAATCCCCGCCAGTCGATAACGATAACGATAAATGCGCCGCACAGGTGGAGTGTGGCTCAGCAGCGTATGCCAATACCCAACATTCGACATCCTTGTATCCGAGCTGTCGACGTACCTGTGGCCCCTCCAAGCCTCACCCAAGCTCCAGCGGTAGTAATTGGTCGTCAGCTTCTGGGGGATCCAGCTTCGCAAGTTCGATTCCGCTCCGGCCACTGAACTGCGCAGCTTCGGCGAGGAACCATGACTTTCCTCATCCTTGTGATTGGAGACCTGCACATCCCGGACAGGGCGCTGGACATTCCCGCCAAGGTACGCCGAGCATGAAAAGAGCCCCGGCGGCTTTACCCTGGAGCTGGTGTTGTCACCGTTGCTAACTTGCGTCCGCCCCTCTAGTTCAAGAAGCTGCTTGCGCCCGGCAAGATTGGCCAGACTCTATGTCTCGGTAACCTCACCGACAAGCACACCTACGAGTATCTACGGTCCCTGTCGCCGGACCTCAAGATCGTCAAGGGCCGCACCGATGTCGAAGCCACGTCTCTCCCCTTGACGCAGGTCGTCACGCACGGCGGCATCCGAATTGGCTTCTTGGAAGGCTTCACGCTTGTTTCCAACGAGCCCGACCTGCTTCTAGCCGAGGCCAACAGACTGGACGTCGATGTCCTGTGCTGGGGCGGCACTCACCGGTTCGATGCCTTCGAGTACATGGACAAGTTCTTCGTGAACCCGGGCAGCGCGACGGGAGCCTTCTTGACAGGAGCAAGCCTGGATGCAGAGCCTACGTCTCCAAGCTTTTGCCTGATGGATGTGAGCTCTTCTATGTACTCTATAATCTTTAGCAATGGTACTGACTCTTATGACAGGTCCAAGGCATTTCACTGACTCTCTACGTTTACCAATTAAAGACGGATGAAAAGGGAAATGAGAATGTGGCGGTAGAAAAGGTTACTTATACAAAGCCTGTGGAGCCATCTACAGGTTCATCATGACACACCTGACTTAATTGGAGAGGGAGAGGATGCTCAGCTAATAGAAACTATTGTAATTGCCGACGGCAGAGGTAGAGAAGGAGTCAATACCCGGGCCAACCCAATTATACATTATACAGAACAACTTGGTGCTTGTCGGTGTACAGGCTTACCATTACTTTCAAAATATGGGAATCTTCAAAAGCACAAAGAATAACTTTGATTATATGTGAAATGTCCCTGCTGAACGGGATAACGGACAAGCCGCAGATCCAAAGAACCAAACAAAGCATAACAATAAATTCAATTATCATTCAATAATTCCCGTCGCTTGGTATCTCGAGCATGAAACAAGATTCAAGTTCGCCTAATAATGCATCCCGAAGTGACAGTCGTGAGTGCCCACAGTAACGCCCAAACACATCCTTGCTCAAAACTCCTTGTAGTTTTCCCCTCTGCTCTTATACGCTTCCGGGCCGTCATCATACCATCATACTCCTCCGTCTAGAACTGATCCTCTCTTTTGTTGCTAGACTATCGTCTTCATAGTCATCATCGGGATTCATTGTAGAAGGCTTTGATGTAGTGGTCCGTCTCCGACCCCGTTTCTTTGGTTCCTTGACTACTTCCTTCTCAGGCGGAGGCGACTCGCTCGTAAACTCATACACATCGGCCTCTGCCAAACCGCTGCTATCAAGGTTGATACTAACATCCCTTGATCCCTCGGAGGACTCTGCGTCCATTAAACCATCGTTCACAATTCCCAAGCCTTTTGAGGCTATGCTCGAGGAACGCTTGCGGCGTTCTGTAACGACGCTGCTTGGAAGGATGTCTGTAGCTATTTGCTTTGCTGCCAGAGGGCTTGCTGGATTATTGTCCATATCAGACACTGCCATCTCTCGTTTGCTCTTTGTTGATTCAGGCAAAGCGGCTTCGTAGTTGCTGACCCGTCGAGCGTATTTCCCTTCTCCAGTTACGGCATCAAATAGCTCCTTGGTTGGTCGTCGCATCTTGGCCCTCAGGTTAGGCTCAGTATAACTGATAGTCGTCCGATTCCGCCTACTAGGCCGTGATGTCTCTCCGCTGGACGAAATGTCAGAAGGAGGAGGCGTGTCTCCTCGTGATCCCCTAGGCGATACGTCCGCTGCCAGAGAGCCAGGCGAGAACAATGCTGATTCTCTGATGGGGGCTGCTAAGTAAACCGCAGCATCCGAGGATCCTCGAGGTTCAATCGTAAAGATGGGCAGAGCTTCTGCTTCAGCGGGTAGTGGGTTCTTCGCTTTTTGTTTTTGTTGATCAAATGCTGCCCTCGACTTTGTTGCATTGAGTTTAGCTGTTGCTATCTCATCAACCACCGATGGCTTCATCTTGGAAATCTTCCTTGGGGAGTGAATATCGTCGTTAGTGCTCTTGACTGCCAGCGGTCTTCGAACGTTTTCTGAGACCTCCAGTTGCGAGGTTTTTCTTATCTTAGCGAAACCCCTCGCCGACCTTCCGTCCGTCTTTTCGACTAATATCTTGCCAATACTACTCTCATTCGTTCCTTTCTGAGGCTGATCGTTCTCGCTGTCGTCTCGGGCTTCAAATTTCCGCTTTGACCCGGCCCTAACGGGCAGAGTCGGTGCAGCAACCACAGTATGCTTAGGCTTAACCCGGTCACGCTTTTGCGCTATCTGCTCCTCGCCATCGTCTCCTTCGTCAGATTTTGACGATGCTAGTGCGATTGGGGGCTCCAGGCCCTTTGTCTTCTTTGAGCTTTCCACAGGCATTGATCTAGTCGGTGAATCGATCTTGACTGGGTCCTCTTCGATGTACTTAGAAATTGGTGGAGGGCCCAGTTCAGGCGACTCGATATCAGCTTCTGACCTGAGAGCCAGAATTTGTTCAGGACTATACAGTTGTTAGCATGTCGTTCATCCCTTGCGAAAGTCGAGTTGACCTACTTCATTGATCTCCGGGAATTGCTCCTGTTTTCGCCGATGAAGCCAAGTTCTTCAACATCTTTTGCAATTTCGCGTAGCCGCCTCTGGGATGGACTAGGCCGACTTGCGCTGAAGCGGTTCTTTGATCTTCGCTTAATCATGGGCGAATGTCTCTTCGCGGGCGGCTCGAGGCCCAATTCTGCAATAAGAGAGCCCCATTCCGTAAGTTGCGACTCTAATTTGGCCTTGATGGCCATCGCGTGATCTGCTATCCTTCGCGATTCGCTGTCGTCGACTTGTTTTTCTAGCTCCAGGATGCGGCTACGCAGCTCTAGATTTTCCGACAGCATGCATGCGCACTCATTTTCCAGTTCGCGGATTCGAAGGGCTCGGATGTTGTTTGTCTTTGCGAGTTCTCTATTCTGGCGAAGCATCTTCTTGCGAACTGAATGGCATACTGTTAGCACGCGCGACAAATCAGATTTGGATGCCCGAGATCACATACGCGTTTCCAGCGTTTCTGTCGGCACCGGGATTTCGTTGAGCCTAGCCATGGCTGCTCACAAGACACGCGTGTCTGCCACGCAAATGGTAATGGAGGAGAGTTTTACAGCCAGAGGTGGTTATTGGGGTATCAAAAGCGGTTGAGAAGTCGGTCTGGAAAGCGCTTTGGGCGGGATAATTTTGGTTGTGTCATTATTTACTCCGCGACCTGTTTGGGCATAGCGCAGGTTTTTCTCTCTACCACTCGCAAACCGTTTGTACACAAAAGCTTCTGGTTGCTAGGGTGAAGACCACGTGAATCTAGCTTCTGGAGCAGCCCCCGCTAAGATCTTGGAAAGAAACTCAATACAATTGCTTGGTCTACATACCCGAAGCCCGTTGATGCGTTTTCTGTGAATGACAGCTGCACTTGTCTAGCCAATGATTGTTCGATAAGGAGAAGGATAATATCCCACACGCAAATACATTCATCACCCAAAATGTCGTATCCCACCAGGTCATTTTCATCGCAAGTGCGCGCTTCGAGCTCAACCGCTTCAGCTCCACAGTCACCGGCATTGTTGGCTCGAATCGAAGAGAAGAAGGCAGAGCTTGAGAATCTTAAGGAGCTGAGAGACTTGAGCGCGACAGTGGCAGCTCAGATGGAGGCCTTGGAGCAGAAGCTCACCACCTTGTCAGACGGAACTGAGGGTAAGACGAGCTCACTTTGAATTGTGCTTATGGAGATCCATGAGAATTGGGACTGACAACACGGGCAGTGATTGCTGCTGTAGTTGGTAACTGGCATAATGTGCTTCGTGCCATCAACATGGCTTCATGTAGGTCTAGTATCGCCGCCCTGGACGTGTACGGCTACTTAACAAAAACATAGCAAAACTGGCAAAAACAGCCGCTGGGCCTGCCACAGAAGACGCATCAACATCCGCGGTGCAACTACCTCAAACTCTAGTACGAATTCCCACGGAGCACGCACCAACATTACAGGCGCAAGCCGAAGCAGTAGAAGCGGCAGCCGACGAGTCTATGACGGACGCGTAAGCTAGGATGGGCAAGAATGATGGTAGTAATTAACAGCATCGGATCGACCACTACTACTGCTTGTATGCGAATGGTTTTTTGAGGAGCTCGACTCAAGCTTGTTGGAATCGACTGGCTACCTTATCATGGGGTTATACGAGGCAAGGGACATCGCCACAGGGGTCAGCGCACATGCTCTTGGATGCATGCATGCTGCACATACTCCGGTACTTTGCGGCCAACCTTTCCTCTTGATGTCATGGTTTCCCGGCATGGCAAGATTATGCCCTAGAAGATGCTCCTCTTTGCATCCCGGAAGATGGAGTTGCAGATCGAAAACCTTCGATGGGAGGCATCCTCAGCCATCGTCGATTTTATCGGCAGCTTCCCACCCTTATCGCCGGTACCCTGCCGCGCCACCGATGATACCAATCCGAGACGCGTTGCCTCGGCCCCGGTCGCGATGTCGCTTGCAACTGCGACACAGGCGGCTTGAAAGGGGACCTGGAGCGATAAAACTGGCGACCTGGGAAAAGGGAAATGACGATGGGCCAGCAAGGTTGAAAGCAAGCAGTGTGGACCTTGGCGCAGCAGAGCGGAAGGTGGAAGGAGATCGAATTCATTTCATTTCGGCTCCACCACTTGGCAACCTGTCTCACCCGCAATCAACATTGAGTCCAAAATAGCTTCCTACAGCAGAGCTGATTTACCCCAGAGATTATTTGGCTATCCTGCTATACCCAAACCAGCATCATCACAGCAGCCTTGGTTCATTTCACCAACTACTAGTTGAAATAGAAGACTTCGCGAACATATTGGTTTCGGCCCCGCAAAGCGCCCACGGCCGCCCGAGTCCGGCCTGTCCGCGAAATTAGACCACGGTTTTTTGGTCCTGTCGGCGAAGAGTACGGAGTCGTAGTAATTAATTTCTATCGTATCTGATAGAAACCCCCTGCGTGCGAAGTTTCCAGTCCAATCACGCCCTCGGCGCTTCGCAGGCACCATCTACAGCTGCTGCGACAATGGCCCGGCGCAGCATCGCAGTGTCGTCGCCGGCAGAGGACGTTGCCTTTGGCGTTGGGCAAAAAGGGGGCACTTGTGATGTCCGCTTTGGAGCCGACATCTTTCAGCGACCCGCGAGACCGGGCAGCTCTCGTGACGTTTACGAAAAACTGCCGACTCATCACACGCCAAAGCAAATAACGACGTCGAAGCGGAATTTAGCGGGTGATAGCGTCGTCCAGGATCCCTGTCCAGGTCAACATCACAACCAGGGTCACTGGCCATCGGATGTTGCTATTACCAGTGAGCTGAAGAAACATGGCATAGCAACCTCTCCTCCGGCCCTCCGTCGAGCAGCCAGACAAGCCTCACCCCAATTTCGTCGTCGACCAGCCGTTGAAACAGAGACTTTTCAGCCTCTCGATTCCTTGCGAGAAGCGTCTACTCTGGACATCAACAAGCACAATTATGAGAACACGGGGTCATCCTCCACTCGTGCATCTCAAGGTGTGTTGGCATACGGTCACAATCATCTACTCTCTCATTTTCCTTGCTTGCACCCAGTCATTGACATACTTTGCGCTTCTCCTAGAGCGATTCGCCCAAGTATACGACCTACTAAGGGACACTATTGGCGAACGCACCATCTGGGAGCAGGTCAAGAGGCATTCGGCAGGCCAGTTTGAATGGCTGTTGACCCATCTGCCGTCTCCGAATTCCAGCATTCACGACAGCTCCTCTGAAGGGTACGCGTCTGAGCACGGAGCTGACGGCAAAGTTTACGTCTGCAATCTGGTGCTGCAGAAGAAGAGAGAGCCACATAGCGACAGCGAGTGCCCGCTCAATTCATATTATCTGCTGGCGACGCCTCTGCAATACAGCGCCAACTGGACCGTGGAAATGGAGGAGCCTCGGATCGCCGGTGACGACGATTCCCTCACCTGGATGGACCATAGCCGTCCAGTAACGCCGCCAATGAAGGTTCCCGAGATTGTTCTCGCCGTTGAAAATGCGGTTTCGCCAGCGTTTACCGCGGTGAGCGACAGGAGCTTTGGCGACAGCTCGTCACGAGCCACCTCATTCTCGCTACCGCGGATTGAGGACTCGCTGGAGGAGCTGGACCGGCTCGAGGACCAGTTGGAGGCAGTCAACGAGTTTACACAATCTCAACAACTGGCTCTGCTGGCCAGACAACTACCAAAGGTTGCGTCTTACTCAACACCAGAAGAGGCAATGAGAGCATTCAAGAGATCGACGGTATCTGGTGCACCAGCCACAGTTCGCTCTAAACCTGCCGAAAAGGCCATGATTGCGCTGCCGCGTCGTTCTGCGTCTCTAACCGTTCGGGAGAAGAGCCCTGAAGAGCCAGCCAAGGGATCCTCGAGTCGTCGGTCCGGCCTTGGTGTATTCATGTCTAAAGCCGGGAACACCCTGGCAACGGTGGCCAAGTCGTCTATTCGCTCATCGAAAACGCCTACAGTTCCCAGTTTTGAGTTGCCGGGTAAGGCTGTCGCTCGACGCTTGAGGGAAGTTCGCGAAACCCGCGAGGCGCATCATGCGGCGGCTCTCAAGGCGTTGGAGGCCCCCCCAAAGCCGAGAAGCAACAAGGCCTTGCCCAAGCCTACCTTTGAGCTACCTGGAGATGCCATTTCGCGGCGCAAGAAGGAGGAAAGTGAGGCTAAGCTGCGGGCCCAGGAAGAAGAGCAGCGCAAGAGACGCGAGTTCAAGGCACGACCTGCTCGGCCAAACTCTACGCCTAGCACGCTTCCCCGCGACACCGTGGCAAGCCGAGCTCGTCAGGCCAAGATTCAGGAGGAAAACGCGGAGAGGCAGGCGGCCTTGTCTCACAAGGTCAAGCGACTGTCGCTGGGTCTCGTGCGCGATGAGCCTACGACGCCCACCCCAAGCAAGGCGGAAAAGCAGCGTGGACGTGGCTCCATGATTGCGGTCGCAGAGTCTATCAACCGGTCGATACTTGCATCCATGGTCACAGGCACCAAGAGTAAGAATTCGCTATCCATTGGGGACATGATGACCCGGTTCCGGTCTAAGAGCAAAGAGATTCTGGGGCACGATTCTGCAAGCATCACGGAGAAGAAGAGTCACGAGAAGAGTGACAGACCGATGACTGCCAAGGCTGCTCGAGACGAGGCTGCTGAGCGCTCTAGAATAGCGAGTCGGGAGTGGGCAGAGAAGAAGCGTCGTAAGGAGGTGACGTCTCTGAAGCAAATCACGGGGCAATGAGGTTGCGGTTTCACTAGAGTTTAGGCACTGTTGCCGACTCTTTTCCTTTGTTCATTCTCTTTTCCGTCATACCCGTGTTCTTGAGGCTCTCTTTAGGGGGGACTACTCTGACTGAGCAGCATCAGGCGCACAACATATATATCAAGGAAGGGGGCCACGCGGGCGGCGAGTACATCAATACCGCCATTGTTTCAACTGTACAAATAGGGATGGGGCTGGAGTCTTTGGGCTTGTGGATTTTTTTTTTGGTGTCGCACGTTTGTCGACACGTTGGGATACAAAGACATTTTGCGGTTTCGGGAGCAATCCCACGGTTGCAGCCGCGATGCGCGCAACGCTTTAGCTATGATAGACTTGTAGCTACTTGAGCTTTCTGTTAGGATAGAGGACGGGGCTGACAATTGGGCAGCCAGTAATTGGGCGGCTGATTCGCAGAAAGGTGGATGAGGCTAAAGGGATCTGCCGGCTGCACAACACAGCATGGACGCATTACGGCTAAGAGAGGAGAAGTCTAAGGACGGCCATGGTTAGATTAAGGCTGCTAGTATTGGTATGTATTAGCATGAGCTGAGCATTAGCATTAGCAGTAGAAGCAACAATGCAAATCTTTGAGCTGTCACCTGTCAACGGATGTCGTCAGTCAAGTCATCAATCAGCCCAGCCTTTCTAGCCAGATTCGAGCGAGTGCAGTAATGACGTCTATTCGTTCACTATCATTGATAACATAAGGCTAGGCTAGGGACTGCATCGTTACATCCTCGCTTGGGGGTTTGTTTTGTTTGTGCCTTGGCACGGCAGCTGCGATGAGCTGTTGAGAGAGAAAAAAAAAAATTGCAAAAAATTCTAGGCGACAACACCAGAATATTCATCCCGACGCAATCTAGCTGCTCTTCATTGCTGTCGTCTCCTTTCTTCTTCTCTTTTCTTCTCTTCTTCCTCCTTCTCTCTCTGTTACCTCTTTCCAATACATCCATCGCCTGGATACACCCTAAACGTCATCATCTCAATAAGGATCCTCTCTTCAAAACCATCCCCACGTCATATCCCCAGATCCTGACTCACTGACTCGCTTCCCGCCATGGACGCTCCAACCGTCGCCGTCAACGGCTGCACCATCGTCGGCGTCTTCCAGCCCGCCTCGGCCAGGTACCCAAAGGCGCTGGACATTTTCCACGGCATCCCGTTCGCCAGCGCCCAGCGCTTCCGGCCCGCCGTGGCGATGCCGCCGTCCGAGGCCTCGGGCGTCATCGATGCCTCGCGGCCGGCGCCCTCACAGCCGTTCCCCATGGCGCAGCACGCCACGGCGGAGAATCCGTTGACGCTGAACGTGTTCCGGCCGTCGGTGTCGGTGTCGGCGTCGGAGTACGTGGTCGGGCCCGAGAGCGAGGGCGTGAGGGATCTGCCCGTGGTGGTGTACGTCCACGGAGGCGCCTTCAACTTTGGGTTCCCGCTCGAGAGGGATCTGGCGTCGTTTGTGGCCTGGGGGGCGAGCCAGGTGCTGGTTGTGAGCGTCTCGTATCGTCTGGGGGCGCTGGGGTTCTTGGCTGGTGCCCCGGAGACGCAGGAGCTGAATCTGGGGCTGAGAGACCAGAGGCTGGCGGTTGAGTGGGTGAAGGAGTGGATTGGCGACTTTGGGGGAGATGCTGGCGATATCACGCTCCTGGGAACAAGTGCTGGGGCGCATTCGGTGAGTTTTTTTTTTTTTTTTTTTTGAAGATTCACGTCTCTTTGTGGAACATGCATCCCTGGATGATGAAGATGAACAGCAACTTTTTACTGACATCGTCACCCCTCAGGTTGGTCACCACATGCTCAACCCGTCTCCCCTCCCCTTTCGCAAGGCCATTCTCGAGTCCGGATCTCCAACTGCGCGCTCTGTTCTTTCCCCTTCACACCCTCGCAATGTAGGCCATCTAAATGAGTGCAGCATCTACGCCAACAACGTGCCTCTCGACGTCCTCTCCGTCGAATCTGTCGTCCAAGCCTCATTCACCGTCTACGCCATGCACCACACCCCCGTGACTTGGCCCTTCCAGCCCGTCATTGACGGCCCCGGAGGCGCCATCCCCGACTTGCCCCTGAACCTGTGGCGCCAGCTCGTCGAGTCGGGCCGTGCCAAAGACGTGTCCGTCATCACCGGCTTCTGCTCTCACGAGGGCACGACTTTTGTTCCACAGCACGCCTCCATCAGCGCCGAATTCCGCTCCTTTTTCCAGAAATTGATTCCCTCTTTCTCAACAGACGACCTCGACGCCCTCGAGCTGCTGTACCCTGACCCCCTCATCCATCCGGATTCCCCCTATCGTCAGCCCCCCGGCATAGGGGGTCCTCAGAGACGCCCGTACGGAGCGCAGTTCCGCCGCATCTACGAGGCTTACGGCCATTACGCATACATTTGCCCTGTTCTTCACACCGCACACACTTTATCTCGAGCTGGAGCCCGTGTATATCTTTATGAATACGCTGCTCTTTCATCGCCGTTCAGGGCAGCGTCTCACGGTGACCAGCCTCCCGCCGTAACACACGATCTAAACATTCTCGAGTCGACTCCGGGTCTCGTGGCCGTCGCCAAGGAGATGAATCACCGTTGGGTCTCCTTCTCCTCCTCACCATCTGGTACACTCAATCAAGACGATCAGGAGGAAGCTTGGCCCCTATTTGAGAGTCCCCTCGGAGACGATGGCTCCGCTACGTTTTCTTCCGGAGCAGGAATTGGCGAGCTTCTCGTCTTCGGAGAAGGCAATGACGAAGCCGCGGGGGGAAGAAACCAAGGCACGCCGGTCAAGACGAGGAGACTTACAGACAGGGAGCTGGAGCAGTGCCGCTTTTGGTGGGACCGCATGGAGTTGAGCCAGGGGATGGGTGAGCGAGGCACGGCGTCGGCTTGGCTGAAGGCGTAAAATTAGGGGGGCCAGTTAAGGATATGGAAAGAAAAAGAAGAGAAAAGACAAATAAATTAAAACAGGCAAAGCAAGGACACAAAAGAGTTCCTTGAAGCGTCTTGGTGTGGGCGGGATGTGCTAACCAGCTGGTATGAATTACTGGCCCGTAAATAGCAGGGAGCTTTGTAGATATTCACACTCGCAAAGAAACAAGATGCGTGGGCATCAGCAGAAAAAAACAAATAAGTTGCGTCTATGAATACTCGAACATAACAAGGCGAATTCACACAAGCTCACATCTTGAAGAAGAAAAAGTGAAGCGAATAAAAACCCATCTGAATTTACTAATCTTGCGCAGAAATGGCCATGGAAACAAATGCAAAGATTAGAACAAGTATATGTGTATGTGTGTATTAGACTCGCAAGTTTGTACCCATGTAATAGCATTTCCTCCATGAAAAAACATCACAGACCCGCATCTATAGCTATATACCCCAACATCCCTTTTGTTTTAAAAATCCTCCGCATTACCAAAGACATTTCCCCCAAGACGACAAAAGAAAAAGGTCCAAATTGAGGCGGAGGGGGGGCAGCCACGACGACGAAAAGACGGGCATCATCAAACCCATACGAAATCCGCGCGACGATCTGGCTGATTAGATCCCATGGTATGAATACGTTCAAGATCTGACGTGCTATTTTCGAGCAAAGAAAAGACATTAAAGGCACTGAATGGCTGAGATCAGGGAGAGGTCATAGAATCAAGCCAACCGTAGCAGCAGCAACAGCAACAGGCACCGGTAGCAGTGAAAACCGAACTCGCTACGCCCGCAGATGCAGATGCATATAGTTTTTGTATGTACAAGTGCGTCTCCTCCCCCTTTTCTTCTTTTCTCGTCGCGTCTGTCATGAATGATACATGCCAAATAGGTAAGAATTAAAAAAAGGCATGCATCACCCTGTTCCACCCCATCAGCATCGATTTGTCTCCTTTTGTTGCCTCCCCTAGACCAAGCAGATCCCTCCTCTTTCTTTCTTCCTTTCATTCTACCTTCTCTCATCTTGCCCATATTAAACCAATTCTCATTCTCGTAAAACTCAAGAACAAGCATCGGGGTGTTCGAACTTGTACCGTGCTGTGCCGCGTTGTAAATAAAAGCGAGTGTATGTGGATGAAGCGAGCGTAAATTGCCAAAAAAAAAAAAAAAAAAGGTTGGGGGGAGAAGAAAAACCAAAAGCCAGATTTCGTCGTATGCAAATCAGTATTAAACCAAGTGATGGGAGAAAATAGAAATCCTAAAAACGCCTCTCATGTTCCTTCAGCGTCTTCCCAACCCCTGAAACGGGCCAAGACACCTGGCTGAACGGGGGGTATCTATCTTTCGAGCGCAACGAGCGTTAAAACATCCAAAGCCTCATAGACGGGCGGCGCTTAGAAGTTCTGGGAAATGCCAGCGCTCTGCTGAGGGAAGTGACCAGGACTTTCAACGCGCGTGCTGCGCCGGGCGGGATTGTCGCGGATGATGGGCGGAGCCGGCATCTCGTTGGCACCGCCGTAGGGGGTGTCATAAGGAGTCTGGTTGTATTGATCATAGTAGCCGGTACCAGTGCTGTAGGCAATGCCCGCGCCCGCGTCGGAGCCATCTGATCGGCCGGTTGCGCTGTATGAAGAAGACGCATTAGAAGCTCCTCGTCGAACATCACCGCGGTTGTTTGCCGCTGATGGTCCCATAGCGCCGAGAATCTCCCCCTCGGGACCATCAATCAATGCCGCTTCAGACATGTTGCCGCCACGAGTAGGTGAAATGTCAGAATAACCGTTGGTGGCGCCAGAAATCGTGGTCGAAGCCTTTCGGCCTGTTGAGCCGCCAAGGGTGGTTGATCCCCAGCCACGGTAGCCGACAGATTCCTCTTCCCTCATCTCATACGCGTCTCCTCCAGTCATGCCAACCACAGGAATGGTGGGATCGGCATTGGGGTTGTAGGCATAGTCCTCGACCTCTTTTCTTCGCTCGGCCTCTGCCGCCCGGCGCGCACGACGCTTCTTCCACAGGAAAAGCCCAATGACGGCCAGGATGGCAATGGCGACAATGGGAACGACTACGCCAATGGCCACCTTGGCCTTTTGGTCAAGACCGCCGCTGCTATCCTTGCCAGCAATACCATTCGGAGTTGTCGTCGAAGTCGACGAGGTAGTGGTACCACTGGCCGGAGTATTGGTGGCCGATCGAGTGCGTGTCACAATCACTTGTTCAGTCGAAGGAGCGCTCCCCGAAACAGTAGTTGTTTCCTCAGTTGTCGTCGAGGATGTATCGGGAGGAGGCGTAGTAGATGTAGGGGGCGCTGTTGTAGACTCGGTGCTGCTGGTGGTGGTACGCTCCGGGGTCGTAGAAGTAGACGATGTCGTCGAAGTAGATGACGACGATGAGCTCGACGTAGATGTAGGCGGTTCCGTAGAAGTCGGTGGCTCTGTCGATGACGATGAAGTCGGCGGCGGCGGTGGTGGAGTGGTACTTGATGGAGGCTCAGATGGCGGAGCTGTCGAGGACGGGGGGTTGTCTGGAGTGCTAGACGATGAAGGTGTCGACGACGGAGGAGGCGGTGGTGCTGTTGTTGATGAGGGCGGTGGCTCTGGAGTCGAGCTGGGTGGTGGAGATGGAGTTGAAGACGGAGGCGCTGCGTCGTCCGATTGCTCGGGCGGCGACGAATTTTGCGGCGGACTAGATGTGTTGGTAGACATGGTGACGGCGACGGCGTGGACAGTCGTAAACTTGGATTGACTGTGTTGAGATGCAATGTCAGAATGAGGATTCAAGGCGCTTAGCCGACTAGAAAAGAGCCGGGCGAAACGAAGCGCAATGCGAAGCAACAAACAGCGAGCATTCAATCAAACCACCAGAGTCGACGAATCAAGCCAGAGAAGATAAGCCATCCAAAGGATGGCCGTGCAATGGCACCAGGCCGAATGCAGGGGCTACGCACGAAGCCGACGAGAACCCAGCCGCGCTTGACGCCTCGCATGATGACGGTAGCCGTCGGGAAGCACGACAGAGGAGGAAGAAGCACAAGATCGACTGGGCTCGAAACGGCTCGCAAAGGGAGGCCGGAGGCAAGACAAGCAAGAGCCGCAAACGTACCTTTTTTTTTTCAGTCCAACGTTCCAGAGACAATCCGAAGAACGGGCGCGTGGAGCGAATCAGCCAATTCGAACGATGAAGAGAGCGAGCGCCAGTCGCAAAAATAGGTAGGCTATTTTTTTTTTTTTTCGTTTCGTAAAAAATGGAGAGAGACAGAGAGAGAGAAAAGAAGAGTAACGAGCCGCAAGGTTCGATTCGACGACAGGCCCACGAACGTCTGACGGCACCTTAGCCTTGGCTTAGCTCAACGGGCTCGTACAAGCACGGCGAAAAGCGCAGCGAATGGACGCAAGCAGAATTGCGAGAAGGGTGGGCCGTGGGGCGTGTACGAGGTTTTGAACAATGCAAGAAAAAAAAAAGAGGAGGCGGATGCCAGAGAGCGCGAGTGAGAGAGAAGCGCTTAGGAATGTCAAGCTGGGCGAACAGGGAACCAAACAAGACCAGATCAGATCAGCTGTCAAACCCAATGGAGTGAGAAACGCGTACCGGGTCGATGAGAGAAAAGGGAAAAGGGAACTTTGGAGGAAGAAAGAAAAAAAACTCGTTAGGGGGGGTTGAGTGAGCGATACGAAGGAAAAGGCCGAGAAGAGCTGTAAAGTTCTGACGCACCCGCACCCGAGCGACGATAGCAGCAGCGAAAAGGAACACCGGACGGGTGCGTTGGGGGGAGCCGCTGCACACTGTGACTGGCACTGTGTGACTGGGTGTACGCTGTCTCGCACCGCCACGTGCGGCCTGCGCTAGCGCCACTGTACCGGATGGCCGTTCCTGCAGTCTCGACTCTGCGGTTGCCCCCTCTTGTGTGCTGGATTACTCCGTCGTCCTTTTTTGGTTTGATTTTGCTTTTTTTTTTTTTTTCTTTTTTTACCGGGGAATCGGGGCTTGATCCCCGAGCGGCTAGTGTCCAGTGTCTTGCTTCTCCCCTGGGTACATGTACCGAGCTCTTCTCTTGTTCCCGACAGATACTCGTACATGCAATTATCAACATTGAACCTTCAAGGTACCAGGAACCAACACGCGGCTACGGGCACCACCAACAACTCGGCATCAAATGGCTGAATGTGCCCCCCAATCTTCGAATCGCCGCTCCCAGCTGACCGTCGCTGACACTGGCCCCAATGGGCTCAAGGTTTCCATCAGGACGGGCTGTTTTAGTGGTTGGCGCGTCAACTAATTTCGCCTAAGTCGAACCTCCAAGCTCAAGCCACAGAGGGCACTAGAAAGCCGGCGAGCTTCAGCTGTGGACAGTACGGAGTCCATTGTCTGCAGCGAGGTCGGGCACCTTTGGAGACATGGAGGACTTTCTGGTATCTGCGAGAGCGCCAAAAGAGGCCGCCGCTGCGTTTTAGCCTTTTCGCTGTCCCCATCTGTCACATGCGTCCCTTTACGAGTACCTCGACTATTTTCTACACTTGAGAGGGGGAGAGTGAAAAGAAAAGAAAAGACTGAAGCCAAGAAAAGACTTCGGCCCCCTTTTCGACGGCAGCAGCAAAGGCTGGAAGCGTTACTGTACTTGCACTACACAAGGAGCATTTTCATGACCATGCCCGTAGGTAATCAATTAATAGGTACTGTGCAGAACACGCGTGCAGGCGCCTGGAAAGAAAAAAGAGACCCTGGTGCAAAAATTCAGCGCAGCCTCCGTGGGTTATTGCCGAGCAATAAGCACGGAGCAAAGCACGTACGTATGATGCGTGTCATATGCAGAGCGCATCACATTTCTCGGAGGCGCAAGGGCTTTTTTTCGGTCCCGACATACCACACACACCCCAATTTGGCACAAAGGAGCAGTTGTTTGCGTCGAATCTGTAAACATCGATGATGATGGTGATGTCCTCTATCGCCTCAAGCCATCAACCAGCCATTCGACGCCAAATCCTCGGCGCCTACACTGAACAGACAAAAAAAAACAAGGGAGCCCGAGATTTGCACTGCCCGTCTCACACTACCCGACTAGACTCCGTCCTCCGGCCCTCACTGCCACAAAAGCATGGTCCGTGAGGAAGGCTTACTAAAGTGCCAACTGACAACATGAGCCCGGTTATTATTAGCTCTCCCCTGGCAACACCCAAAAAAAGGGCGCGCGCTTTGTCAGTCACATTACTCCGTATTCTCTCTCAAGTCAAGGTCGATAAGGCGGGGTTGACGTAAGAAGATAAAAACGGACCAAGGCGCTACTACTAACCTCTGTAGTGTCAAAGACTGCATACAAGTACGATGTAGTATATGCACGGATTCGAGCACCTGATCCAAAATACATTCCATCCATCAAATGCTATCTACGTTATCTATCACGCCAAATCAATAGAAGTGCTCCACAGTAGCAAGTCATTTTAGAGCCCGGATGATGATCTCCTTATCGTGAGCCGAGATGGCACGTGATACCGACTTCACCTGCTCGAATCGCTCCATGTTGATGATGAGAAACAACGACGAGTTGACTACTATTACATGTCAAGTACGAGTAGGGCATTACATGTCAAATATTCAACACGGCACGCACGATTCACCAAAGAATATGTCAACATCCAACAAAAGCAAATACCTAAAAATACACACAATATAAGATATCAAGACAGCACGAGCACCGATAGACAAAAAGCAACAACACACGCAAATTAGGAGAAAAACATGCAGCAAAGAAATAACAAATAAAAACAAAAGTATTAAAAAAAAAAGGGTGAGTGCATCTGATTGACCTATATTGCCTATGTACAATGTTTCCTTCAGATGCCAAAGAAGAGGCACGAAGTTCGTCACCTGAGATGTAGTTCATGTGTTGGGTTTAGGTTCCAGTCCATCTATATGCAAACATCGCAATAAAAGCCCAAAAATCGAAAAGAGTCCGTCGTAATCCCTAATTACTCCTGTGGAAGTGAACAAAATAAACAAACTCCCTTTTGGAGAGCGCTTTGAATGCCGCTTATCTGTTGGCAGAATCATGCAGATGCCGTAAGCAAGAAATGACGACGCTGATACTAAAGAAATACCACCCGGGGCGGCCAGCCTACTATGCTCCCTTTCTTAAGGTCGCACCGACCATGAAGGCTTCAGCTGGTCGTCCATGGCAGCTGCTGTGAAAACCGTGTCGCCGGGCAGGCGGCTGACTCGGCCTGCTCCGCTTCGAATAGCCTGGAGTTGGGCCTGAGACATGCCGCTCTTGTTACTTCTGATGCTGCCTGCGTCACTGGCGTTTTCGGGATCTCTGAACTTCTTGGGAGGGGCGAAATCCAGGGCCGTAAAGGTGCCTGACTTTCGGAGCAAGTGCCTAGATAGATGTGTTAGCCAATGCCTCTCATTCATTGTGTTGATAATGCTGCTTACGGGCTTGGGAGGGCAGCTAGTTCGTCAAAGGCACCAGCCAGCTGTGACCCGGCCGTCGGTGGCTGGAGGAAAGCTTTTCTCTCGCCAAAGGGGCTCTGGCTTCGGCCAGCCACGTTGTCACGGATGCTGGTCGGGGGGGCAAAATCCGCAGCGTTGAAAATGGCAAAGGAATCATCACCAAGCTTGGAGGGCGTCGGGAGTGTGTTCAGGGGCGTCGGAGGGGGGAGGTTCTTCTTGGGCTGCTGTTGGCGGGCCCATGCGCCGGAGGCGGAAGAATCGGGCCTGGGTCCAAAGGCCGAGCCGGCGCGAGGTCGCCCAAAGGCGGAATCAGCACGAGGCCGTCCGGGACCAGGAGAGAAGGTTCCTCCGTTGCCATTAGGTCCACGGAAGCCGGGACCGCGCGGGCCGGGACCACGAGGGCCGCCCATCGGTCCACCTTGGCGTCCGCTTGGGGGTGGTGTCATGGCGCGACGGGTAACGGGCTGGGCATACGGCATGACGAAGGCGTTGGTGTCGGCATCATAGTAAGCAGCGGCCTCCATGTAGCCCTGGTCGTAGTCTTCATAGTAGTCAGTGCCACCTTGTTTTTGCTGGTTGGGCTTCTGCTGTTGTTGCTGCTGCTGCTGTTGGTGCTGTTGCGGTTGAGTGGGCAGAGGAGGGGGTGCTTCATTAGAATCATCAAAGTACTCCTTGTAAAAGGATCGGATGCGGTTGGCGCGAATTTCGGGGTCGTCAGACTCCATCATTTCATTAGGAGGAAGTGGCCGGAATCCAACAGAGAGTCGCTTGCTAGAGTTTTGAGGAACGCCAAGACCACCAGCCTGGTGAGGGGGAGGCGGCCTTGACAGAGGTCGGCCACGGCTTTCTTCCTGCGGTTGAGAATCTTCATGGGGCAGTCCGGGAGAGAGAATCTGAGGAACGTTTCGATCAGCGGGGTGGGCAGGGGAGGCCATGCCATTATCAGTGTAAGCAGATGAACGAGCCGAGTTGGGATGGCTCCGAGAGCCATCTTGGCCAAGCTTCAAGGCAGCCGGAGCAGGAGTCGGGAGATCAGGCACTTCGAATTCATCCGCGTTAAAGACGTCGACAGGAGGGACCGTTTCGATTTCCGGGACAATTGGCTGGACGGGGAGCCTGACATCATGAACCTCGGCGGAACTGGGAGGCTGGTGCGTAGGCTTGGGGGCCGTAGGAGTAGCAAAGGGGTCGACCTTCTCATCCGGGGAGGGGGATCGTGGCGTCGACGGGTGCATGGGAGGCTTCGATAGGGCACTAGACTTGGGAGGGCGTGTTCCAGAGTTGTCGTTTGGGTTGAAAGATCGCACAGAACCAACATCACTAGCTGCATATTGGTTGACGGTTCTATAAGGGTCTTCTTCGGTTTGGAGGGTTCGAGCATACGAGTGAATAGATTCGCGAGATCCATGGTTGCCCGGGGGAAGCAGGTACGGCGATGTGAGGTTCATGTCCATGGAAAGGCCACCCTTGTGCATAGCTTTTTCTCCTCCAAGTCCCAGCAGACTCTTTCGCTTCTTGGCAGGGGCATCTCCCATGCCAAAATCAAGGTGCTTGGTCGGGTCGTTGAGCTCCTCCAGCTTGTCTCGGCGCATATTCCTGCGGTGCAGGATGATCAAGACGATGATGGCCACACAAACCGGAATTCTACATCGATTAGCATAACCATCCTGACCAACTCATTCCCTGCTTCTTCTTCTTCTTCTTCTTTCTTTCTCTTCATCCCCCTTATTCCTCTTCCCTTCTCTCCATCCTTCTCCTCCCCCTCTCTTGGTGTTTTCCTTCTTCTTCTTGCAACAAAATGAGACGACTCACACAATACCCAACACAATGGCGAGGGTTGAGCCGGAACCTCCAACAGGCTTCTCGCAGGTGTTCGCGGCTTCGGTGGCAACACAGTCCGATCTGCGCAGCAGAGATCCAATGGACTCCAAGCTACGACGCAGAATGATGCGCGGCCCCATCTTGTAGGCCTCTCCATCGCGTGTAATCGCCCCGGCGGCGGCGGGGTTTAACCCTCGAGCTCGTACTATGCTCATCTTCCCACTTGCTCCTATTCAAGAAACGACTTTGTTGGAAAAGACGGGCGGAAGAAAAATAAATATTACGAATGACGTTGCGAATCAAAGTCGAAGGGATGTACTGATCGCCATGAAATATGTGGTGTGCAAGTTGATTATTGTTTTGTTCGTTCTATACCGAACAGAAACCCGCGGAAGACGAGAGTTGGTGTCGATCGACGTTCGTCCAGCAAGAAAACCAAAAAAACGGGTTAAGAATGCAATGCCAACCAGGCGGGCAAAGACAAGGAACGACTGATGCTGCTGATTCGCGGAAGCAGCACGCAAAAAGGAATGACTGAGAGCTTGACAAGCAAACACTAAAAATGAGTGACAGGCCCGCTGGCAGGCGGTTTGCAACGATAAATCGCAATGGTCGACAGAGGGAAAACTGGCGATGGGGAGAGGAGAAAAGAAGAGGAAGAGCGCGAGAGAGGCTCCGAGCCAAAGGAGAGAGAGAGAGCGAGCGAGCGACTGAAGCGGGTTAGCAAAGGCGACAGGGCCTGTAGAGTCGGTGGGACAGTTACAGCGCATGCAAGTACAGCGACTTGGCGAGGAGCAGGCGATTGCAGGGAACCCAGCAGGTTTCGGCGGGCAATTCCCCCCTTGTTGTAGCGAATGAGACAGCGCAGGGCAGGATTTGATGCGAGCAGGGGGCAGGTCGCAGGTACCTGGACTGTCTGGCCATGGTCAGGGAGCTTCCAGGGTCGTAGGGAGTTTAATTTGAGCATGGAGTGCTAGCGCCGGGCCGCCGCGAGAGAGATGGGCTCGAAGCTCGACGTGGCCTGGTACCGGTACCTGTGCTCATGCCACCAGACAGCTTCTGCTCCGTCGCTATCCCCGTGGTATCGCAGCCCTTGTGCGCCAGAATCGCGAGTGGCGTCGCAGGTACAGGTACAGGTACGGGGCGTGCTTTGCGATTAAGCCCAGTAGGTCGAAAGAGGAAAACAAAGAGGTCTGGCGAGCTGCGTCTAGCAGGGGTCTGACGCAGGTACCGCAGGCGAGTTGCGTCCACGTCCATTCAGCCCCCCGCACAGTGCAGTCCGAGCGACATCACATGGACCACATGTGGCTCACGCGGGCGATTCTGCAGAGGGATCCGCGTGTCCGACACTGTGTTTTGCACTAGAGCCCCTGACGCTAGCCCAGGAGCGCCCTAGCAGTCCCGCCAGCGCGCGTACAGTCGAGGCCTCGGGGCAGAGCTTCCATTGATCGAAATTGAACTTGTCGGTGCACGCACAAAACGGAGGTCCTGCGTGCGGAGTATTATCACTGGTGCGAGTGCTACAGTAAAAGTCTGTGGCTACTAGGTAAGGTGTCACATCCAACCAATCCATCCTACTTGTACTCGTAAATGTAGAGTACTTTAGCTATGTAAGCGGTTGAGCAGTTCCGAATACTCGTATTGCTGCAACCGCGATTGGACCTCAGGCAAGAAACAACTCGGCCACGTTCAGACGAAAAAAACAGCATTGAGCAATCCATCATGCTTGATTCTGCCCATCGCACCATCACCCGACGCTTTTAGGGGATGTACCAGCTCTCAGCTTGACGGGGCACGGAGTACTCCGGACTTGGATAGCATGCAGAGATTGGGCCGCACCGGCGTGTCAAGTACATAGAGCTCAAAAGTACAGTACCATCTACCTGTATCAATATCGCCAGTGACAGACAGACGAAGCGATAGCGCAGTATTGAGGGCTTATTCACTCTCCAACACCAGCGCCGCCAAGACGGTCACTCGACGGGCTTATCCCCGTCAGCTTCTGATACGACCCATTGAGTCGCAGCGAGAGGGGGAAAATGCGCGCTTGGGCAACCTGAGCAATGTGTGCCTGGAGGACTGTGCATGCATGCCACGCTGCTGGTGTTTTTTGACAATGTCCAAGTCGCCTCAGCCACGAACTGACTATCTTGACAATTCGACCGTTGGCCATGACCAACAGCAAAGAATAAAACGCACCGGTTTGTACCCATTGGAAGGAAATGGCGCATTCGAGAAGCGAGTTCATCTCGACGCAATACCTCAACTTGGAAGTCAGATACGCAGGTACCTTTGTACCCGTGCCCATGCGCGGTGAAAATCGCCTTATCCAATAGGAGCAGTTACGCAATCAACCTCATTAAAGGCATATCCACCGCGATGCACTCGCTGTCATGGTGCTTGTACCGCTACTTGTACCTGCGACTGTACTGTAAATTGTAATGCCGCTTCATCCTGCCAGTTTCCGTTCTTCAACCTCGAGGCCTCCACCATTGAGCCATTGGCCATTTGCCACTTCCGCCCCTTGGTCAAGCGCAATCTTACCCTTACACGTACGAGTACGCTTCTATGAAATGCCAGCTTTTTATAGATGCTGGGTATCGAGACTGCCGATACAAATTCTGCGTGCACTTGCCCCGTTGCATGAAGATCCGGCCCGCTGCCCGGCTTATTAAAAAGAAAAAGAAAAAAGTCTGCCGTATTTCCGATATGAACTTCCCCCCCCCTAGCACCGTGGTTCGGGGCACTGCCCAGCCGGTGAGACGACGTTGGATGCGGAGTTCGAGTTATTAGCTGGAAATCAACTGACTAGACGCAGGAATTGCGCCAATGCTACGGAGTCCCTCGACGGAGCACGGAGTATGAGTAGCATCAAACGGAAACAACAGTACCGAGTGCTCCGTCGTGCTACGAGTGGTCGTAATATTACAGAGGACCAGGCAGCACGTTCGGATCCCAAGCCGGTGACTGGGTCCCTGTCCGTGTTATGTTCCATCTCCATGTCTCCCTTGCTGCATGATGCCACAGTCGGTGAACCGCCAAAAGGAAGAAGAAAAAAACAATTCAGACGAAACAGGAGAAACGGGTCTCTACATGCATGCGGCTGTCGAAAAGCATGTGCGACGCTGTTTCTACTGCACCCCTGGCGAGACATGGGGGGCCCGCCGAGTCTTGAAGAATCAGTCTCCGCATCCAAGACAAAGGCCCAAAGCTGACCTCGACACTTGTTTTGCTGCACAGTCCAGCAGAGTTCTCTGTGGCAACCAACTGACCAGGTAAGCAGCGCTTTCTCAGCCCTTCACACCGATGTTGGTGGCGCTGAAATATGTCCATCCAACCGACGCTCATATTCTGATCTCCGTCGAGGAGATTCGTCTCGTCTGTGAACCCAACTGGCCAACATGGCGACACTCGGGTACTACCTTGAATCGATGCATTATTTAGTGCAAAGATATGGCAACTATTCATAACCTGGTCGTGCCCAGGGATACAATCCTACGGTACCTCATGGGGCCGACAAGTCAAGCAAGGGGGCGGCAAAGCATCTCAAGCTGCTATACCTAGCTGCTGAACAGACACTTGCAAGCCAGCTGATCGGTGGCGGGTAGCCATCGGAAATGGGTGCCCACCGATCAGTTGCTAATATTGCTAGGTACTATTATTGTCCTACGGAGAGCTTCGAGAAGCGTGGAAAGCTTGCTTGGCCAGCACTAACCTACATCGTGGAGCAATGGGCCAAGGCTTAGATTATATTCACTTTCGGCTATTCCCACTAATGTCATTGTACTCTACCCAACAGCAATATCCCAAGCATTACTACCTACTGACAAGACCTAACGGTATGGGTATACCGCGGCACTAGCAATTCTTTTTCCGTCTGAGCGGCAGATGCAAAAGGGGGCATTCCAGAACGATCCATGGAGCTGTCCAGGGCCGGCAGCTGCGGCAACAATCTATGCGTCATACTGACCGATTCACGCACAAGTATCATGTAGATAGTAGTAGCCTTGTGTGCCCGTATAGCTGAGTTCGTGCAACGACATTATGCTTATGCGGTCCCTTCCATATGGGGCGCAAATCCCACGTGTGCCATCCGTCAAGTACGCAATCAAGGTCGAGCCGTTGTGTTTGAAAGCTTATAAAACTCCGGGGCATATTCAACCAACCAATTCTTCTCAATCTTGGTAATGTCGCGGATATATGTCTTCTCGCCCGTTTCCATAATCTCATGAAATACAACCCAATCAGCTTTACGATTAAACATGAGAGAGTTGGGATGTGCGTGCAAGACTGTGCCGCCCTCAACGTTTCGATACGTTCCATCCGGTTGCATGCGTGCCGCGTGGGCAAAATAGCCAGACGTGAGGCACCGTCTAATGTGCTCTGCCTTGTTACCGTGATCCTGCTGTTTGGATGAGGGCGTCTCATCCACCTTGATGTTGAACCGCTCAAGATAGCGTTTGAGTTGCGCTCGGATGCTAATTGCCCGAGTCATCGACTTGTAGTTGAGATTATGCTCGTGGCAGAACTTGGCCTCCTTCTTGCCCTTTGTGATGAAGGTTTGGTAGACGTTGAGCAGCGTCAAATGATCCCCTTCTTCCACGGCAAATTTACGCCTGGAAGATTCCATCTTCTTCTGTTCGCCGTCGTGATAGAACCACACGTTGCCTCCGAGGCTTGTCATGGCAGCAATGGTCAGCATTTCGCTTAGACAATTGAACTGCGGTGCTGAGAGGAGGGTTTTCGCCATCATTGGCTCAACTGCCAGCTCGGCCATGCGGGATCCAAGCGGCTGTGTTAATTTTGCATAGTCGTCCAGAGCACCCAGCGAGTAGAGCAACTCGAGTGCCTTTGACATGAGCTCCGACGGCGGCGCAGATAGGAAATCAAACCGAACCACATTGTCGATGCCAAGGGCCTTTAGCTGCAGGATAGTTGATGCCAAGTTGGACCTCTGTATTTCCGGAGGGTTGGTTTCCGGTAGCGCCTGGTAAGCATCTTCAGTGTAGAGGCGGTAGCATTTCCCGGGTTTTGTGCGGCCTGCACGGCCCGCTCGTTGAGAGGCGGATGCTTTTGATATGGGTGTGGTTGTGAGCGTCTCTATGCCCGTCTTCGGATTATAAGCTCGTAGCTTGACGAAACCACAATCTATGACATGGACTATGCCGTCAATCGTAACCGAGGCCTCGGCGATATTTGTTGAAAAGACAACCTTGCGCGTTCCCTCCGGCGGCTTATCAAACACATACATTTGCTGCTCCGTTGACAGTCCGGCGTAAAGCGGCAGCGGCTGCAGAGGCCCGTGTCGACCATCCAGCTGGGTGGCTCTCTCGGCTACAGCTTGGATGGCGTTGTCGATCTCCTCACGACCCGTTAGGAAGACCAGGATATCGCCTTCGCCCTCTTGGGTGTGGATGTCGAATACTGTATTCACCGCCTTCTCGACATAGTCTTCCGCCGGAGACTCGAGATAGAGAGTGTCAATTGGATATGTTCGCCCCTCAAGGCTTACAATCGTCACGGCATCATTCGACGACTGGCCTTGTTGCTCTTTTTTTGCTTCTTGCCCTGATCCTTTTGTGAAAAAGTCGAAAAACTCCTCGGCCTGGATAGTCGCGCTGCTCACAATGATTCGGAATTCAGGCCGCTTCTTGCGAATCTTTTTCAGCAGGCCAAGCAAGATGTCAGTGCTAATGGAGCGCTCGTGAGCCTCGTCAACCATGATGACGGAATACCGGCTCAGCAGGGGATCAGCTAGCGCCTCCCGGATGAGAAGGGCGTCAGTCAAGAACTTGATGCGAGTGGAAGATGAGGTGACGTCCTCAAAGCGGATGGAATATCCAACTTCTTTGCCAATCTCACACCCTACTTCGTCAGCAACCCGCAGGGCAACTGTTGTGGCAGCCACGCGACGTGGCTAATGTATTAAACGTCAATGAGAATCCTCATATGAAGCGGGCTTCTTGTAAGAGCAAATGCTTACCTGCGTCACCCCAATAATCTTTCCATCTGAGCACCACCCGGCCCGTTCGAGGAACTGGGGGATCTGTGTGCTTTTGCCGGAACCAGTTTGGCCGATGACGATGGTGACGGGGAACGTCTCGACGACATAGAGTAAGCTATCGCGATGTTTTGCTATGGGGAGCAATGCCGAGGGTTTGTGCAGCGCGGGGATGAATGTCGAGTCAAGATCAAGTTCGGCCATGGTGAAGTTTTATGCCGGTTGGATATAGTGAGAAGTTTGAGAGGTTGATGTTGTTTGACGCCTGTTTCAGCTTGAGCATCTTATGCTGTTACACTTGGCTAGGTGCTGGAGAAGTTGCATGATCTAAAGACGTGAGTTGAAGCAAAATTCAATGCATTCCTCAATTTTGCACGGCCAATTTTCGAGATTGGGTACTGGATTCAATATTCGGCCATTGTTTGTTCTCTTTAGAATTCGTCGTGCTGCCTTACCCTGGAGCATATCGAGAACTCGACTCAGCCACACTGTGGCGCCGTGGCTTTGACACGCCTGATTTCAGACCCCGAGCTCCTTTATTTCGGTGGGGCGCGTCATCAGCGTCGTGGCTAGCTTCAAACCCCTCCGTCATACTCATAATCGCAACGGAGAGCCCGAGCCAGAAGCGAAATCAGATTCCTGAAGCCCTCAGTTATAAGCGAAATCACAAGAAATCGATAACCTTGGTCCCTATTGGCGCGCGCGGGCGAATACAGACGCAGAATGTCAGCTCCCACAGAGACGGTATATATGAATCCACTTTCCGTGACGGCTTGTTAGTGGCGAGAGAGCTTGCGATGCTGATGCTAGTGGTGCGACTGCGCAGAATAAAGTGACGGACTCAGGCGCCGAATCGCCTACTACCGCGCAACCGCTTGATATGTCAGATGATGAACAAGAGACTGGAATCATAGGCGACGGTACCGTATCACCAATGCTCGGCTCGAGACACAGCTCCGAGGGTCCAGCCCCTCCGCCAAAACCCCCGCGCCCCATGACCGAGGCGCAGAAGAACCAGATCATTCTGAAGGAAGCGTTTCCGACAGTTGACGATGGTGTTATCAAAGCGGTCTTGAGCGCAAGTGCAGGGCGCGTGGAGCCAGCCTTTAATGCTCTACTTGGTGCGTTGTTACGCCGTTGCGCCGTTGCGCGCAACAAGAATGCTGGAATCACAATCACAGTCGAGAGCGCATGCTTACTAGGCAAACAGAAATGACCGACCCGGATGCTGCCAAGAACGAGCCACAGGACGTTCCCCCTCAGCAGCCCCCGAGGCCGCTGCGATCTCAGATAGAAGAAGATGAGCGGTACGCGCGGCAGTTGGCGGAACAATACGATAACGTCGGCGCCTACGAAGCTCGCACCTCCAACCGCGGGGGACCTGCACGAGCGAGAGCACAGCCTGGATACGACGAGGATCGGGAGCGCAACTTTATAGATGACGATCTCCCCGCCATCCGCGAAAACCTTCGACAGGGATTCATCGAGACCCAGACCAAGGTGAACGGTTGGATCAGCACTTTGAAGAAGAAGATTGAGGAGAATTTCGACGAGAGCGAGGATGCCGAACATAGAGAAGGACCCCAGTACCGCCATGGCGGGCCTGGCAGCAGGAGCACCGACTACGACGCAGATCCGCAGGTGCTCAGCGATGATTTTGCCGGCATGAAATTCGCGCCGGATGGCAGTAAGTATCGAGATGTTCACGATGATAGCCACGCAAGGCTGACGATTGCACCCTTCTAGCCCCTGCCTATGGCAACCGACCGTTGGCCAACACCGGCGTTTACAGACCGCCTCCCTCGACCTCACCGAGACCCGAGGGCCGAAGGGTGGGATTCAAGGATGAACCCGAAGAAATCAAGATGTATGATGCTTCACCAAAGCTCTCTCCCAAGGGCGAAGCCAAGGCAGCGCCAGCAGCCAAGGCAAGCAAGTGGCAGCCTCTTTCCAGCGTGGAACCGGACCCGATTACCGACAACGACCCCTTCAGCCTTGGTGACAGCGAAGATGAAAGGGAGACGAAGGAGAAGCCCAAAGATGGCAAGTTGGACGATACGGAACGGCTGAAGCAGGCTGCGGCTGAGGCCATGGCAGAGAACCTGGTTGATCAGAAGAAAGATGGGGAAGCGAGCGGAAAGAAGAGCTAAACACCCGGTAAAGATGGGACGGGGATTAATTACCAAATGGAACCAATGGCGTGGCTGTTTTTATGTGTTTCAAAAAGAAAATACTTGCATCGTTTGATTGCGGCGACTATGAGCAGTAGCTGTTCACATCGGTAACTTGATGTGATGGTGTTACATCGCTTCAGCCGATCTTGGGGAGTGGTAGATAGGGATGGCCGTGACATTTTGCTGGACTGAATGAAGTGTGTGACGAGACTGAGGAGGCTCTTTTTGCGTCATGACAAATTGCTAGCAGCGGTTAGTACTACCTAGGAAGAATATACTTGGCTGTCCAAAGAGACGCTCGGCTCGGATCATGCAATAGGTAGCTCGTATGTGTGGAGGATGCTCAATGGGTTGGGTGGGAACTTGTAGGGAGGCTCCATCAATGTCATTCTAGGATGATCACGTACCTCTAATTTAAAGGTTCAATTCAAGGTACTAACTGGAACCAAATAGATGCCGAGGTATCGAGCGATGTGCTTTGTCTTGATATGTTTCCAGATATCAGAAGCGGCTGGCGATAGCAGTGGCATAAAGGTGTCTCTGTCTGTATTCGATATCAAGTAAAAACAGTGGGTAGAAAACAATACTATGACTAACGACACCTTCAAGTTAGGTACGAGTACACAGGCAACGGGTAGGAGGTAATATATCATCAGCCTGAGTGGCCTGATTAATACCTTAGGTCTAGTACTTTGGTCATCAGCCCCGTAGCTGCATATATCTTAGCTTTCAGGCATATCAAGAGCATCCATGCGGGCGTCGGACATTGTAGCATTTCTCTTCAAGGTTGCCCAACCCTCCAACTTACCTAATGCCTCTCTGGTGTAGAATATTGGAAGCTGAGTGGCGGCAACTGAGGGCGCGAGCTGGAAAAAAAGTCAAGTGAGCAAAGGGTTGCCGCATGGGCTGCGCTTAAACCAACTGCACCTATCGCTCACGCACGAGGTGCAATGCTGGACGGCGATTGGGTCCGGTATAAACAACGGGGACGATGTTAGCAGCAGATCCGGCAAAACATCCCTACAAATGCAGCCCAATGGAGGGGCCCCGAGCAAATGCTTTTGGACGCAAAAGTCTGCAGCCAAAGCAGCGGGTGTTAGGGCACTACCAGGCACTTTGTCACGCTTTGCTGCATTTTGCTGCACTTTGCCGTACTTTGTACGAGCGAGACACGGCCCCGGTGCGACACGGTTAATCGCCGGCCCTACTTTCCGAAGGGCCAAGTCGGTACCACGGCCCGCCAGAAGAGAAGAGCTCAACGCCGCATGAGCCAACCCTGGTCGATTCTGCAGAGCGACCTTCTCACGGTGCTAAGGCGTTGAAGTTACAGCTGCCACGGGGTTTATCGACTAGCTTCGCGATGATCTAGGGAGGACGAGGGCTCTGATGAGTCGCCCCCGCTTCACAGGTCACCTTACGAGTAACTTGTCAGTGAGAGAGAGAAGTGGCATTTTGAGTCAAGGACCGAGAGCCTTCCATCGGACCAAGGACCGGCTACTAGTCAGTCATTCAGTCAGTCCGTCTCATCCTTCTGCCCTCACCGAGCACACGCTTCTGTCGACCTCCTTCTCTCCCCTCCTCTCCAATTGGATCGACCAGAGACAATCTGACTAACAGGTCTGGACAGACACGCAGACACGAAGCCAGCCCCGTCAGCCCAGCCTCGTCACCTTCTGTCTGTTGGACCTGAACTCATCTGATCTTTCACCAGCCTTTTCTGTACTCGTACGCCGGCCTCCTCCAGACAGTCCCGGTAGGGTAGGCCAACCACTTGACTTTGCTGCTGCTGCGGGTTGGCGTCCTTGTGATTGAAAATCTCAGTCTGAGGCCAAGCAACGGGAGTCATTTCCCACCTCGTCTCTTCCTGTACGTAACCAGCTTCTGCTCCCCCTTGACAGCTTTCTTTTTGCACACCACAGTAGCATCAAAAAGCCTTATCCACTGCTGCATCACCACACATTACACCTTGCGTTGTCTTGCATAGCCAGTCTGCTACAATCCCGGCCTTCTTACTCCTCTCGGCCTCAACCTGCATCCCAAACTATCCCGGAAGCAGAGAACCGACCTCCGCTTGCTGCCACAGCGGGACAAGGGCTTCAAGGTACGAGCCGCGCCGGAGCTGCTGTCTGATGGGCTCCATGGGACCTGTCAGCGAGCTGCCGACGTCCATCAGTCAATCGTTTCCCCCACGCGGACAAGTGTTGGAGACTGGCACTCAAACTACCCCTGCTCTCTGCTCTTCGGTCACCTCCGTCCTTTCCCGTCGATATGGCTGTCATGTCATGGAGAACAAACGTTGCTTGTCGCACACGCAGCTAAATGTCACAGCAGTTATCCTTCTTACAGGCGCCGCCGCCCACATCTTACCACCAAAACTCGTCGTCACCCCAAAGAAAGCTTACAGGCGTGAGATTGTAGCCCGTGCTGCGTCGGCCAGTATATCCTTCCTTGTTCTGCCCAGCTTGGGCTTTTCTGTTTCCTTAACTCCTCTGCCCCCGCGACTCCCGTCCGCCCGGGGGTTCTGTGTCGCAATATGTAAGTCAGATGGGTGCTGCGTCGTGACGCAACCCCTGCTTGCCCCGGGAATAATCCCCCCAAGCTCACACAGCCATGTGCCGCAGGAAATTTGGCAAGCAGATCCAGAAGCGCCAGCTTGAGGTTCCCGAATATGCTGCCAGTTTTGTCAACTACAAGGCCTTGAAGAAGGTAAATCATCCATCTGTCTATCTACCTATTGCTGCTTATCACACGGCTACCCGCACCCTTTCCCCCTCTTTGACCCCCCCTCCTTGATGTGCCCTCATTTCTCATTCTCCTTTGTGCTGCTTGAGAAGGCTTGAGGTGATGGGGGAGGTTGATAGAGGGGGGAGTGTCAAACCCGCTCCAGGCATCCTTGTCCTTGCATGCCTGCACCCTCTGGTTTCTCTCCCCAGCCACTGGCATACTTGGTGCAACTTGTACACCATCCATTACTGTATCTTGTACCACATTGGCTAATACTCGACCTTATTTGCCCTCCAGCTCATCAAGAAGCTTTCAGCTACTCCGACCCTTGCTGCACAAAATGACGGCCACCGCCTAGCCACACTTGCCGACTCGCAGGCTGCTCTGCAAGCAAACAAGGCAACTTTCTTCTTCCAATTGGTAAGCCACGTCCAAAGCCGCCACCATGATGAACATCCCGACGGATTTGCTGACGCCTGAACAGGAGAGAGAGCTGGACAAGGTGAATGCTTTCTATCTGCAAAAGGAAGCCGAGGTATGTATACCAATTTAGCCCATACCCTCCCTCATCGCGTGGGGAACACCATCGCCAACCTGTTGCGTAGCTCAAAATCCGCCTCAAGACGTTGCTCGATAAGAAAAAGGTCCTTCAGTCGCGCCAGGGTATCTCAAGACGCTCGTCCAAATTCACCACCCTCGAAGAAGGATTTCAGCAATTCGCCACGGACTTGAATAAGCTCCAGCAGTTTGTTGAGATCAATGGTACCGCCTTTTCAAAGATTCTCAAGAAATGGGACAAGACGTCCAAGTCCAAGACAAAAGAACTGTATCTCTCCCGTGCCGTCGAAGTCCAGCCGTTCTTCAATGCGACGGTCATTAGCGAATTGTCAGACCAGGCCACCACCAGCCTCCAGGAGTTGGGTGCCTGGTCTGATGGAATTCAGGTCAACTTCGATTCATCTACTGCGCATGTTGTGACAAGCCAACATTTCGTGGGGACCGACGAAGGAGATGCCGATACGCTGCTGTTGGATACCGTCATTACCGGAAACCTCGAATCGATAAAGGACCTTCTTGCGAAGATGCAATCGGCCTCCCTGGCTAGCGAGAGCGATATTTCCTTGATGGAGCGGCTGACAAGAACCTTCTTGACGGCGATAAATGAAGCTCCCAAGAGTGCTCTGCAGGTTCTTTTGGATACAGGATTGGTGGACTTGCATTCCTATGATGATATCAACGAGCGGAATTGCCTACACCAGGCCGCCATCTATGGTAGACAACACGTCTTGGAATGGGGCCTCGAGGCCAAGGTGGCCGTGGATCGAACCGACGTTTACGGGCGCGTGCCGCTGCACTATGCTAGTTTGCACGGTCGCTTAGATATGCTGGAAACTTTGTTAAATGGTAGGTTGAGAGTCCCAGAGCACCTCATTTGGCAGGCCATGGAGCTGACGTTTGACCATTGAAATAGCCAACCCCGGCACTATTGATCTCATCGATCACGACAACTTCACGCCACTGATACATGCCATTATCCATGGCCATGTTGAGTGTGTCGAGCGCCTTCTCGCTAGATCGGCTCGTATTGACCCTGTATCTGATGCAGACCATGTGCCTTTGAACCTTGCCTGCGAGCATGGCTCCGTCGCTATTGTCGAAATACTGTTGAAGCATGGCGCAAATATCCTTCCTGATGCCGAGGGACTGTATCCTCAGCACTTGGTGGCCCGGTGTGGCCGAACTTCGGATTTGCTCCTGCTCCTGAAGCAGTATGGAGCTGACCTCGATCAAGTCGACAAGCTGTATGGATGGACACCGTTGCTGCATGCTGCTAGTGAAGGAAAGGTCGAGTGTCTTCAAGCGCTGCTCAAGATTGGTGTCGACGCGACGATACGAGATGAAAAGGACCTACCCGCCATGTACTATGCCGCTTGGGAGGGCCACTTGGAATGCATGCAGCTTCTCACCCCGTTCAACAAGCGCCCGAAAGCAAGCCCATTGGGAGGCCAGCCCACAATTGACATTATTGGCAGCAGTAATGCCCCCCTGCCAATGTCACTGGATCCGGATGCCATCCCGATCCTGGAGTTGCCTCCACCAATCATTCCTCTTCGACGATATGGCCACAACTTCCTTGATACCAAGACTGTGGTGCAAATCAGCTTTCAGGATTCGGGCGAGCAACCGCTGGTTTTCTTCCAGGATGGCAAGTACCCGGCTGCTCGGTTGACGATTTCCTCCAAGGTTTCCGATCTCATCCCCAAGAATATCATTTTGCCGTTTCAAGAAGATACCCGTATTGTTTCTTTCCAAGTTGATAACCTCAAGACGTTTTCACTCGACTTTGATGTTTTCCCGGCGTATGGCGCCAAGACAATTGCAAAGACGGTGGTACTGCCGTCTGTATTCCTGAACCAGTCAGGCAGCTCGAAATCTTGCCTGCCGCTCTTCGACCCGCGGTTGCGAGCCATCGGCCAGATTACCTTCAACACGCAGGTGATCAAGCCGTTCAGGGGACAGCCTCTCGAGATTACAGACTTTGAGACGTACTGGAAGGCGACAAGCCAGTTTAACCAGCCTACCAACGCCATTGTTACCGGATCAAGTCTGTCTGGTGACTATGTCCGAGTCTTTGTCCAGTACACTAGCGATGGGGTGCCTATTATTTGGCCACAATGGACGATTTCGTGCGGTGGGCTGGATATTCCCGTCTGCAGACTGTCATTTGCGCAGTTTGATGCCATCACCTCCCAAGGTGCCAGCCGCGCTCAGCTCGCGGGCCTAGCGACCAAGACGGCGGATGACATTGCCGAAATCTACCACATCTTGGCGACTGCTGGAATAACGCTCAAGGACGCACTGGCTATCCTCCCTCCAGGCATCCACGTCAATCTGCAGATTGTATACCCGACCACAGAGGAGGAAGAGACACTGGCCTTGGGCCCGGCTCTTGACGTCAACGTCTACGTTGACTCGATCCTCACGGTTGTTTTCGACCATGCCCGTGCTCAGAGGGCACAGTCCCACTCGTCACACGTCGTGCGTTCCATGGTGTTTAGCAGCTACAACGCGCGACTATGTACCGCTCTCAACTGGAAACAGCCCAACTTTCCAGTATTTTTGTGCAATGACTTAGGCCGGGACGAGAATACGGTGCTGGTCAACGGAAGGCGGACAACGTCGATCAAGGAAGCGGTGCGGATTGCACAGACGAATAACTTTATGGGTCTGATATGTTATTCAAGGCTGCTGGTAAGATTGCATTTCTCTTGTCCATTCTCATCCTCTTCCCCTTTTCTTCTCCCCCACAGATGGCATAGCTAACCCTCTCGAACAGGATATGGTGCCGGCGCTGGTTGATGCGGTCAAATCGCATGGACTTGCCCTCGTGATGGACAAGTCTTCTGATACCCCTGAAGCGAGCCCTCTGGTGGATCCTTTCCCTCGGCCACCCAAGGGTGTCGACGGAATCTTGAGAAGTCATGGTATTTTACGCTTTAATGATTCTATAGACATGTAGACGATGCGGGTCTTTTTTATTTGGGATGGGGCGTGAATCTGGGTGTGACATGCCGTGCAAAATCCGGCGACTTTGTTGGCCATGGTTGTGGAAACAGAAGAGAAAACAAAGAGATCTGTTACTGTCTTTTCCTCGGTATTACACGGCGGCCGTGGTGCCCGTTTTGTGTTTTTTTTTTAGTAATCATTATATAAATCTATATTAGGTAGGTATAAATGTCTTCCCGTCAAGCACCTTTGTAGCCGTACTTGAGGCCCGTCAATTCCTTCTCCGGATCTACGCCGGCCATGACAACCTTTGCTGTGATGGCAACAGAGTAGACGAGCCCCGGCACGTTGCCCATGCTGACCCATCCGAACCCGCCCCCTCGCTCGTCTCCTCTCACCAAGCCCATGAGGACCAGCAAAACGACCAGCCCAAGGTTTAGATACGGCAGCGTCCTCTCCAAGGGGGACCGCGTTTCGACGGGCGCGCGGCCGAGGACGCCGATGCCAGCGTCGATTCCCCTTAGAGAACTGCGCAGCTGGAATCTCGTTGACGGGTCGGCTCTGGAGCTACCGGCCCAGGAATCGATGACGGCGATGCCCGTCTCGGTGGGGGGTAGTTTGTAGAGCAGAAACGCGGTGGTGAGGAGGGACGTCAGGCAGAAGACTGCGAAGGAGACGGTGGCGGGGGTGAAGAGCGGGCGGAGGTAGGCGATTGTTGAGAGGAGCGGGAGGGCGATGAGGATGCGGTTGAGAGCTTCGTTTTGGGAGGCGTTTTGGGTAGCGAGGGTTTGGATGAGGGAGTCTTGTTCTGTTTTTTTTTTTCGGTTTGTGAGTTGATGTTGCTTTGGTCTTGGGAGGGGGTTTGGAGATGAAGATGAGAGTTACCTTGTTCATCCATGGCTTCGGGGGAATCGGAGTCGGAGTCGTTGGGGTAGGCAAAGGTTCGTCTTAGACGGGTGGTTGGCGTGTCTGCGAGGGAGGCCATTGTGAGTAATGCGATGCCTTGTTTCCTCGATGGATGATGGATATTGTGTGGAAGCAAGATCTGAGTGAAGTAATACGGTTTTCTTGGAGATGAGAGAAGAAACAGGCGAAGGAGAGGTAGATGACGACGCTGATGATGAAGCTGGGAGGCAAACACCTTGATAGCATTTCAACAGCAAGCTCTCAGCCTTATGACGCCACAACGCAGATAGAAGAGAGAGGTACGTACCAAATCCCCCACTAACATTCCCCCCCCACTAAAATTCCTTCAGCCTCATGCCAAACATGGTCTGACCTGAGAATATCCGAAACCATTTCTATACCAAGAACACACAAAAAAAAAAAAACCATCATGATATCGCGAATCGCGAGCCGCAGGCTGTGTGCCGCGGCATCTCGGCGGGCCGGCAGCAGCAGCAGCAGCAGAAGCGGTGAGAGTGTTGGTCAGAATGCCAGAGCGGCGCAGAGACGGTGGATGACGCCTGCGCCGAAGCCCGGCGACGGGCCCATGATGTCGAGACGAGCCGATCGCGAGCTTCCCGGTGAGTTTACAGCTGATATTGCACTTTTCGACAAATCAATTGGGTGTTTATCTAGCTGACTAACTATATGAACCATTGGATAAAGACGTCGGCCAAGTCTCGCAAGGCTGGCGCCGCACCATGCCCATCTTCCTCGCCGTCGTGGCCGTGTGCTCCGTCACAATCTTCAACTACCAAAAGTCCTCGTCGCCCATCATCTCGTCGACGCTCTACGCGCTGCGCACCTCCCCCGAGGCCAACCGCCTGCTCGGCGACGAGATCTACTTCAAGCACCAGATCCCCTGGATCAGCGGCGAGATGAACCAGGTCAAGGGCCGCATCGACATCAGCTTCTCCGTGCGCGGGTCGCGGGGCGCGGGCGTCATGCGCTTCGCCAGTCATCGGCCCTCGAGCAAGGCGCTCTTCGAGACGACTGAGTGGAGTTTGACGCTGGAGGACGGGACAAGGGTGGATTTGCTGGATGGCAATGATCCGTTTAGGGGATTGTTGGGCGGTGATGATGATGAGGATGATTTGCCGTTGGTGGATGATGAGTCGACAAAGGGATTTAGACAGCAGGGTGCGTTCAACAGGTGATGGAGGGGGATGCTGTGCGTTGTTGTGCCTCGAGAGATGGGAGATGAGAGCGTTGAGGGAACTGCATGGCTCTTGTACAAGTAGAATTTTCGGTTGATTTTGGTCTTTCATGAGTGTCATGACGTGTATAGTGTACTCCTATAAATACAAAAAAAGCCCGCTTTCCTCTTTTGCCTTTTTCTTCCCCTTTTCTTTCTTCACCCTTGTCTCAATGTACTCGTTACAGATCCCCCCCCCCCCGCCCATGAAATTGGTATTCATCATCATCATCTTCTTTTTCTCTTACAATTCGGCCATGTGCGACCTTCGCTGGGCCTGCATCTCCAGGTGTCTCAACCTCGCCTCCTCCAACTTGGTCTCCAGATCGGGCTGTCTCTGATCCAGCTCCTCGCGCGCCTTCTCCCTGTACGGCAGAGCCGGGGCTTTCCTCTTCTTCGCATCCTGGAGCCGCACGATGCGGCCCTTGGGACCGGGAATCGGCCCGCTGACGAGCACCACGCCCAGCTCGTTGTCCACCTTGAGCACCTTGAGGTTCTGCACCGTCACGAACTCGTTGCCCATGCGGCCGGGCATCTTCTTCCCGGGAAGCACACGACTTCCGCTGCCCTGCGAGGGACCCGTCGAACCGATCGTTCGGTGATTCTTGGAGTTGCCGTGCGAGGCTTCCTGGCCGGCAAAGCCGTGGCGCTTCATACCACCGGCAAAGCCCATGCCTCTTGACCGAGCCTTGACGTCAACATGCTGGCCCAGCTGGAACCAGTCCGGCAGCAGCTGCGCGCCGACGGGCAGCAGACCTTCCTCGCTGCGCACCTTGAACTCGGCCAGCTCGGCCTTGGGCGCAATGCCCTTTGCCTCGTAGTATCCCAACATCGGGCTCGTCACGTTGCGTCCCTGCCTGGCGCCGAGCCCAACCTGCACCGCCCAGTAGCCGTGCTTCTCACGCGTCTTGTTCGCAATGACCTGCACCTGGTCCATCTGCAGCACCGTGCACACCACCCGAGTCTTGCCCTGGAAGATGCTCGTCATGCCCTTCTTGACGGCGAGCGCGCCCGTCCGCAGGGGCGTCGTGTTCTCGCGCCGCTTGAGCGCGGCCGCGGGGCCCGTCGTCAGGGCGGGAAGGCCAGAAGTCGGCTGGTTGAAGCGCTTGTGCTTGGATCGCGGCGGCGCCGTCGACCAGCCGTACTTGATGCCGCGCTGGGGGATGTGTGGGAGGAGGAGCGCCGGCCGGTTGACTGAGGCGAGGCGTGGCAGAGCCACTCGAATTGGTATCCTGGGAGGCATTGAGGGCGGTTCTCTGTGTGTGTGAGATTCTTCTATGTGGACGTCATTGGGTGGTTTTTTTGTGGTTTTGGGGGGGCCGAGTTTCGCCTTGGTTTGGGATGGTATGATGGGAAATTTTGGAGTTTAGTTTAGCTTCTGGCTACCTATGGCAGGCTCGGGTATTCTGCGGGCGGGGTGGTTTGAGTGGAAAGAGGTTCAGCCTCGCGGGGTACGTACCTGCGAGGTGGGATGAAGCAGAGAGAGAGAGCAGTTCGACTCAGTTTTGTTCATGGATGTTGATGTATTTGTTTCATGGGATATGGTATATATGTATTACAATCGAAATAATGTAGATTTTATTATTATTCTTGTTTATTGCTCTCATTGTTCATCACCGTCACGTAACATCTTTGCTTCTACACCCCCGGCCCTCTCCCCCCAATCCCGCTCCCCATCTCATTCACACTCGTCCCCTTGACCTTGTGATCCCCCGGCTGCGCAGCCGCCTCATAGATGATGTTCGTCGGCGCCTTTCCCAGCCTCGTCCACTCCCCCTTGAAGCCCAAGTAGCTGATCCGCGACACGTCCTCGTCGCCCTCGCCAAAGTTGTCCACGAAGAAGAGCACCAGCCGCTGCACACTGCCAAACAGCGAGCGCTTGACGGGGATCTCTTGGATGTCGGACGTCTGCGAAAGCTCGATGGTCTGTAATGGCGATGCTTCTTCGGCGGCTGCGAAATCGATGTCGTCGCGGTTGATGAAGAGCTGCAGCGTTTTGGGGGCCGAGAGGGATGGTGATGTGCGGATGAGGATGGAGTGTAGCTTGACTTGGGCTGTGAATCTATTGAAAACCCGAGTTAACAAAAGATGATGAAATTATTTGTTGTAAAGTAAAAGCAAATTCAATCATGATAAAGTGTATATAATGGATTAATCAAAATAAAGAAGAAGATCAAGACAAAAACTCACGGCACCGTCATGAGAAGCTGCTCATCCGCATCGCTCTCCAGCTCCGGCTCGGCACTCAACCTCTCCGCCCACGTCTTCTTGACAATCAACTTGCCCGCGTCTCTGCGCGCTTCGTTGAGCGTCGTGATTTCATCGAAATGGATCTGTTCGTACAGCGAAGACTGCAGCGCGGGCGTGATGTCGTCTGAGTGGTCGTGCTCGCCGTGGTCGTGAGAGTGGCCATGGTGGTCGTGTTCGTCGTGGCAGTGAGACATGCTTATTAACTCGATTTGCTGATGGGTTTTGACAACGGATTAAGTGAATCTTGGTCAAATGGAGGACTAGTGATCTGAGATGGGATATTTGTAACGTAGATGACGGGATGGAATATGATAAAAATTCCTGGATTCGATGATGTAGATGGTTTGTTTGCTACAGCATCCAGAGGCCCCGCAGATAGCCGTTAAATTGAGCGACTCCAAAGTCTTACATGAAACGAGCACCACCACCTTGATAAAACAACATTGATGCAGGTGTTGTATAGTTTCCTGCTATTTTACTAATTCTTTTCCTTCTTCCTAAAAATGTCCAAAATCTTTTAAATAGCAAAACGCATCCATCCAACATCTCATATCCAGCGGGTATCAATGGAATCGCCAAAGTAGTACAAACCCAGCAACTATAAGCAAGCAACCCAATGTAACAAAAATTTCCTCCAGCTATCAAAAAAGCAAAGAATAATAAATCACCGGAATCCACCCTTCCTCTTCACCTTCTTCTTCTTCCTATCTCCAAACGGCCCAGAAACAGGCTGGCTCATTGTCACGGCCGTCTGCTGCTGAGTCGCCTCCGGAGCCGCCTGGCTGGACATGACCTGCACGGGGGGCGGTCGCCCCGATGCCAGGGGATTAACGTCGGGAAGCCCTTGTCTCATAAACGCTGGTCGCCTAAACTTTTCCGATCGCGCTTTGCGCTTCGCTTCAAACCTCTGCAGTCGTTCCTTGGCGTCCCTGAAGAGCTCTTCATTGGCTCTTGCCACGCTTGAAACGTATTCGTTTGGATCAACGCCCCGTTCCTTAGGCCAGTATGATAGCACTTTGGATCGTTTTGAAACGTCCGGCTTGTCAGTGTCCAAAGACTGGGCCAATAGTCGTAGTCGCTCAACCGCCTCGTCCGGTCCGTTGAAGACTGCCGATGCAGCGGGCGACGCAGCGGGCGAAGATCCTATGTCTCTGGAGCCTGATCTCGACGAGGCTGTAATTTGGGAGCTGCCTATCTGACGCCCTGTCCGAGGCCTCTGAGCCTCCTCCTCCAGTACTTCCGAACTACTAGGCCCAAGCAAGGGAATGTCCTGGTACATGATTCCATAGCTGGACAGAAAGGCCTCCCTGGCCAGTTCGGTAATCCATATTCGCCGAACTTGTTGCATATCCTCAGTGAGAATGCCCTTTATGGGATCGATCCATACTTCGGAAAAATGGCGCTGTAGATATTGCAGGCTGACCAGTGACATGGGCATTTCGTTCTGATTATATAGCTGAAGGGGAGTAACAACAACCTTTTCGGTGTTTTCATCCAGCATCTTCTCCATTTCGTCTCTCAGGGGTTCACCAGCCGGCTCAAATGTTGGATCTTGCAGCATCACTTCAGCCACTTCGCCCCTGTATTATAATCTGATTAGTATATGCCATGTGAGCGCAAGCTCAAGCTTAATTACTTACCACGTTATCAATGGTAGCCTCCCCTGGTCGAACCCATCGTCAAGGCATTGTCTAAGGGCGTCAAACAATCCACAAGGGAGGCCGGTTTCTCCTTGGTTTACTGAAGCTTCTAGAGAGTCTTGTAGAGCTTGGTATAGTCTATCCATTTTAATAAAAGTCGGTCGGACAGGTGCTGGGCTCTCAGCATTATCATCAGACTCTCCGTCATCTTCGACCTCTTCACCATTCATAAGCATCTCAACGTCGTCGACAGTCATTTCGTCGGGGAAAATGAATGAGTTGGAAATCTGCGCCATGGCAGTTCTTCTCCCTTTTTGCTTCTTCATTTGTTGTTTGCCTTCAGCCCACGCGGCAGGCACCGTAGGGTCTTGGACTTCGAGCGTCGGGTCATCGAACGTGACACATAGGCAACGCTGGAGGCTTAAATCTTTGCCTAAGAAAGTTAACTGATAAAACAGAGCGCCCTTTTTATGGTAGTCCATTCCCAGACTTGACACATTTTCTTTGACTGAGACTGCGAGTTGAACTGGGTCGACCCTGAGAAACTCAATCACGTTCTTTGCTGGAAACTCCGTGTCCTCGCTCCCCGGAAGTGATATAATGTCTCGATGCCACTGAGGCACTCTGCTTACAGGTGAAATTGTGAACCAGAATATGCAAAGCTGGCCCATTCGCGGATAGTAGATAAAGACTAGTGATGTATCTTGGTCATCATCTGATGCTCGGCAGACAAACATCCTCGAGTCATCATTTTTTGTTCCCAAATGGGGGCACGAGAGTAATATTGACGGCTTCAGTAGCCCCGATCCTTCTTCATCACGGCTAAACACATTGACCCAGGTGATATGGTATTGCGTAAGGATGAAAATGTGACCTTGCTGAGTCGGGCTGCGATGGATATCTAAGATCCAATCTAGCTTGCCCCTTTCCCGAATGACGTGACCGAGCCTTGGAAGTAAGATGTTTGCGTCTAGATTCAAAACCTCCATTCTCTCATGATTCCACATCAGAAGATACCGCGTGGTAGCGTCTGCCGTCTTGCGAGAGGAGGGGGACGGAGAGCTTTCGACTTTTCCAGACCACGTTTCTTCCAAAACAAGGATCCCGTGTCTTTCAGTCGAAGAAGAAGGCATAGATGGTAATTCGTTGAGTAAGCCGTCAGAAATGTGCCCGCATTTGTTGAGGGTCAATTGGGGAGCGACTCTTCGTTGGGCCTGCGAAGTTCCCAGATCGTCCCATATGCTCCAGAACCCGCCCTCGTCTATAATGGCAAGTTGATGCGATCGGCCAGATGCCGTGGCAAACAAGGCGACATCGGAATGAGCGTTTCCTCCTGTTTGACGATACTGAATAGTCAGCAAAGGATTTGGATTTATCAGTGAAGGTCGTCCCCGAATCAAGCTACTCGTTGGCTGATTTGAGGTGGTGGGCACCTGGCGGAACTCTGGTTTGAGGATAGTTGTCGCTGTTTCTTTTTGAATCAGCAGCCACCGAGGTGTGTCGTCTTTCGAATGGTTCCCAGCAAATTTGATCTGCCTGATGGGCAGTCCGTCATTAGTCCATATCAATTCTGCTTCTCTGTTGGCCGGATCGACGGTCTGAAGATTCAAAAATGCATTCGCGTTGTCTCCCCATTGTAATGGCACATCTTCCACGCGAGCAAGCCGTAAGAGCTCTCCGGATTCTCCGCAGGCGACAGCCATTATAGGGGACTTTCCAGGCCCTGTCTTGATACTTGAATCGGGGACGTGCCCAATGGCGTATAGAGGCCTAGTGTTGGGGGCATTATCTGAGATGTTGAGTGCCTCTATGTCTGCTTTGAGAGTGTCTTGATATGCCGAATTGCCCATGGTGATCTCTGGGTGAGACTTGAACAGCCATCGTTGTTGATTTTGACGCTCCCTCCAGAGCCTAGTGGATGTCTCAGGAGGCCGACTTTTTGAAGCTGAATAAATAATAGTTGAAGCACTGATAATCTTGAAACGAGGACCTGGTACCCGATGTTAGCATTGATTTTTAAATCTTTGTTTGCTTCACCTTCACCCCTTGCTTCTCACTTACATCTTGAGGTGAACCGGGATGTCTCCAATATCCCAAGTGTCCTTCCGGGATGCTCGCTGGGAATATATTTCAATTCGCCTGGAGTTCCCAGGCCCATCAGGGGATGAGGCCACCAGTCCGCCATTTCAGGCCAGTTATCGTGTCCAATGCGATGAGAAATGGCTGATTTTTCTTCATCTCGAGTTCACCAGAGACAGATCGTGGCTGCATTCGGGGTCACATAGAGGAATCGGATGTGGCTCAGATTGGCATCAGCAGGTGTAGTAAGTGAGAGATGCAATAAATATAAATGATTAAGAAGAAAAACTAGCCAATTCTCAGCACTCCTTCTTCACTGAGCATGTCACGACATGAGCTTGCTTGAGATTTGAGTTCTTGAATTTGAGCCACGTGACCAAGGCCTGCACTTTGATTTTGCGCCACACTTGGCTGTGTCGACCCAGCAACGTGCTTTTTGGGTAAACACCACCAGCCGGAGCTCTGGAACCGACCGAGCAGCGTTTTTGCTTTGCTTCATCCCGCCTACAACACCCTGCAAACAGATCCCAGAAAACAAGACGAGTAAACACACGCACGCACACAATGTCTGCCGCTTTCGATCCGTCAATGTCAATCGGCCCAGGTCGCCAGACCATCGCCCCCGTTGGCCCCTCCGCCGCCGACAAGCTGCCCAGCATCGACTTTGGGTTCGACGATTTGCGCGAGCGCATGGCCAAGTTCACGGCTAGGTTCGATGCCTTTATCGAGCAGGGCCGCAAGCGCGTATTGGAAGAGCGCAACCAGTTCCGCGTCAACATGGCCGAGCTACAAGGTATGCGCTGGTGCAAAAATGCCATATGGATATAAGATATAGATACCATCTATGAACAAGAGACTGACTCTCCCCTTCCCCGCAGAGGACGAACGCATGAGACGGAGGGACATTGAAATCGCCCAAGTCAAGATGTCGACGTACCAGCAAACCATTGAGAAGGAAGAAGCCGAGAAGCGCGAGATGGAAGGCTCGATATCTTCGCTCGCCGCCCAGCGCGACAGCCACATCGCCGCGCGCGACAGCCTCAAGGCCCAGATTGCCCAGACCCAAGCTGAGATAGACTCTCGGCTGGCCGCCCAACGCGCCTACGCAAAGCAGAAAGAGGCGCAGCTACGGTACAACGTGCCCGAGCTGGACTTTTGGATCACGAACCTGTGTCTGCGGATTGAGGGCGCGGGAAAAGACGACCGGCTCAAGTTTGTGTACACGCACATTGACGAGAAGAACTGGGAGCGCGAGGCGTGGTTCGAGCTGGTGACTAGCTCGCGGGATTACGATGTGAAGCATTGCAGGCCCAAGCTGGAGCGGGAGAGCGTCGAGAGGGTGTTGGACAAGGTCAACGAGTCGAGGGAGCTGGTTGTGCTGCTGAAGGGAATGAGAGAGCTGTTTGTGGAGGCAGTAAAGTCATGAGATATGGGGGGGAGGGAACTTTGATTATTATTGATGAGGATGATGTGTGTGCTAGATACCCGCAGCTGATGATTTACATGATGTATATGGACACTGCACTTTGTTTCTTCTCTCGCGTCGAGTACCCAGTCTCAAGTCTCGGCGTGTAATGCCACCACAACGTGACGAGTACTATAAAACGAATGAATGGCTATGTATCTCGAACTTCATAGAGACAATGAGGCTCTTCTCCCGCATGCCTGACGCTGGTCCTGATCCTCACCAGCCACATGTGCAATGGAAACCACTAACAGGCGCTGCAAACCCGCTGTCAAGCTTAGCTGCAGCGCGTCACCCCCACTAAACCTCATCAGACATCCCATACAACAACCCACGCCAAACATCCTCCCAGCATCCAAACCACCACCATCAAAACCCAGCCCTTTCGCCATGCCCAAACCCGACAAACACGTCGCGGCCTCTCAAGCCGTCGACATTCTCGAAGAAATCTCAACCATGCTGGTACGCATCTCATCTCACCAAGAAAAAGGGCAAAAAGAATAAAGATAAACATGCTGATCTTCCCCCTCCAACTAGAACTGCCACATGGACCGCCGCATGCTGTCCACCTGCGTCTCATTGATTGAGCAAGGCGTCCATCCTGAATCGCTCGTGGTAAGCAAGCAAACCCCCTTTGAACGTGACCGTCGTTTCAAGCTATAACTTGGATATTAACGCTCCTCTTTAGCAAGTCATCAAGGAGCTGCGTGAGATTGCCGATGACACGCGCCGGGAACAGCAAGAGGCCGCCGCCGCTAATAATCGGTGAAGCCTCACTCGCGTATACCACTTTTCTCGCCTCATCCCGCTGGGTTGACCTTTTTGTAATTGGTGTTTCCTGTTTGGCTTTTTGCTCGATTTTTGAGCTGGGATTTTCAACTGTAATTCATGGCGCTTAGGGCGTATACAAATACTATATTACCACTTTGGACGACTATTACTGTACATGGTAAATATTAAATTGACGGAGCATTGTCCCAATGGCACTCCCAATTTCCATATGCAAAAGTGACATCTTCCCTTTTTTTTCCTCCCAATGATCCACCTTTTTCTGTCGATGCAACGCCAATATCAGCGCCATGCCGTCGTACTAACTGTAAAGAAACTCCGCCAAAGCAAACATGATAGGAAACGAAATGAAGGATAAGAAAGACAAAAATATAGAGACATGGAAGAAAGAAGGGGGAAAAACAAATGCATGGTATCCCAAAACTAGAAAAGAAAGAAGTTAAAACAACCAAAAAGCTCATTCATTTGCCAAACTCCACTCCATAGAATGCCCCTTGTGGATGGCAAGTATTTTCGTATGTCGTCATGCCTCATGAACAGCCTCCATATGCTCCCACAAGCTTGAAGGCTTCCTTACTCAAGCCACAAGCCTGAATCGTTACCTGTGTCCAATCAAGTTGAACTCATCCTCTTCTTCCTCCTCGTCCTCATCTGCGTCGTGGGCATCGTCATCACTCGATTCATCCGAATCGTACTCATCTTCGCTTGATTCATCATCTTCGTCATCCTCGCCAGTTCTCCAGAAGCCCAAGATGTCATCGTCAGACTCTCCATCCACTTCCAGAACGGCGGCCTGCGGTATATCCATCATCATCTGAGAGGGTGACATGGACCGGGCATATCTTTCGAGTATGCGCGCTGGAGGCTCTAGCGCGCTGGAGGAATGTCGCCGCCTATTAGGCCCTCGCGAGCCTGTCGTGATGGAAATGCGTCGAGCCCCAGGTACCGCTTCCTCCGGACCAGCCTCCCGCACGGCCTGAGACTGATCGCCAGCTGCTGGCTGGAGCGATTCAGCATTCTGCCCCAAGATCTGCAGTTCCACCGTGTTATATGACCGGCATATCGAGCATTTGAGTCCAAGCCAGTGATATGCCACTGTGCTTCTGGCAGAGCAATCGTTGCACAAAATCTTGGCCTTGGTGTCACGGAAATCAGACGGCATTGGCTGGTTCAGGATGGCCATATCCAGATTGCGAAACTGTGTCTCCATATTCATGAGGCTCTTGTTGCAGATTGGGCATTTATACGAAGCCCGCGTGTGCTGGTCATAACATTTTTTGTGTATGCTATGGCCACACACCATGAAAACAACCCGTTTTGGCGATGTAAACATGTACTCGCCACAAATCGGACAGTCACAGTCTGTCGATCGCTCGATGCACTTATGCGAGCTCTCAATTGACGTGGTGATGCATGCTCGACATGTCTACGATGTTGTTTAGCCCACATAACATGAAACGAATGGAGGGTGAATTGAACTCACTTTGCAATGGAAGAAATCCTTTCCCAGCCCCATGCCCCGGCGGCATATTCCACAGTCATTGCAATGATAGATGGGCTTATTGGCCCGGTTCTCCCAGAGCTTACAGATGTTACAGTAATACTGCGCTGACACCACACCGCAGTTACTGCAGACTTCAGATGCCCTCTGCGGTGTGGCACAGAGCATGCAGAGCATGTTCTTTGTATCCTTGCGAATCAGCGTGTGGTCCTCGTGCGTGTCATGGCAAAACCGACAGGTATACCACTTTTTGCAGGTGGAACACTGGAGCTTCACGTTCCGCTCATAGTGCTCACATCCTAGCGGGCCTCGAGTTTCAGTAAGCGAAGCAGCCGAGTGCGTCGGAGTTGTTGTGCTTGGTGTCCTGGAGTGTCGAACAGGAGCGTAGGTCGGGGCTATGTCGCTTTCGCTCAAGACAAACGTCTCCTTGACTGACGGCTCTCCAATCAACTGGTTCTGCCAGTACTTGAGCGACTCCAGAGGTCCGACAGGGCTGGCAAGCTCCCATGTCTGGCCGATGGAGCCGTCATCCGAATCGCTTTTGGCAAGGGGCACGCCGGCGATCACGGAGGCGCGATAGCCCTCCAGCAGGGTATCGTGCATGAGCCTGGCCTTTTCATTAGATGGTATTTCCCGAGCGTTGATCTCCTGGATGCGGGAACGCAGCTCTCGCATACCGTCGTCCTCGGGGATGGGGCCACTCTTGGCCGGCGCACTTCTGGGCGGTGTTATCGGGAAGCCAAGATGGTCCAGCAGAGGTCCGTGACCCGTGGCTGGTCCGGCCGGGACTTCTTCCACGATGGTCTCCTGCGTGGAGGAGCTCAAGGGCCGGGAGCGTCGTTGCTCAGGCGATGCATCGGGCCCCTGCTGCCCGACGTCGTCGGCGTCATCAGAATCGTGGACGGCGTCGGGCGGAACTACTGGCGTCTCTTCATCGCCGGCCAACGTTGCACGGGAGATCTCGGAGAAGCGGCGGGCCTGTCGCAGCACAGGGTTGATGATGAACTCGGAGACAAGGGAAGGCATTTGGCTTGCTTGCGTCTGGCGCAACCGCAGCGCCGGCTGCTGAGGCGCAGCTGAAGACGGGGGATGCTTTTTAAGATTAGGATGAGGCTACCCAGCTCATACAAGTACCGTGGAAAGGGCGGTGATAGTAGCAGGGAATTTAATTAGAAGGAATGGAAGAAAAGAAGCACGAAACGGCGGGGGTTCCCACGCAAGGTCAGTCTCGACGGCAGCCAGCGCTGTTCATCTGGCGAGGGCGTTTCATCTGCTTGGCTGACCAAGAGCAAAAACCGAAGGAGAATATGTAAGAGATGGCCAGAGATTCGACGGCGAGATGTTGGCCACCGTTGTTCGGCAAGGATGACATAAGGCATCGATTGGACCGGATTAGTATTCCAGTAGGCCTGTGAGCCACTTGCTGTGCTGTGCTGTGCTGTGCTGACTGTGGTCTCAGACAGACGCTTGCATGTGATTGCTCCAATTGGACTGATTGACATGGATGAGACTCTCAAGGCCGCTTTAGTGCGTGTTTTAGCGCTTTCGTCTGAGCACCAATAGTGAACAAATAGCGTCGAATTATAGCGCTCCCTGTGGCTCAACCAACATCGAATCTCAGCTGTTGGCCTGTGGCTGGTGGACGGGAGCAGCCAAAAGCCGGCGCAGGTACGTACCGGCCCGGCGTTTTCCAAGAATGGCACTAGCCACGCGGCTGAGCACTTCTGGGCTGGAGGGGATTGCAAGGTGGCCAATATTCCTAGAGCTGAACCAGGGGGGTTTTTTAGAAGCTGTCGTATTCTTGGAACTTCGACGCAAGCAGCAATATCCACCACAAACACCTCCTTTGTCCTCCATTTCGTTTCCCTCTCCTGAGCCGGGCTTGGCCATCAGGATTGTTTCTCCTTTTCTTGTCGACGGTGCCAGCATCGTCGTCGTTGTTATAGTATTTTGAGTCTGTCCAGCTCGTCCAGTCATTACAAATTGTGCCGCAGCCTGCTTCTGCTTCCGTTGGAGCTAGCTGGTCGCCTCTCCCCTTTTTCTCTTCCGAACCTCGCATCTCGAAAACCCGTTCAACCACTTCAATTGATTCCTTTTTGCCTCCATTCGCCAGTTCCCGGGGGGACAGAAAGAGTTCTTTCAAACCATGGCTGCCGACAAGGCCGCCCTCGCCTCCGGCGCTGACCTGGGCGACGGCTTGAGGCAGCGACAGGTAGCTTCGCAAGCCGCGCCCGTGCCCATTGCCCAGCCTGAGGACAAGAAGAAGCTGGCAAAGAAGGTATATAAATGATTAGCGAGAGCCGGCAGGCTTAATTGCGTGCAAGCATCGAGCTGACAGCGGTTGCAGGAGAAATCCGTCCTCGAAGTGTTTGCAGACTTGGAGTCCATCCTTGCCCCGCTGATCTTCACAGCCGTTGCCATCTTCACTCGATTGTGGAAGATTGGCATTAGCGACATCGTCACCTGGGATGAGGCTCAGTACGTAACCCTTGCCACTTTGTGCCTGAGAGACGTGCTAGAGCGGAACAAGTTTTACTGACTTGTGACTCTTGACAGTTTTGGCAAGTTTGGAAGCTACTACATCAAGCATGAATACTACTTCGACGTCCACCCTCCGCTCGGAAAGATGCTGGTAGGCCTCTCCGGAGTCCTCGCCGGCTACAACGGATCCTTTGAATTCAAGTCTGGCGAGAAATATCCCGAAGACGTCAACTATACATTCATGCGAGCCTTTAATGCCGCCTTTGGCATTGCTTGTATCCCCATGGCCTACTTTACTGCCAAGGAGCTGAAGCTGACCCGACCTGCCGTCTGGTTTGTTACCCTGATGGTTCTCTGCGAAAACTCTTATACCACTATCAGCCGCTTCATTCTCCTCGACTCCATGCTTCTTTGCGGAACCTTTGCTACCACTCTCTGCTGGGTCAAGTTCCACAACCAGCGTCACAACAGCTTTGAGCCCGAATGGTTCTTTTGGCTCTTCATGACGGGCGTGAGCATCGGATGCGTTTGCAGTGTTAAGCTCGTCGGTCTCTTTGTCACTGCCCTGGTTGGTCTATACACAATTGAGGATCTGTGGAGAAAGTATGGTGATAGAAAGATGCCTATTGTGAGTAACCCTCTCGTTATGCCGGTACGGATCGCCATTTGCTTACACTTTTGCAGCCTGTCCTTGCCGCCCACTTCTCTGCTCGCGTCGTGGGTCTCATCGTTGTCCCTTTCCTTATCTACATGATCTCCTTTGCCCTGCACTTTGCCATTCTCGACTCCACCGGCCCTGGTGATGCCCAGATGAGCTCCCTGTTCCAGGCCAACCTGAAGGGAACCGAAGTCGGCAAGAATAGCCCCTTGGAGATTGCCATCGGATCTCGTGCCACCATCAAGAACATGGGCTATGGCGGCGGTCTTCTTCACTCTCACGTTCAGACCTACCCTGAGGGCTCTGGCCAGCAACAGGTTACTTGCTACCACCACAAGGATGCCAACAACGACTGGTTCTTTTACCCCAACCGTTTCGAAGCCGATTACGATGCCGAGTCCCCAGACCTCCGATTCATCGGCGATGGATCCGTCATTCGTCTCATTCACGCCCAGACCGGCCGCAACTTGCACTCTCACGAGATCGATGCTCCCGTCACCAAGTCCCACCGCGAAGTGTCCAGCTACGGCAACCTCACTGTTGGTGACGACAAGGACCACTGGCGCATCGAGGTGGTCCGAGACACGGCATCCCGCGATCGCAGCAGAATCCGCACTCTCACGACTGCCTTCCGCCTTAAGCACACTGCGCTGGGCTGCTACCTCCGCGCTGGAAACGTCAACCTTCCTCAGTGGGGCTTCAAGCAGATCGAGGTTACTTGCGACAAGCAAAACAACCCCCGCGACACTTACACTCACTGGAACGTTGAGGCTCATTGGAACGAAAAGCGTGAGTTAATGATTGTTTCCCCCCCTCTTATTCTAGCATTTTAGCATGACTGACCCTCTTGATCTTTTAGTGCCTGCCAGCGACCCCGGTGTTTACAAGTCGCCCTTCATCCACGATTTCATCCACCTCAATGTCGCCATGATGACTTCCAACAACGCCCTGGTGCCGGATCCCGACAAGCAGGACGACTTGGCATCTCAGTGGTGGCAGTGGCCCATCCTGAACGTCGGCCTTCGCATGTGCGGCTGGGATGACAACATTGTCAAGTACTTCCTTCTCGGTAACCCCTTCGTCTACTGGGTCTCCACCGCCTCTCTCGGCCTTGTCGCTGCTGTTGTGGCATGGTACATTGTGCGATGGCAGCGCGGATTCAAGGAGCTCAGCAACTTTGAGGTTGATCAGATTCACTACGCCGGCATCTACCCCGTCATCGGCTGGTTCTTACACTACCTTCCCTTTGTCATCATGGCGCGTGTCACCTACGTTCACCACTACTATCCTGCCCTGTACTTTGCCATCCTCTCCCTGGGCTTCCTTGTCGACTGGGTCCTGAGGAACCGCAATGCGGTTGTGCAGAGTGTCATCTATGGCACCCTGTACACTGTCATTATTGGACTTTACGTCCTCTTCATCCCCATCTGTTGGGGTATGATTGGAAGCAACCAGCAGTACAAGTACCTGAAGTGGTTTGACAACTGGCGCATCAGCGATTAAACAGTATTTCCGACTAGCCAACTCAACAACACCATGCTGGTGAACATATATCTTTAACCCGTGTTCATCATCATAGGAATTTTTTTTTATCTTGGGGGTAGATGGACGAGTGGATGACGGCCGAGGGAGGCTGCTTATTCTTAAACAACCAAAAAAACGCTCGCACACTCTGTAAGATTTGTAAAGACGTGGGAGGTGTATGGAGATTTCTCACATTAATGAAGAAAAAAGATATGGGTAGGGTAGGATGGATTTTGCAAGTCATATAAAAAGATGATATGGGAAAAAAGGGTTGGCGGAAAATACAATACACCGCATTTAATGCAAGACATATATCTCCCCAACTTTTGCCATTGCCCCGGTGCAGAAAGAAGGCGTCATTCGGCTTCGCGTCTGCCAGTTGTGTTGTGCATTCTACTACTATTATACAGTGCCATGCTGCCAGTTACTTTGCTATGGATGTCATCAAGGGCTCTCGGACATGAATGTCGTGTAAATGATGAAAGCCCATCGGGTATCTTGTCTTGTCTTGCCGACTTTCCCTTCCTCCTCGTTCCTCCCCATGCGCACACGACTTTCGCTTACGATTCGAATTATACAGAAAACAGAATTGAGAAAAGAAGATCCGCCTCAGCAACATCCACCACCTGATTTAGCGGCGTCGGTAGATAATTTCACTTGCCGGTTTCCGCCAGCGCCGGGCCCCTTGACGCCAGACCTCCTGTCGTTCAGATTGTACTTGCCGGCCTGGATGTTCTGGTATATCCTCTCGGCGACCCTCATAAAGGCCTTCTCGACGTTCTCGCCGCTCTTGGCGCTCGTCTCGACGTATTCAAGGATGCCATTGCGCCTGGCCCACTCTTCGGCCTCCTCGCGCGTGACCTCTCGCTTGTTGTCCTCCTGCTGCGTCAGATCGGCCTTGTTGCCGACCAGGACAATGACAATGTCCGGCTCAGCAATCTGGCGGAGGTCGTTGAGCCAGTCGGTAACGTGCTGAAAGGTGGCCTTGCGCGACAGGTCGAAGACGAGCAGCGCACCGCTCGCGCCGCGGAAGTATGATCTCGTGACGGACTTGTACGTCTCTTGGCCGGCCGTGTCCCACAGACTGAGCTTCATATGCTTCTGGGGGATGCCGCTGGTGTCGCGCCGGGGTTCCGGAAGGCCGGCGGGGGACGACGGTTCGTCTGGAGAGGACAGGGAGGGGATGGGGCCGGCGGGCGTGTGAGGAGGGCCGACGGGCACGATGCGGGAGCCGAATTCGACGCCGATTGTGACGTCGTGATGCGCGGAGAAGCGGCCTTCGCAGAGGCGGATGGTGAGACTAGATTTGCCGCATCCTGAGTCGCCGATGCAGACTAGCTTGGCGATGTAGTCCCACGGAGCTGATGAGGACATGGGGAGGAGAGGAAGCGTGCGATGCGCACGAGGTTTGGTAGAGCTGTGAGAGTGAAGAAGGGGATTGGGAAGAATAGAGCAACGGAGAGAAGATGAGGGGGGGAGGGGCGTCGGAGGGTTCAAAGAACGAAGGTCGAGAGTTGGAATTTTTGGTTGGAGGAGGTTCGCAAATGTAGGTGTAATTGATCCAAGTGGGTTTGATTTGAGGCTGGAGCTGGCGATTAGCGGCACGTGCGCCGGTGCGATCTAAGGACGGCTTTAAGACCTGGATAAAAGAGATACAAGGATGGCAGAGAGACGGAGAGATGGAGAGAGATAAGGCTCAGAAGCGGTAGAAAGAAAAGGTTGGCGGTTTAAAGAGAGGGAGAAGAAAATCACCAGACACTCGATTACACAGGAATAGAAGTACAGGAAATGCAAGGCAGGTGACGATGGGCTCTGTCTTGTGTGGGATGAGATGGACATGGGGCTGTCACGGGCCAGCCAAAGGTGTGTGACCCGACCCGCGAAAAAGCTGGAGAAGAGGGAATTGGGGGCCGGACTTTGGATCGGGAATTGGCGAGGTATTTTGTAGGCAGACGCTGCAATTGGAGAACATCTACTAATGCAAGGCGAGGGTATTCTGGCAGTTCAATCTGGACAAAGGGATACCTATTCAGGCAGACAGAGCAGATGGGAGCATTGGAAGTGTTATCGGTGACGCAAGAAGGCGATAACGGGCATCATGATGGGGACCCTTGACTAGCGGTATTGGGTAACTGATGCTACAGGCAAGGTACCGCGTCTGCTAGCGCACGCACTGAGCACACCGGGCTCGTATCAGCAGCAGCACTAACGGCAACTAAGTTCCTCCCATGTATCGCGTCTTAGAGGTGGACAATAGCATGACCGGTGCAGGTCAGCGCCCCATGCCGGTACATGGACGGACCGTCGTAGGCAGCCGTGTGCGCAGCTGGTGTACTCGTACAGGTACCGGCGTATGATGTGCAGTTGGGCTGCTGTCAACCGCGATTCGCTTTGTGCTAGTAGCTGCACGGTCCTTTCTTTCACGGTACACGGTCAATGCTGCGTCTTACCTGAGTAAAGTACGGAGTACTCCGTACAACCTGGTACGACCTTGGAGCCTCGGGCTCTGCGCTTCCGCAGCCGGTCGACGTCGAGGCCTTTGACCCAGCATGAACCCTCATTGCCTAAGATGGGTATTTGTTTATATACTGCTACTAAGGTAGTACAGAGCTGGAACTTCATTTTACTCGCAAATGACTTCTTCTCTCTCTACCTTTTCTTGCTCTTCCTTTATCCTTCATCCCTCATTCGTTATTACTTTACAGCATCTATCTACCTAGTCATCACCTCCCTCGGTGACCGGGGGTCAAATGACGGCACGCCGCCCTTGTGCTCACCCAGCCTAAAAGGTCCCCCCCACAGGTAGGTCTAGGTACTGCGGAGGTACCTGTACCCATCTCGGCAGGCAGCGCACCGCATGCGGACCTCCTTATCACTAGCAGTCATCACCTGTGGCTCTGTGAGGCGCTGACCGCCAGCAACCTTAGGCTCTTAGCCAGCGAGGGACGCCCACCTGTACTCCAGGCACTCACTAAGTTTTGGTCTATCGAGGTCACCAAACCGACTCATCCGCCCTGTGTCGCCTGACCCTCAACTCTTTTTCTCCTCTGCTTTTTCCTTCATACAGTCGCTGTTATTGCAAAATCAAGCATCCACCATACATTACTCATATCCCGCCATGGTGTAATATCTTTCTCTGTCTTTGATTCTTAGTCTTTGTTTCTTGGGCCATTATTCTCCCTGTTGTATGCAAGGGAGAGCCGCCTAACTCTTTGCTGCCTTTCCAAGCGCCGTTCGTCATCGCCCATCATCCTGCTTTAGAGTTTCATCGCACCTCCGCTCCAACGAAGCAAGAAAAAAAGATCGACAAAAGTGCCGCAACGCAGCTGCAGTTCGCCAGACATCGAGGTGACAACCGTGCCAAACCACTTTATCGTGGGGGCGGCGGTAGGTGAAGGGGCATCATGTTTTCCGAGTGTGCGTGACGACATCGAGCCGTATAAGCCTGCGTTTGATGAAGCTGCTGTTAACCCATTTCCCTCAGATGCCTCGAGATTCCTCGCGCAGTCCCAGTCGAGGCTCTCGAGCTTTGGCCAAGCAGACAACGATAACTCGTCCCGCCAAAACGACTGGTCATCATCTCGCCCGACCCGACCCTATCGAGACGCCGGCCGAGGGAACGGGGGCCAGAGATCCCTTCTTGGAAGAGGCTATGGCGGGAACCCATATCAGAACGGCGGAGGAGGAGCCGGTGGTGGCTCGCGCTTCGGCCAGCTTGCGTTTGGATCTCGCATAACGGCGGCGCAAGACGCACCCCTGTTTCACAGCACGCTGGACGAGTTTCGAGAGGAGGACGACGAAGAGGAGCGCGACAGGGAAGCTGCTGATCTCTTTGCCCTCCAGAGGTCACGAAGAGTGGCCGCCGCTAGCAAGCTGGCCGACAGCGTCGAGTCTGACGCAAACAGTCGAGGGTCGCTCGAAGAGAGCTCGAGGCAGTTTGACCATCCATATCGCGCCCAAGGTTTCGGCCGGGGCATCAAAAGCAGTTGGAACGGGACGCGGAGCTCACATCATACAGCAGTCGCAAAGAATACACCGCTAGAGGAGGAGGAAGCTGAAGAAGTCGATCACGATAGCAGGGATGGCGAAAGCGACCGCAGCAGCGGTCATCATAGGGGGAACATGGTTGATGTAGGGCTTGAGTCACAGGAGGACGCCGACGATGATCCTCCAGAATCTCTCTTGGAAGAGCCAACCGATAACAGCCCCCCGGCTTTTCAACGATTCAAAGACCCCTCGGGACGAACGCCGCTGCTGGAAAGATCGTCAAGAAGCGACACTGACATGGACAGCACGCGACATACAGAACCTCGGGAGGCCGATCCAGCTCCCTCAGGAAACGCCTTCGTCGAGGGAGAGATATTCAGACACGACCCTTTCTTCGCGTGGATATTTTTAATCAGTCTCGCGGGGATGATGTCAACCTTTGTCCTAGTGTGGCTCAATACTACTCCTAAGAAGAGCCCAGTTGGAGACACGATTTATACAACACTACAGAAATCCTTCAACATGCTCGCCGTCGATACCGTGGTGGCAGTATTAGTGTCATTTGTATGGTTGGCAGCGTTGCGGTCCTTTGTTCGGCCGTTGGTCACTGTTATCCTGGTCGCTGTGCCGGCCATTATGTTTTCATTCTCTATTTTCTCCTTTGCGTCCTCTTTCAAAGGGCGGACGCACGGGACAAGCTTCCAGGACGTCGTCATGAGATGGACCGCCATCGTCCCGGGTGCTTCATGCATCTTGTGGCTCTGGCTTGTCGTCAAGGGCCGAAGAGCGATTCAGCAGGCCATTGAAATTCTTCAATTTTCCTCCAAGATTTTGGCACAAAACCCAGGTCTCTTGCTGGTAGGCTTTGGATGCCTGGCCTTGATCGTTGTCTGGACCTGGATTTGGCTGGCCATGTTTACTCGTGTCTTCATGGGTGGCTATTTTTCAAAGTCGTTGGTTCAGTTCGTGATTCGATTCTCCAGCTGGTGGCTCGGCGCCGCGTTTGTCTTCATGTACATGTGGACGCTCTCTGTCATCAACGCGGTACATCGAGCGGCGACTGCGGCGACCGTCTCCCAGTGGTACTTTCATCGCAACGCGGGCCCCGCCACGCCTTCAAAGGAAATTGTCATGGCCGCTCTAGGCCACGGCGTGACGACAATATTTGGCAGCATTTGTGAATCAACGCTTCTGTCTCTTCTGATCAGAGCACCATTGATTTTCCTGCCCAGGAGGCTTGGTGCAATCATCACAAACATCGCCTCGTTCTGGATACCGACGCCTATTGTGGCTCTCACAAACCCTCTCACAATTACGTTTGCAGCCATCCACTCTCAGGGCCTAGCCACGTCTGCTAGGGGTCTTGATCAAATGGAATTTGTATCACCTGCGATCCCTACTACCACCTTGACACCAAGGGCGTTGCGTCTACGCGGTCAGGCGAACGGCCTGTTGCCCTACCGACTGGCCAAGTTGCTCCTGGTTGCCACGCGACTGATTATGGCTACCGGGCTGGGATTTGCGGGCTGGGTCATTACCGCAAAGCAACTGCGGATCCAGCTCCCAGACGGCGTGGGCGTGCGAGGATCAGCGTATGCATACGTGGTTGGCATGATGGCCAGTTTCATTGGCTATTCGGTTATGGGCGCAATGGAGGGCATTCTTAGCGGGATTGTCGACGCCGTTCTGATATGTTATGGAAGCGAGCGACGGATGGAGAGAGGCCATGGACGATTCTGTCTCGAAGCGGCATATCTGTTTGGAGAGCGGCGAGGAAGTGGCGAGGACCTCGGATATGAGTAAACAAAGCTCAGGCTGGGGCCCGCTCATGTATGTTGATGGATTTTGGAAGTTTTTCGGCACGCCTGCCCTTTTTTTTTCTCTTTTCTTTGTTTTGACTGTTTTCTTTTTTCCCTATTAGCTATTACTCTTTGCTGCGGGTTTTGAACTTGATTGAATGGAATGATAGATTGGTAGAGCTGATTTGGATTATCGGGACTCAAAAAGGCCATGCAGTGGAGATGTTGTTACGGCAAGCTCCAAGGGGATAGGACAGCAATGATATTTTCTCAATGTGATTTTCTCAACCTTTTTATGTAACTGCTACACTTGACGGTTAGGCTTGTGATGTTACAGTCCCGTATTGATTCCGGTTCAGGGAGAAGTGCGTATCGATGTTTGTTGGTGGTTGTTGTGAGAAAGTAGATTGATAGTGTCAAGTAAGACATGTCAATTCCATGAACGGTTAGACACTTTGGCCGAGTGGTTAAGGCGATGCCCTGCTATCAACAGGTATCATAGGCATTGTGTTCGCACGCGCAGGTTCGAATCCTGCAGGTGTCGTTTCTTTTTTGGATTTTTTTTCTTGATGCATACATAGTCCTCTTTTTTTGGTCAAATCTCACGTAGGATTTGTTAGTACGGCTATCTCAAGTGAGCTGTACATAGTTGATACTTTTGTTCTATATACATTTAGTATAATGTTAACTAAAAATCTCTTTGGTGATTATGATGTTTGACAATGGAGACAGCTTCATGAGGTGTGTATCTCTCGCGATTTTCCGTATAAACAAGCGTCATTGGTCTAGGGGTTAGGATTCAACTCTTCCATTTGACTTGAAAAGTTGAGGCCCGGATTTGAGTTCCGGATGACGCAGTGCTTTTTATTTTTTGCATTTTCCTTCTTTTTTTGGCTCTCCGCAAGGATAAATTAAGCAAACCGGTATATTGGAGTTATTGAACCTGATAGCGCAAGGCCAACTATCCCATCAACTCTACGGTAAGGGCAGTGTTTCAGTTTTCTTTTTCGTTAACTTGATTTCACAACATGCATATTAAGATGCCAACTATTGTTTTAAGCAAATATATTATGTTGTTTTCATAAGTTGCCCAAGCTATCGGGCCTGTATTACATGTTTTAATTGTATATGTGTGTGTTTGTATATGCTACAGAATTCCTCAATTACGAGGCCTCTCTTATTCATCAGCCTCCTTGGGCAATTCTTCGTAATCAAACCCGCAGTCCACTTCATTAAGCACCAGCTCTACCTTGGATTGAACAAGAGCATCCCGGTCGTCTTCCGCGAGAAGCTCTACATCCAGATCTCGTGCCTTGTTGATAGCGTGCACGACTTTCAGCCGGGCATCTGGCTCTCCAGGGTCTCGAAGCTTTCGCACGGAGCGGCCCAGCTGGCCCCGGCTTGCAGCGATGCTCTGTCTCTGGTTTCTCTCGAAATAGCTGAGTAAATGGCCTGCGGGGTCTTCGTTTAGGTGAGCCTCTCGACGGAAGAGACCCGTCGAGGCATATTCTGGCCCTTGTACGGCGCCAATAGTAGGGTTAGGGTCGATGACAATTTGCTTCGTATCTAGATAGATTCGCTTTACCAGGTCGGCGATGTGCATGTCGTCGTCATCATTAACATTGTTCGGGTTGTCTGGATCTCGGTAGGGGGGTTCTGGTTCTGGGTGTGGTATAAACGGCGTGGGACGTCGAAGCGGCCGGTCCACGCCCGGGATCGTGATGAAGTGTGCCTCTGGCTCGTCTTCTTTATCTATAGAAAACAGAAACACCCGGCCAGTCGCATCTCCAACGACCATTTTCCGGAAATCGGGAGAAAAAGCACCGCAGGAAATGGGACCAGGTGCTTCCAGAATGGTTCGTATATATGGCCGGTGTTTCTTGCGCACGTTCCAGACCATGACCGTCCCATCGCTGGAGCCTGTGTAGAATCGGTCAAGGTTGTTCCCCCAGGCTGTAAATTTGACCCCGGTGTCTTCCTTCTCACGGTCATGGTAGTATTCGTCCAAGGGGCGGCCATGCTGAAGAATATGCACAGGATTGTCTCCTTGCGCCGTGTCCCACACGTATACTTTGCCGTCTGTGCACCCCGCAGTCACATACTCATGTTTGTATGAGTTTGGCATAAAGGTCAGCTCGTTAATATCTGAGGCAAAACAGTCGAGGTTACGGTATTCGGAAAACCCGCCCTCTTGCTGGGGACCTGGGTCATCTTGTTTGAGAATGAGGCCAGTTTGCATTCTGAACAAATGAATCTGAGTTCGCACCTTTGGCGATATCTTTGTCTGAGATGAAGGAGAGGTTGCGGCAATGAATCTCGGTAATGTGGGATGCCAGGCCACTTCAAAGAAGTTGGCGGTTGTAGCAGTCGTGACGGGAATTCGCTGATTCAGCTCTGCATTCCATACAGTAATCTCTCCCGAGTTCTGCTTATCTTCAGGGATGTCGTGGTCATCCCCAGAGAAGCTACGAGGGGAATATCCCACAGCTAGTAGATGCCGGCTTGTCAAGTCACGGCCCCATTGCATTGTTGCTGGGAAATATGCCCACTTATCATAGCCGTCAGCGTCAGTCCGAGTACATGAAAAGGAGACGTAGGGGCTGTTTGTAATGTCGTTCATGTTGACCGTGTATATCCGAATGGCCTCTGTAGGGACATCGGCCGCAGTGGCAACTCGTCCAGAGCCGTCCTTGGCCACGGCGACAAAATTGACGTTGCCGCCAAAGTACCAGGTAGCCAACGCAGTCATGATGCTGCCAGATTGATCAACCTTCCACACCTTGACTGTTTTGTCAAAACTGGAGGTGAATGCCAAACCAAGAACGCTGTCGTAATCAGAGCACACAACGGACGAATACAACCACGGGTCCTGACTTTCACGCATAGCCGTCGTGGAATTTTCTCCCTTTTCGACAAGGGGTCGTGGGATTCGGTGGTCAGGAAACGCCCTAAGCTGCCCCAGCTTTGTCGAGCATAAGAGTAGATTTCCCGGCTTATTATACTGCTGATTATGGCTATCCGAGTGTGCAGTTGTGCCGCACAAAACATTGTCATCCGGGATCCAAGTAGTCGTTGCAATATCTCCGGCACAGTTTGTGTACTCTGCGACCAAGTCCAAGCTATCTTCGTGCGCCTTACGAAACTCGTTTTGAAAGTTCTCATACTGGCGCATATGACCAAACCCTCGATTTCCTTCCATTTCGCGAGCTAAAAGCAAGGATGATAACCGGCTGGCACGTCTCTTCTCTTGTTGCAAGCGAGATCCATTCGCTCTGGGGTCGAGACTCAGCATCAGAGCTCGGCTTGGCGGCACTGCTTTGCCCGCCAGCAGATCCGAACAGTAATTGCGTACATCTTTAAACGTGCGGTGAGGCAAACTGTTATTAACAATTGACGGAACATTGAACTGAAGGCAGAGCCGCGCCAAATGTTCAGGGGTCGCAGGATAGCCCACGGGAAGATACATTGAGAAGTAGGCCATGATTTGCCGAATTTCGCTAGATGTAAAGTCCACATGATAGACAACTGGGGTATTCAGCTCTTCCTTGAGCTCGCGGTATAGGCGATCAGCACCTTTGGCAATTTGTTCCCGGTCTAATGCTGACTGGTAAGGCCGGTGTTTTAGGTCGAACCATGTGTTTGAGGATGGGCCGCACTTGGCTGTCGACCCCCATCGACTCCCACAACTTGTTCCCGGGGTATTTTCTTGCCTTTTTGGTATTGAGGTTTCCGGCTGTTTAGCAACTATCCTTTTTATTTCTGGCGGAACCTGTTCAGATCTGGCAAGAGGTTGCTCCTTCAGTGGGGGAGGCTTGTTGTCGCTCGAACTTGGCGCTTTTATAGGGGCAACACGATATTCCTTGGGCATCATGTCAGTTAAATCCAACTTGAGTGTATGTTCTTGTTCCACTTACAGGTCTCCCAGATAGCTCTTTAATGATTGTTTTGGCTTTTGTAGCAGTCCATTCATCATCGGCCGGCAATTTGAAGTCGTTACTTTCATCTAACCGGGAGACAAACAGCGGATCCTTCGCAAACATGGAAACGGCCTGTGCCCTTTGTCAATTGTGTGCTCAATACAGTCCCATCTTTGATTATTGCATACCTTTATCGCAATCTCATCAAGTATATACTCGGAAGCTGGTAGATCCCTCAGCGCCCAGCTCACATAAGGAGAGGCCTGTTTGCCAGCCCAATTAAGATCAACACGCCTTCTTTTCGGCGGCGGTCCTTGATCCTGGGAGTCATTCTGCCGGCGCTGCGTATGGGAAAGAGGCTGCTGCTGCTGATCGACTCCGTTTCCGTTTGCGATTGCGTTTGCGATATGGCTCGATAGTGGCGGCGGCGATGGCGTTTCAGTCAGGTCAATGACCATGGGCCTGGAAGGGGAGGTAAGCACGAGGCTCATGGAAACGACCAGCTCGCCAGCCTCGGGCAAGCATCTCAAGCAGGCCAAACAGATGCTCTAGCTTTATAAACGCGGTTGAGGATAGTATCGACTTACCCCATCGCGTGCCCACACGTTCAAGCTGCCGCTTAGATTCCTTTTAAAACAAGGGATACGTAAGGATGGGGCTCTTAAAACACGTCTAGAGGGAAACTAATAATAAATGAATCACGTGATGTGCCCTTACGTAATATTTATACCCTGCTCTTCTCTTTAACAACTTCTATAAAGCTTTTTAGAAAGTATAATAGGTTTAAATAAAGGGAAAAGATAAATATTAAAGTTTTAGCTTTATTTAATCTTTATTTTTTTAAGATAATATAAATTAATAGCGTGATATATATCGTCAGTATGCCAAAGTCAATAACATCAGATATGCCCATTAGACTCTAACGCTTGATTTAATTCTAGCTCAGTTTAATTGATTTCCGCTGGATTTTATAATAGAACCGAGCGTCTCTTTGTTAAACGCGTGTATAATATCATTCATCGCGCTTTAAGCAAATGCGCGTGTTGAACTCCCGCCCGTTAATATAACCTCTCAATGAGCAAATACCTATGCTCTAATTCTACTGCTTAGCGAAACATTAATATTCCAATACGCTCATTAGAGAAAATGAGCCTCACCCAAACACATTTGATGCTTAACCAGTTGAAAGCAAAGCTGATATTGCACATAACCCCTGTTACAATCTGGGATCTATGTATCATTTGCGATTGCGATCGCGATTGCGACACGCATGATAAGCTCATCAGATGCAAGATATTAATGGTCGGTTGAACGGACAATGCAGGTCCCACGTGGCCTATAAAAGAGACTTGGGTTTTTAATCACAGGTACCTGTAATTAAATCATTAACAATTCCTAAAGCGCTGTATCAATCGTCACAGTACATGTAATCTCCAATCCCAAATTTGTCACTACCGTCTCCGGAGCTTGTTCGGGCGGAATCGCATCGTGTGGGAGGTATATTGATAGCGACGTAAAATAACACGCAGTACTATATAAAATCTTGGTATGGCCCTAAATATTATACCGTAATTAGCCTTAGAGTTTAAACTATTGTAATTAAAACAATATTAAGTAATATACATATACGGCCTTTTTTATTATCTCTCTAAGTAACAGTTTGTTTGCTTTCTAGGGTAGGTGATTATCAACATTGAAACCAATAGACTAGTTGACTGGGTTGGAAGAACAAGCTCCATACACGCATCGAGTCAATTGACAGATGCCATGCTTATGCAACCCCTACCCTTGCATGACAATATTTGATCAACCTCAATTGTTAACACGTACAGTTTGTAGCTGACTTCACAACTATATTCGATCCCGATCGCGGGCGCATTCTAGGCCATCTTGGTTACATCAGTCTGCTATTGTTGTAAGATAGCCACTCATTAATACATCATCAAAATCGCAAGCGGCATATAAATGATGAAGTCCGAAATACATCTGAAAGAAGAAAAGACCCCCTTTATTAACATATCTTTGATTCCTTCTCGTCTGTTTTATATTCATAACTCTTTCGCATCGACATGTGAAAAACACCCACCCAAAAAGCAAGCTTGCCGCCGCACTTTGCTGCACAATACACACACACATACACTCCACATTCTTTACCGCCCACGGCTATTAGCTAACAGATAACCGTAACTGATAACTAGCTATATATCCAAACATTAAAAAACCCCAAAGAAAAATTTCGCTCAGCAGCAAACATCATGCCTGTTCATTTACCTTCTCACAGTTCTATTCTTACAACTTGGCAGGGCCGGTCTCGGCGTTAATCTCCTCGTACATCTTGTCGATCTGAGCACGGAAGGCCTTGGCAGTTTGAGGCCGCTTCAGCTTAAGACTGTTGTCATTGTTAGCGGCCCAGTTTTGCGATTGATTGCTTTTGCGCTTGTACTTACGTGGGTGTGAACAGCTCGTTCTGGATGCTAAAGGGCTCGATGTCAAGATAGACGGCGCGAACACGCTCAAAGCTGTTGAACTTTTGCTTCTGCGCAATCTTGTTGAGCACCTTGAGGAACTCCTGCTTAACCTTGGGGTTGTTGGCAGCTGCCTTGAGAGCCGGGAGGTCGGCGGCCGTGACGGTCTCGCCAAGGACCTTGCTGGCAAAAGGTGGGAAGTTCTCCAGGTCGATGCCAAAGATGGCGACGAGTGTAGACTCCTTGGGGTCGCCGTGGACATAGGCCATTGCAACCAAGTTGGTGTTGCCCAAGTAGACGTTCTCAATGCGCTCGGGAGAGATGTACTCACCCTGGGACAGCTTGAGAACGTTCTTCTTGCGGTCAATGATCTTGAAGCGACCCATCTTGTCAATCTCGGCGATATCACCGGTGTGGAACCATCCATCGGACTCGATGGCCTTCTTGGTCTCCTCCTCGTTCTTGTAGTACTCCTTGAAAATGCATGGGCCTCGGAGAAGAAGCTCACCGCGGGGGTTGGGCTTGTCGTCGACGGTGTAGTCAAACTCGGGCACGGACTCGAGGCAGAGTTCGACACAGCCAGTTGGAGGTCCGATGTTGCCGAGACTGAAGTCTCCTGGAATCTGGACGGTACCGACGGCGTATGACTCGGTCATGCCAAAACCCTGGTAAAAGTTGTTGCCGAAAGCAGCGCGGAGGAACTCTTGAACATCAGGATCCAGCTGTGCGCTGCCGCTGATCATGGTGTGGGCCCTGTCCAAGCCCACAGCAGCCCTGACCTTGGGGGTCCAGATACGGTCGTACAGGAAGTGCGTGTTGTTCGCCTTGCCAAATGGCTGGCGCATGCTGGCCTTCTTGGTGTCGATGACCCGGCGAGACAGGGCTCCCCTGGCACCCTCGGCCTCGATGGTGGCAGTTCGAATTGCCGAGTTGAAGCGGTTGAACAAGCGGGGCACAGAGATAAAACCAGTGGGCTTGAGAATCTTCAGGTCGTCGACTAGGCCCAGGATATCGCCGCGGAAGAAGCCAATGCTGGCACCTTCGGACAGGGCAACTTGATCAACCATTCTGCCGTAGATGTGAGCAAGAGGCAAGTAGGACATGTGGATGTCCTTTTCGGTCACAGCACCCTGCAGGCGGCTGGAAGAGATGGCAGAAACGGCATTGCCGTGAGTGATGACAACACCCTTTGGCGCACCCGTGGTTCCCGAAGTGTAGTTGATTGTGCAGAGGTCGTCCCACTTGGCTGGGCGCATAGGGCGGCCCGACTTGGCGCCAATCTCCTCAACCTCCTTGAAGGAGTAGATCTTGATGCCATGCTGAGAAGCAATGTCGTTCAAGACAGCGGCCTTGGTCAGACCCTTTTGCTCGCCTTGCTCCAGCTCGTCAAGCGAGACGATGAGCTTGAGGGATGGGATTCGAGGAGCCAACTTCAAGAGAGTCGGGATGTGAGGCAGAGAGCAGACGACACAGGCGAGTTCGGCGTGGTTGATGATGTACTCGGAAGTGTCCGGGCCAAGAGTATCATAGAGCGATACGGTGAAGAGAGACTGCGACGCAAGAGCAAGATCTACAAATCAGATGAGACGAGTCTGTGTTAGTTGGTGGTCTGTAGTCGGCATTGTGAGAGCGCGGGGGGAATCGCGCAAGGCTGGCCTACCGGTGATTTGCCATTCGGCGCGGTTCTGAGACCACAGTCCAACGGGATACTTGTCCAGCGTGTGGCCAACGCTCTTGTGGATTTCGACGAGGCCGGCTCCCAGATTCTTGCGACGCTCGGCCACCTCACCATACGTCTCCCATTCGTATGTGTCGGCCCATGACTGCGTGCTCGGGTTCCAGTGACGAGTGCCAAGGAAGCGCTTGCTGGGGCGCTTCTTGACGGCTTTTTCGAACAGATCGTGGACCGATTGGATCTCGGGGTCGAACGTGGTCAGCAGCGGGCCATCAGCAATCTTGTGATGGCGGTAGATGGCGGTGCGACCGGGCCGCTCTGTGCCTGCGATGGCAACGCCGTGAGGAGCCCCGGGCGCAGGAGGAGCCGTCAAGCCCTTGATGTACGCCGCCGTGTCTTTGGGAGTAGTTGCCATTGTGTCGAAGGGGGAACCAGTGGCTTGACCGCGTGTTGATATTTTACAGCTTTAAAGGGAAGGGTCGGCAACGCTCGCGATGCATACGAGAATTGACCAGACAATGTGAAAGGAGGGGGAGAATTAGGCGACGAGTAGGGCCTGCGGAGGAGAAAGAAAAGAAAAGACGGGGATGGTTGCAAGGGAAAGAAGAAGAAAAGAAGAAATCTGGCGATGAGGTCGGGAGGTGGAGGTTTAACGCAAAGTCATGGGCTGCTGAAAGGGACGGCCGAGGTTCGCGGGGCCTCGGCAGCCCCAGATTTTGGACTTGGTCCATGTACGAGTACATCCATGGCGAGAAATGCTTGTTTTTGGGCTTGGTAGCCCGCCAAATCGCAGAAGCCGTCCAGGTACTCGTACATGCGCGTTGCTAGCGCTGGGTCGGAGTGCCTAACCCGCTAGCGGCCAGGCCCCAACGAAATCCACTGAGGCGTCCCACCCGCGGAGTTTGCAGCAGAGTTCTGGCCCGTGGGATGGCGCTCTGGCACCGCTGTGAGAGGGCTCGGGAAGGCTCAATTCAATGGCCGTGCTGGATTCAAGGGCGTCCTGGTAGTACGAGTGGTACTTGTACATTGTGTGCCGGCGGCTGACATTCAAGGTTCTTACAGCGGCCGGTTATCCGTCAGCATCTGCCCGTCAGAAACGGAGCCGACAAGATCAATGGATCGAATAGTAGCTCGTGGATATGGCTATTGTTGATTGCAGTGTTGATAGATGGGCCCTAGGGCGGGATGGACCAGAGCTGACACGCTGCGCCCATGCAGAGGATTGAACTTAGGTACGGCGTTGAGAAATCCTTTTCAGTGCCTTCTAGTGATACAATTACCCAGACCATCCTGGGAGGTGGCTGTTGGAGTGACAGCCTTGAACCCAACGACTCGGACTTTGTTGTCAAAAGCGGACTCTACTGTAGAAGAACGGCCGCCTACCTACAAGGTGTATTTGTCGAACAAACATTGAAGCCGACGCAAATTGCAAGGTGATGAACCGACATTGGCGGCTTACTTGTACTTTGTAGTGCAACACCGTCAAGGCACGTAAGCACGCATCATCCCATTGTGACGGAAAAGAGTGTACGAGTACCTACCTACTCGCACCTACATGCACTCCAGCCCCGTCGCACAAGAGCTGAAAAGTTCGGGATCCCGTAGTGACGTCGGCTGTTTCGGGGAATAATAACCACTCAGTGGCGACTCTTGTGTCGCGGCGCAGGCGAGCCGGATGCTATTTTGTCTCTTCCGTCGGCCTCGCTGTACATTGTATCCTTTCTTGATTCAAGGACTCAATTCTACATCGACACAACAAACTCGGACTCTCTCAAAAAAGCACATCAGCGGAATCCGGGGCACATCTGGGGAGACTCGCAGCTTGGCTCATCCGCTAAAGCACGGCGGTGGGCCTCGGTCCAGGGCACTCCTCCAGCGCCCCGGCCAATCACGCCGTCGCTATTCCATGTTATAGCGTCTCGTTCCGGCATGTGAAACTCGAGCTCAGAAAGGACTCGCGGACGGCGTTTCTGCAAAAGGCTACTTGGCCCGGGTGAATTTGCCCTTTGATTCTGGGGCTTTGAAACGTGTCCTGTTACGGAGTAGTGCCGGTGGTTATTGGGCTCAAGTTCGGAAGTACAAAGTCGATTTCTTCTCCGCTTCCTCTTTTCCCCGCGTTGTCGCACAGACGGAGAGCCGAGGCCATCATGACAGCTGTGTTGCTTATTAAACATCACCCTGGAGGAAGAGATGCTCGCCTTTATAGAAATCTGACAGCAACTATGCCAATGGATTCGACTACGATGGGTTTCCATACGGCTTATCCAGCACGTAAGACTTCTTCGTCGAATGTATCATCTTGACGAGATACCTTGTTTACTACCATGATGCGGTCAAAAGGGAATCCTAGCTGCAGAGTCAGTAGTGGTCGTACTCGTTCAAACGTGGATGATGGCCAACTATAAACATGGTCCGCAGCGATAGTACCTATATATATCGTTTACAGGAATTTAACAAGCACTATCACTGATTTGACATTTCGTCAAGTCCCTACAAGAGCATGAGTCTTCGTGTTATTCGATTGGTATTTTTTTTAAACTGCTGTACGGAGTACATGTGGGCACACGTCGTCGAGATTTGTGGTGTGCTCTTCCACGTTCTACACAACCATCACGATCTGAGACTCCATCACGATGCAGCTTCGCCTCAAGGCACCAAACTCGTCACATTATATACATACAATGCCTATTCCGGCTCAAACAATTCAAAACCTTCGTCATCTACCTTTTACGTGTGTCCTCATTCCACCCAGGGCAGGCCTCCAACCCGCCCTTTTTCGTCTCCCTTCAACCAGTAATTCTACCTGTCTAAGACATACCGCAGACGCGTATGCAACCTCAAGCTGCTACTCGATAGACTGGGTGCTAATAATAAATGAATTCCACGCCACCTTCTTCTTGGCAGGCCCTACTACTTCGCGACTCTCACCATTGTTCAATTCCTTCACATAACGGTCTTCGCCATGTCGCAAACTCTCATCCTCTGCTTTCGGGCCTTTCAAGCCCTCACGGCTGCTGCTAGCATCGCCTTGGCAGCATATGGTAAGCTTGCTACAATCGATTTGCTTCTCCAGTATCCTGTTGGCTCACCCTTGGCTCCTCGCAGTGGTAAATTGGCATCTCAGGGGCCCGCATCTCTCGACGCCGCCCTCAATCGGCTTTATCCTTTTCTCCCCAATATTTTCCGTCTTTTCCATCTTTTATCTCGTGTTCACGCCACGCCTTGCCCCGAAAGCTACTCACCCAGTGATTTCCTTGAGCATTGAAGTCATCAACTGTATCTTCTACTTTGCGGGATTCATTGCTGTGGCCGTCTGCCTGGGCGATTTGGCCTTTTGTACCGGCTCAGTCTGCATGGCAGGCCGTGGCGCCGCGGTGCTTGCAGCGGCACAATTCAGCTTGTGGATGGGCTCTGCCATTATTGCGGCCAAAGCTATGGTCAGGGATGAGAGACGGATGAAGCTGCTCAGGAGGAGACGAGGTATCCGGGATGTGGAACTCTGAAAGCGCTTGATCGGGTATGGAATACATACACATATTTGAGAGTATCCATGGGAAGACGATGGCGCCGTACGGGCTGCAGGATGAGCGCACCTGGGGAGTGGCTTAGTGGGCATATTGATCTTATGAGTGGCATGGTTTATGACTGAATACATGTAACATGCGGGTTTTTGTAGCACTGGCGGCATTCTTGTTGAGGTGGAATAGGCAAGGTACTGGTAGCTAGGGAGTTTGAGTAATTGAAGAAGCCTTATATTTCCCCGCTGATGCTTGGGAATCATCATCGTTGTATCCATGACATTCCCTACACATGAAAGACGAGAATCGTCGAAGCCATCGTCATAATGCTCGAGAGGCTATTTGTGCCGGTTGGTAGCAAAACTACCAGAGTGTTTAATAATCGAACGAGAGATAAGAAAGAGAGAATACAGCGCAGTGGAAATCATAGTCGATAGGAGAACATACATATCGTATATCATGTAGATTATTCAGCAATCCACGATAGTTCGTCTCCATGCTCGCCCACCAAAGGCAGGTGATTTGCTAATCATGCAGCGATCCCACGAATCACATCGTATATACGAGTACAGCTCATGGCTCTGTCTATTGCGCCTTGTCTCCAGTCACACGTCACACCAGCTACCAATTCTCGCCTATTCTCCTAATTCGCTGAAAGAGGCAATTGGAACTATTTGCATGTAATTTTCAACCGCTCTGGCTCATTGGCTGGCCGCTGGCTGGGGAGTTCAAGCGTGGTGCATGACGAGCTTCAGATGCGGTTAGTCAGAGCCGCTTTGAGACAACCACCTTTTTGACTTGACATGTTCGTGTGTACAAGCAAGCAGCGCCGTGAATATGCGGGCAACAGCTGATCTCGTACATGGCAAGAAAGAAAAAGCCTCTTCTTTGGGGTTTTAACTGGCCATGGTCAGATCATGACAGTTCCTTTCGCAACGCAAGATAACATTCAGACTCCTGCTGTTCTGGCTAAATCCGGGCTATAAAGAGCCGGGAATGGGCTCTTGATGGATACACGAGATAGATGCTAGACTGCGAAACCGGCCACGGCAGGAAACGAAACAAGAGATTGATGAGGGGCTAAAGGGGGGTTTCCTTAGGTTAGGATTACATGTACGTGCAATTAATGAGCATCTACCCCTCCAGAGGCCCTTTTTCTCCTCCGCCGAAGAAATGACGCGAGAATTGGCGATTGCGTGCTCGGGACGGCTTCATGGGACCCCCACACTTACACTCGGGGTTCTGCATCGGTCGAGCGCAACTCGCGTCCATCATTCCGTACAATCACGAGTATTACCCCATAATGGGCATGGCAAGGATAGCAATCAACCATACGGAGCTTCCATGTCTTACTGTCTTACATCCATCCGTCTAGTGGCTGGACCCCGAGCAACTACTAAGACGGCGGTGCTAGTGGAAGCTTGATATAAATACATACTCGACCGCGCTCTTGTTGAGCCGAAACCCTGTCCCCCCCCCCTTCGGCTCAATCTTTTTTATTCCCGCGTCAGCTTTCTTTTTTCTTTCTCGTACCTTTTGTCAACATTTCTTCCTTGCTGCTTCAACTTTGATTCACAATGGCGGACAAACTCAGCACCAACTTTGAGACACTCCAGCTTCACGCGGGGTAAGTTGACGTCAATCTCCAAAAGTCAATTCAACAAGCGCGGGGCAGTTTTGCGCATCTGTTTTTTGCCATGTGTTGCCCTTTATCTGAGCACAAAGACTCACGATGCTGGGTTTCTGTATTTGTATCTGTGCCGTGTTAAGACACTGCAGCATAAAGACATGAAAACTCAAGACAGCTGATCATCGAGAGCATCGCAATACTAACATCCTCTCCTAGACACTCTCCCGACTCGGCTACCAATGCCCGAGCCGTCCCCATCTATGCTACCACTGTGAGAATGAATCCGCCCTCAAGCCCCAAGCTATAAGCTTGCCAACCAATTTCTCGCAAGCTGACCAAGTCCTGTGTTGCAGAGCTTTGCCTTCAACGACTCCGCCCACGGCGCGAGACTCTTTGGCCTCAAGGAGGAGGGCAACATCTACAGCCGCATTGGAAACGTGAGTACCTATAGCTATCCCGAGTGTCTAACAAAATAGCACAAAGACTCACGAGACTCTCCTTCGCACAGCCCACCGTCGATGTCTTTGAGAAGCGGATAGCTGCCCTCGAAGGCGGTGTTGCCGCTCTGGCTACTTCCTCCGGCCAGGGCGCTCAGTTCATCGCCCTCACTGCCCTCGCCCAGGCCGGCGACAACATCGTCTCTACCTCCAACCTCTACGGCGGCACCTACAACCAGCTCAAGGTCACCTTCAAGCGCTTCGGCATCACCACCAAGTTCGTCAATGGCGACAAGCCCGAGGACATTGCCGCCGCCATCGACGACAAGACCAAGGCCGTCTACCTCGAGAGCATCGGCAACCCCCGATACAACGTTCCTGACCTCGAGGCCATTGCCAAGGTTGCCCACGACAAGGGCGTCCCCCTCGTTGTAAGTGTTCGGCTAATCGAGCCGTGTCCTCTGGAACATTGAAGATTGACAAGCAGTAAACTAGGTTGACAACACTTTTGGTGCCGGTGGATACTTTGTCCGCCCCATCGATCACGGCGCCGACATTGTCGTTCACTCTGCTACCAAGTGGATCGGCGGCCACGGAACCACCATTGGAGGTGTCATCGTCGACGCCGGCAAGTTTGACTGGGGCAAGAACGGCAAGCGATTCCCTCAGTTCATCGAGCCGTCTGAAGGCTACCACGGCCTCAAGTTCTGGGAGACGTTTGGCGCCGTTTCCTTCATCGTCCGCGCCAGAGTTGAGCTCCTGCGAGACATTGGTGCCTCTCTCAACCCCTTCGCCGCCCAGCAGCTCATCCTCGGCATCGAGACTCTTAGTCTCCGTGCCGAGCGCCACGCCCAGAACGCTCTGGCCTTGGCCCGACACTTGGAGAAGAGCCCCTACGTCTCTTGGGTTTCTTACCCCGGCTTGGAGAGCCACGCTTACCACGAGACGGCCAAGAAGTATCTCAAGAGGGGCTTCGGAGGCGTCCTGAGCTTCGGAGTCAAGGGCGGCGGTTCTGCCGGCAGCAAGGTCGTCGATGGCTTCAAACTCATCACCAACCTCGCCAACGTCGGTGATTCCAAAACCCTGGCCATCCAGTAAGTGTTTGAAAGTCCTCCCAGCAACCATCTACAGATGGCTAATAGAAATCTCTCATAGCCCCTGGACGACCACTCACGAGCAGCTGAGTGAGGAGGAGAGAGTTAGCTCTGGTGTCACCGAGGTAAGCAGACTTCACGACCGAATTCGCGCCGAAATAAGCTGACTTGAATGTTTTCCTTAGGATCTCATCCGAATCTCCGTCGGCACTGAGCACATTGACGACATCATTGCCGACTTTGAACAGTCATTCAAGGCCGCTGGTCTCAGCAACTAAGAGATCCCCTTCCTGGTTTGGTGTAAATAACAAAGCAATGATGAACGAAATGAATCCACAAAGTGTCGCGCGAATCACAATGGCAAAAAATAACGTATGATTACCGAGTTTCCTATCCGAAACTGGCGCTGCGGAAGAAAAAAAAAAGTGTAAAAAGAATGCGACGGGCGGCTTTTTGTCTTTGGGACATGGGAATAACGCGAGTCGGTGTCTGTCAAATCCAAAGCCGGAAAGCCATTACGCTTCTCGGTCATGAATCTTGGCGTAACGCATTTCTGGTCTGTATCAGGGCAGGATTTGCTGATTGACTTGAGAGTGATTTTAAAGCTTCAGCTCAAAGAGAACTTGAAAGATAGAGAGGGAGTTGACAATTCCATCGTCGTTACAAACGGTACTGCATTGCTTGTCCATCGTGCCTTGATCAAGTTTTTGTGGCACCCCAAGCGTCATCTTGCTTCCGGCTTATCTAAACCCTAGAAGCGAGTTAAAAATGAAAATGACGCATGCGCCGCCACGCAGAGTTACAATTTGTCAAACGGTTCCCTTGCAGGAAAAAAAAAGCTTCGATTGGTCTGACAGCGGTAGATCTCAGTCGGTGTGTAATTACCTCAAAGCCTTGTTCTTTTTGTAAGGCAGATGGGTGAGGCCTCCGTTTAGAATAGCCGGGTTTTAAAGAGTTACTGTTTACCCATCCAGGTATATCACATGTCGAGAACATGAGCGTCCATCATCTTACCGTACAAGTGCTCTCTCGCTTGTAACCCATTTCAATAACCAAGACTTGGTTTTCATCAACCCTCTGAGTTTTTTCGGCAAGAGGCAAGATGAACAATGGTACAAGTGACGATGCTTTAAGCGCAGCCATGCCTGAGATTGATGAGGCTTTTGAGACGGAAGCGGATAGCTTTTTCGCTGATGAAGATCAGCCCTTGCGACCTCCAGATGTGTTTGCCTCCATCCATCGGTGAGTGCATGTTAAATGGAAGAGCCATTTAAGCAATCGATTAATTGTTTCCGTTTGCTTCTTGTTTCTCTCGGTTTATTCACCAGCATAGTCTCTTTGTAAACGACATGCTGACTGGTCAGTGGATGATCAAGCGTGCGCGCCCTCATTATTGCTAGTATTGGTAAGTTGAGTTGCGCTCATGATGTACATCAATCCTGTTCCAGTAGATTAACAATCCAATAGAGGATCCATATACCCTTGACCAGTTGACAAGCCCGCGGGTCAACACGCTGGTGGTTCGCCCATTGGTAGACAGGCTATATGATCCTGATGACATGTCCATAGGTCTGCTCGCCTAACCCCCTTTGCTTGTGCCATATCTTTGCAGCCCGCCGCATGCCTGTCGGGCTAAATAAATCTCTGCGTTTCTGTATCTGAATGAAAGACTTGTCTCCAACAAAGAAACAAATCCGGATACCGTGGCTCACATGATGGGGTGATAGTGTACTGCCTCCTGGCCAACCGTCTCCAGTTCCTCAAAGAGCAAACCGCCGCCAAACACCAAAGCGTCGGCCGCGCTCGAGCAACTCTCTGCGAAATCGTCGCCACCAAAGTCCTTCGCAAGTTCCATGAGGACAATTCCCCCGAAAAGGCGGGAAGCGCCGGCCTGCTCCGGCTGGCCAACGTCCTGGTGCAAGGCTTCGATCCCTTCTCCGGCGCCCCCGAAGATGTCGCCCGGGCCGGCAGATATACGCATTGGCCAGTGCAGGAGCGCGGCGGCAACGAGAGGAAGCTCACGGCGCTGGAGCTGGCCATTTTGTCGGAGAGCAAAACCATGATGAGTTCTCCGGCATGTCTGCGAGTGGTGAATGCAGTCTACGAGGGACAAGTCGTGTACACGCCGATATCATTTGTAGATATCCTCCCGGACCATTACAAACATCACCCAGTGTCGTTGTATGATCCGCGCAAAGCGCCGCTGCTGGACCACTACCGATTGATCGTGCCAAAGTGGAGGAGCTTGTTCGAGTCAATACAGTTCATGGTGTTGCTGGGATTGTATATATTGACCATGGTGAATCGAGGCAGCCCAAGCTCTCTGAGACTCTATGAGAGTTTATTTGCCGTTTATTCGCTGGGATGGATTCTCGACGAGTTTGCAGCCATCATCGAGCATGGATGGGCGGTCCACACTCAAAAGACGTGGTCATTTCTGGACGTGACATTCACAGTCATCTTCTGCGCCTATCTCTTTGCACGGGTATATGATGTTTTCATACCCGTTGCTCAAGACACAGGTGGCACAAACTCTGCGGCGCTACATATCCTGTGCGTTGCAGCTCCAGTACTGCTCACGCGGGTTGCCTTCAGCCTCATGCCAGACAACATCGTCTTCATCTCGATGCACGCCATGATGAAGGACTTTCTCGTGCTGACCTTTCTCACCCTGTGGTGCGTGGGGGGCTTCTTCCTGGCACTGCAGTGGCTCCTGATGACAGGCCAGGGTTCGGAACCCAAGTGGTATACGGTCGCCAAATGGCTTCTATGGATTTGGTTTGGACTCGACGGCACGGGTATCCAAGAGTCTGTGCAGTTCCATGTCGTCCTTGGCCCTGCCCTCATCGTGGCGTTTGCATTCTTGGGCAACACGCTGTTCTTGACGATTCTGGTTGCCGTCCTAACCAACACCTTTTCACGCATTGTGGCCGCCGAAGCCGCCGAGATTCAGTTTCGTCGAGCAGTCCTCACCTTTGAATGCGTGAGGAGTGATGCCATATTTGCTTATCCGCCTCCGTCAAATATGTTGGCCCTCGTCTTCATGCTGCCCCTCAAGTTTCTCGTCTCGGCACGCACATTTCACACCGTCCACGTCGCCATAGTCCGGGTCCTGAACTTTCCCATTCTGTTATTTATCAGCTTATATGAGCGCAACTTGTTCAAGATTGGCGAATCAAACCGTGGCCTCAAGTCGAATCAACTACTCAGGTGGCGCTTCACTGGCTTCAACCCGCATGGAGACATCGAAGCTGTCTTTGAAGCAGATCCACCACCAGGTTACATGGACGAGGCTGGTGAGCTGGATGGACTGAGTGAACTCGGATTCACCGACGATGGCATATCGAGATCTTCAAGAGAAATGAGGCGGCCAATGGTGTTTAGGCTAAGTAATTCGAAAAGCAGAGATGAGACATTGGAGATGCTAGGCAGAGGACGGAGCCCGGGGGCGGAAGGGATGGGACCATCTCAAGGTTCATGATATTTCAAATGGATTTAATAGTATCAAGCATAGAGGAATGAAAAGACAAGAATACAAGGGAGCCTTGAAAGAATGAATGAATGAATGTTCCAAGTGCCCAGACGAGGTCCACCAGAGCTCAAAGCTCAATGATACATGGTACCTGTGGCGCTCAACCAATTGCAAGCCTCACAGCGCCGAGCTGCTCACTGCTTTGGGGGAAAGAAACCCAGCGCTAAGCCACACATCCATCCCGCACCAGCCACATTCCTCCAATCCCACCTCCAACTCAGTACCTGTACCTTTGGCCATCTGTTTTCCACCATCGTCATCCATATCTCTCCGTCCAAACATTCAGACTCGCGCCATGGACTTGAGGATCCTCCTAAGCCTGGCGTTCGCCGCCCTCAGCGCCGCCCAGCTGACAATCACCGTCGGCCTGCCCGCCAAGCCGAACCCGTTCCTCCTCGGCCCCGGCACCCACGCCACGCTGTCCAGCCTGCACAAGCGCCTCGAGGCCCCTCTGACGACGGTCAACACCTTCAACTTCCACAACGTCACCGCCGACTCCTACCTGCTCGACGTGCACTGCGCCACCGAGGCCTTCCACCCGCTGCGGGTCGACGTCGGCGCGGACGGCGAGGTCAAGGCGTGGGAGACGTATCGTGGCAACGAGTGGGCGAACAAGGGCGAGGAGGTGCAGGTCAAGAGCGAGGGCGCATCGAGGGGCATCAGCGTCAAGGGTGCGGGATCCAAGATCTTTTTCGTGGAGAGACCGGCGTGTAAGTCCCTGACAATTCACTGCTTTGCTTGCTATATGGAGCTGGACTGACTGATGTGCTTTCGTATAGTTTCCGTGTTCAGCATCCTCAAGAACCCCATGATTCTCATGGGTCTGGTCACGATGGGTATTGTCTTTGGCATGCCATACCTAATGGACAACAGTACGTCTTTCTCCGTCTTCAAGCCTTGATTCTATAGGAATGAATTCTCTGTCTATGGACTAGCTAACATTGTGGCAGTGGATCCTGAGCTGCGTGCCGAGTTCGAAGAGCGACAAAAAGAGAACCCCATGAACGCCATCATGGGCAACGCTCAAGCCGGTCAAAACCCACTTGGCAACTTCGACATGGCCGCCTACCTAGCAGGCTCGGGCAAAAAGGAGGGTGTGAAGAGGTGAAATTGAGTCTTGGCGGAAGAGAATCGTACATAAGAGATGGGGGTTGGAAGATTGTGCATCTATGCTTTATAATTCTTTTGATATCAAGGCAGAGCTCTGAGGGATTTTGAAAAATCTCAGGGTTCTCTTTTATGTTGTATCATCAGCTTCATGTGATTGGCATTACTCCGTAACGCCGTCCTCCTAATCCTAGCCAAAAACGACAATGTCAAGTCTTTGTCTTGTGAATAGCTAAAAACAGACCAATCCGGCAAACAAACAAATTACCGCTCCTAATTCTTTCCTCTAGCCACGCATCGTATATATATGAACGTTGACAACTATGCAGCTAGTCCGCCTAGTCCACCGATTAAAAGTCGCCGCCACCGTCATCGTATCCGTTATCAAACCCATTGTCATATCCTTGGTCTGTGTCGACATCTGTTAGTCAAATTCGCATCTTCACCAGAAGGAAATCACTCACCATAGCCGCGATCATATCCCTCGTCTTCAAAGTGATCAATCGCGTCATCTATCAACAGACCACCTACAACACCACCAGCCAGACCAAGGGCAGCTCCTCCGGCCAAACCGAGACCACCTCCGCTCCTCTTCGGAGGCGCTTGCTGCTGCTGATAGCCATAAGCAGGCTGGCCGTAAGGGGCAGGAGGAGGAGCACCGTATCCGGGAGCATATCCGCCGCCATAGGCAGCAGGGGCTCCTCCATATGGAGCCGGAGGAGCGCCGTATTGTTGCTGAGGAGGGCCGTAGCCCCCATAACCGCCAGCGCCAGGGGCACCGGGGAAGCCGCCGGGAGACTTGCCAGCGATCTTGCTGGTCAGCTTGCCCAAGAGACCTCTGGACTCGGTCTGTTGCTGCTGCGGCTGGGGTGTACCGCCCGGGTTGCTTTGCGGGGGAGGGTACGGGCTGGTGCTCTGCTGGCGGTACGAATCGGCAGCACCCCCGGAAAAGTTGTTGTATCCGGGAGGGTTGGAAGAAGCGCTGCGAGCTCGGGCGTTTTCTTCGGCCTGCATCTTTGCTGCCAGGCGAGCATCCTCGTCTTCCTGCGTCTGCCTTGACGATGAGCCTCCAAAGTTGTTGCTCTGATCGCCATAAGGGTTCGTCTTGGCATCGGACGTGCGGGGAGCGTTGTGACCGTCGTAGCCTGGAGGAGGCCCGGAAGGCGGGGCGTCTCCGTCAGGGAAGACGGGACTGGTGGGCTTGTCCCATTGGGACTTCTTGGTGTAGATGTTTACGTAGAACCTGAGAGAGGCGAGTGAGCTGAGGAATCACCGGAGAGAGTCTTTGTCGCGAAAGAGCCAGATTGTCGCATTATTAATGGGATAGGCTTAACATACCATTCTTTGTACTGGTCGTTCCACCGGGCGGCCCAGCCAGCGGGGACTTCGGGGGCCTTGGGCGGCGGAGGCCCTGAGGGAGGAGCGTAGTCGGCCATGAGAGTAGCTTTTTTGGCTGTAGGGAGTCGAGATGTTTGATGGAGGAGGAGGAGGAGGAGGAGGAGAGTGTGAGCGAGGAGAGGAGTTGGTCGGTCGTTAAAGAGGAGGAGGGGTGGTTTAGCGTATGACCCCCCTTGCTAACTGCTTCGGCGGCGACAACAGACGGGCCTTTCGATGGCGAGATAAGAGAACAAAGGGACAGGCAGTCAATGTAGGTAGAATTTGTGACTCGGCGGGATAATTAGTAGGTATCAACGGTTAATGATCCAGCACTTCTTCAAAGATGTCGTGCAAAGTCTCCCGAGCTTCCATGAAATCTTCCATTTATATATACTCGACACTTGATACTTGATTTGTACCCAACACATGCCGCCAAGCCCCCCAAAAGGGTTCAGGTCCCCTAACGGATCCCCCGCAGCGGCCGCCAACCGCTACAAGCAGTGGACAGACACTCGTGGAAGCTCGCTGGAATCGGAAAAATACGAGGCGCAGCAGGACCACGTATGTGCATCAATGATGTTACATGCGATGTATTACATGGGACCACATGCATGGTTCTGGATGCCGGCGATCCGGCCGAGCTGCTGTATTGTACTAGTAGCCCTGAATCACCTGGAACTATAGAGTTGAGCACTGAGAGCTGTCTCACTCAAAGTTGGGCTGTTTAAGACGACACTTTGTCATGTTCTGTAAATTGCTATCACTGCATTTGCCTGTCCTAAACCTTCATCACAAACAAATTCTCTCTACACCTGACGCTCTTCACTTCTCCCCTGCCAATCATTCTCCAAGCGCAGATCCAGCCCCCCCGCCATGCCACCGCAAAAAAACAAAGAGGAAATAATTCCTCATGCTTCGTCCGGGTGACTAATAAAACGAACAACACCTGATGAACAAAGCCTCGGCCCCCTGGAAAACGGGCTTTCTCGTCAACCCCGACTCAGCCACATAGACAGTCCCTGCACTGCCACGAAATCCAGTCGGAATTGCCACATTGTGGCTCAGGCGAAAAAGGTTACGCCATTCGAAACGTTCCATCACTTGAGACTCGGGCATTTGACTTTCCCTTCAGTTGTTGTTCAAAAGCGGCCCTCTAAGAGATAAGAAACGCCGCATGCATAAAACTATAAACTTTATGGCTATCGACCCCAAGATATTGAGCAATTAGGTACCTAAGGTAATCCGCCAGGAACGTCTCGTTGTAGTCGGTACCTGCCTGCCTGGTAGATAAAGCTCGTCAGATAGCAGCAATTCCAAATTCCCCCACCTGTTCAGTTCAGATAGTGGCTTTGGAATCTTTGCTCTTGAAATCTCCAAGCTTTCGATGGTCAATTTAACCAATAATTTGGAACAAATGTGATATGGAAGAGATCTTGCCCATCGTGATAAGTCACTCTAGACCAACCTTCAACCAAAGCAAACTTCAATGGAAATATGTCCATGGAATTTCTCTCTAACCATTCAACAACCACATAACGTATCGCCCATTCAGTATATGAGTTTAGAAAAGCATATACCGCCTCCATAATATAAATAACAATGCATCTCAGCCGTCTTCGCGATACAACTCCTATATCGGACAGCATAGGCCCGGACAGTCGGACTTTATACACGTCCCACGTCGGAACAAACCTCGTCTCCTCCGAGAAGTGTCAAATCCCCTCTCGTCAGTTCAATTTACATTACCAATACCAACATCTCAATAAACACGACAACGATGGTGTTCCAGCCGAGCTATTCACCAGTCCAATCTCTAAATAGGAATTATCCCGAGCCACTGCTCGGGGCTCCCTCCGGTGTCCGACGCCGGTCTCCGCATCTCCGCCCAACTGTCAACCGAGGAACTCACTGCACGATGAATCCCGCGAATCGAGAATTCCGTACATCGTAAACGTGGGGATGGCCCACTAGAGAGTCGCTGATATGCGGAGCAATGGTGTAGAGGTACCTCACTTGAAGGTAGACATGGACTACCTGTCACATGTAAACAATAGGTAGGCATGTTGAACGATGGACTTTGTGTTCGCTAGTAATCACCAACGCGTATTCATTTGTTTCCACTCAGTAGATGTTTCCTCCAGAGCAGATCTATGATAAAGTAGTGGTGCATATTAAAACAACACACACACACACAATTCCTGAATAACAAATCCCCAAAGGGGGCAGTTGTCCCCTTATAAAGAGAGGTAATAAAAAAAGAACATAAAACGAGTAGACCAACTCGAGAGACGCAATGTCAACAAGTCCGCCGTTGAAAAAGATTCCCACCACCGTCATTCCATCATTTGCGTGTAAATAAGAACCCAAATCTTGAAAACATCCATTACCAATCATCGAGCCCTGTTCCCAAACGCCGTCTAATGCTTAGCCGTGACCTGGTCGCCGGTCAATTTCTCCACGTAAGTTTTAGCCCTATTTGACACGAATAGTTAGCAAACCGTGGTGTGTAAAGCGCATCCGTTGCGGAAAGGGAAACTACTCACATATCTCCAACAGCAACCATGCAAATCGTCTGCCAAACGCCGAGACCAATTCGAGGGGTAACACCTCGGTAGAGACCCTTCATACCATTGTTCGCGTAAATGTAGCGGAAAGTGTTGCCGACCGTCATCTTCTTGGGTCGGTTGGGGTCGTCCTTCTTGCTCTGCATCTCGACACGGATGACCTCGATGGGCTGGTTCCAGGCGCTGAGACCACCACCGATAGCGCTAGCAAGAATCTTCTCGCCGGGAGAGAGCTTGTCGCTCTGCTGCTTGCCCGTGGCCGAGCGGATCCAGCCCTCGGCCAGTCGGCTAAGACCGAAGCGAGATCCCCAGTTGGTCATCTGTCGGATGGCGACAGCGTTGACACCCTTGTTGATGCCGCGAATGCCCTCCTTGCGGTAAATGTCCATGAAGGTCGCAAAGGTGGACTGGGGCTTGACGCCGGCGGCAGCCATCTTGTGCTGCGTGATCTCGACTGTCTTCATGCAGGTGCAGAAACCCATGGTGGCATAGGCCTGGGCAACACCACCAGTGATGCCGCCAAGAATGCCACCGCCAAACTCAGAAGCACCCATGTAGCGAGCGTAGTACTCGGCCTCGGAGGCAACGAAGAGCAGCACCGCGCCCTTGGTGGAAGCCTCGATCCAGGCCCAAGGAATGAGACCCTGGTAGACTGTCGAAGAAACGAGGAGATTAGCCCGTCTTCAGCTTTCAAAAGAGAAGTTGCGGTCGTTTTTTCAACTTACAGCCGAGAGGACCACCTCGACCCCAGATACGACCCAAAGCCGTGGAGAAGCCATCGCCACGGTTGGCAGCCATGGTGGTCTTGACAACCTCGAGGGGCTGGCCCAGAGTGGTGACCTCGAACATGTTGAGACCGGCGCCCAGCAGCAGGTTGGAGAACTTGATGGGCTTCTTCTCCAAGTGCGGCTTCTCCGCGATGGGAGCTTCGATAGCGGCGGCGACCATGACTTCTGGATGTGTTTCTGAAAGGGGCCCTGACCAAGGGAATAGGGTGCTTCTTCGCAAGGGGGCGTTTGGAGGTGATTGGAAAGTTTGGAGAGAGGAGGAGGAAGAGGGAAGAGAAGAGAAGGAAAAGGGGGGGTTTGTTGAGGCTTTGGTACTTGTACTTGCTGCTAACAGCTCCTAGAACAGAGCCGGATTGCGCGCGACAAGGCTTGGCTGGCTGACTAAGGAGGATGCGGCGAACGGGATCGGAGGGAATGCGAACAAGACAGATGAGCGGTCTTCGGAAGGGAGGTCAGCAAAGTTGGGCCAGGATAGGAACCGGGCCGAGGACCCCATCCGTGATTGTCCGAATGCCTGTCTGCCTGTGCCTGTGCCTGTGCTACTAAGTTGGTACAGTAAGGTACTCGTACATGAAAATACATGTGCCTAGGTACATGGGCCTACGAGGGACTGGTGGTAGTTGGGAATTTACACGTGCTTTTGGGGGGTGGAAAGTTGGGGATACCTTGGCCCTCTGGTTTGCCATTTTGGAGGGGTCAAGTACCTCGACTATTAAACCACCCGGCAGCCGCAATTGCAATTGCATCAATACATGTACTCCTTACTCGCAGCACGAAATGGCCATCTACAGTGCATTGCAGTAGGGGTGCTGAGTGAGACTCGCAGTATCCCTCCGGCTCTCCTATCAAGCCTCCCGGCGCATTACACGTTTTCCCTCCGTTGGATTTCCTACCAGTTGAGCGCAGCTTGTAAGCAGGGCTCATGCACAATCACATGTGTGCTTACCCTACTTGCACACAGGGCCCCCGAATTCGTATTACTGCTCCCAGTCAGCTGTAATCAGCCAAGTGCCTGCTATACTATATTCGCAGCACACAGCATGCGGATAATCCCAAAAGAAAGGAGTAAATAGTAACCCCAATTTTCCCATTCCCATTCCTCCAAACTCGTCTCTTGTGTGTAATTGCCTACAGGTGGTTTTTTTTGCTGAGATGGAACCTTGGAACCTTTTCATCTGCCCTCTCTTAGGTGGGGTCCAGCCCGCGTGGCGCAAAAACCCGCTAACTTCAGATGCGGCCACCAAAAAAAAAAAATACTCAACATGTTTGCGATTGTTGAGCTGGGCCGCCCAAAGATCCATAACCATAAGAAAAAAAAAGCACCGCTGCAAACATCAAATCAGATTTTTGGTTGGTTAATGTGCCCAGGAACATACTTTGATGCTAAGCCGCACGCAAAATCCAATCTCCACCCGTCGAATACGAATAAGAGCACATAGCGCAATGCCCGTCTCGGCGCACTGCGGGCCGCCCATTTGCGATCGCCCCCCAGCCCGCCAACGCTGCAATTCGTTGAGCTAGAGCCAATGTCTCACATTTCGTTCAACAACATCAATGGCTGAAGCAAACGCTTGCATGTACCTAGAGATACCCGAGATAACGCGTCCCATCATACAGATGGATCCTGGGACTCTTGTATCGACATGTTGCTGGCGCAAACAAGGTCCGGGTCCTCCCTCTATCGCTACCGGTTGGGCGTTTCGTTCTCCGCCCTCCGCGCTCCCTCCCTTGTAGAGACATGAAATACTCCGTGCTTGTACAAGTGCTTCTTGAATAATCGCCGAAGGCTTCATCCGCGCCGTTGTCGCGTCAAATTGATGATAATAGATATCAACATTGGACCTCGGTATTCTTATCTGGCTCGTACTCGTAGCATGGGCGACCGTATCAACCAGTACGCAACGCAGCACCCTGAACGGAGTAACCGTAATACACCTTGCCAGCTTTACACAACTGTCATCAGTGAACCCAGAATGCACGTCATACGCCCCAGCAAAAGTCGCCATGAGTTCATCTTGTCTCATTACATCAAATGGAAACTAAACAGTTCCGTATATTGTACAATTAAGCGCCGTTCTGGCCGTCGCTGTGTCATCCACAGACTGTCTATATCCTAGTCGACTATCAAGCCTGCCGAATAGCCTTCAATCTCCCAACTTTTTTTTCCCCATTGCGATGCCCTCCAAGAAAAAAAAAATCCTCCTTCTATCACACCGTTTTTGTGCTTAGCTGTCCTCGTCGTAATCCCTTACAGCTTCTTGACAAGCTCAGCCCACTTGTCGGTAGAGAAGGACTTGGGACGCTCGATGGGGGCACCGACAGCTCGGTCAATGATCAGCTGGGGAAGGACACCAATAGCACGAGAGACACCAAAAAGGACAGTGTAGTAGTTGGCCTCGGTAAGACCGTAGTACTGGAGCAGGACACCGGAGTGGGCGTCGACGTTGGGGTAGGGGTTCTTGGTCTTGCCGTGCTCAGTCAGGACACCAGGGGCAATCTTGTAAACCTGGCTGACAAGCTGGAACATGGGGTCGTTGGGCATCTTGGCTGTAGGGGAATTAGCTTGAGTTTCTGTTTCCAACGTAGCAGATACCTTTTCAACATACCTTGAGCGAAAGTGCGCTGGGCAGTGTAGCGGGGGTCGGTCTTGCGGAGGACGGCGTGGCCGTAACCGGGGACGACGCGGCCGGCGTTGAGGGTAGACCAGAGGTAGTCGGTGATGGCCTTGTCGCTGAGGTCGTCACCAACGGCCTTCTTCATCTCGGTCAACCAGTTGAGCACCTCCTGGTTGGCAAGACCGTGCAGGGGACCGGCAAGACCGTTGAGACCGGCAGCCAGGGACAGGAAGGGAGAGCTGAGGGCGCTGCCAACCAGATGGGTAGTGTGGGCGCTGACGTTGCCACCCTCGTGGTCGGTGTGGATGGTCAGGTACAGACGCAGGAGCTCAACAAAGTCCTCGTTTTCGCCGAATCCGAGCTGGTTGGCAAAGTTGAAGGAGTAGTCCTTGTCCTTCTGGATGGCAGCGACCTTGCCGCCCTTGAAGACGTTCTGGTAGATGCGAGAAGCAATGTTGGGCAGCTTGGCAATGAGGTCCATGGAGTCCTCATAGGTGTAGTGCCAGTACTCCTTCTTGTTGATACCCTTGGCGTAGGCCTTGGCGAAGGAAGAGGTGTGCTCGAGAGCAGTGACGGCCAAAGAGAACTGGGCCATGGGGTGCAGGTCGGTAGGGCAGTGGTCGATGAGCTCCTCGACGAACTTGGGGATATCGGAGCGGGCAGCCCACTCGGCGGACAGATCACGGACCTGCTGCTCGGTAGGGACCTCGCCGGTCAGGAGGAGCCAGAAGAGACCTTCGGGGAGAGGCTCCTTGCCACCAGGAGCCTTAGGGAGGATCTCCTGGCACTCGGGGATGGTCTTTCCGCGGAATCGGATACCCTCCTCGGCGTCGAGAACGGAACCCTCCCAAACGAGGGACTTGATGCCACGGGCACCGCCATAGACCTGGTCGAGGGTGACCTTGTCGATGACCTTGGAACCGTGCTCCCTGCGAAGAGAGGGAATAACGTCAGCGCTGCGAGGTCAAGCAACGACCGGAGACGGCGGCTCTGCTGAAGCTATTGGGCTTGACTTACTTTCGGAGGGTCTTGATCTGCTCAATCTTCTCGGGGAGCAGCTCGGCGAAGCGGTCCTTGAGGGACTACACGGCGCAAGACAGTCAGCTTCCATTCAACCTATTTGTTTTCTTTTCTTTCTTCCCCCTAATCCCGTCTAGCCTAGGTATTGCGACACCTGAAGCTTCGGGGACCAGAGCAGGACCGCGATGCTTCTCACCTGAGCCTTGGCCGAGTAGCAGCGAGTGGCGTTGAAAGCCGTGGCCCGGGCGGGGGCTCGCAATGAAGCCCTCAGGGCAGAGTTGCTGAGACGGGTGACGGAAGCCATTGTACAGAATACTCGGGTATAGAGGGATTAGAGGCAGAAAAGAGGATACAACGGATGGGGGGTGGCAGAGGTTATAAAAAGCGCAATGCTTCCGTTACCACGGCAGAAAAAAATTTAGGCCGGCGGTTCCTAGCAGCCTCGGAGGCTTGACAGGGTGCAACTTGGCTACTCTAGGCCTGGGACCCTCTGTTGACCTTAGCTCGAAACTGGCATAAGCATGCAGGGCAAAAGTTACATCACCAGCCAGCTCCTCTGCGTGCGCTCCAGCAAAGTACGGGTACTCGTAGGGCACCGAAAAGTACCTCCGTGCTGCGGCCGAGAGTGCGGCGCGCGGCGGTAGCCTCTGGTCAACACGACAAGACGGACATCTCGCTCCCCCACCATCCGACACTAAAACTCCCCCAACCATCTCCATCTCCCCGACAAGAGGCCAGATGGCCCGGATATCAATCTGAACCTCGGAAAAACCGCAGTCAGATTGCCTAATCGAGTAGTCACAGCAGCTCCGGATGGGACGTACGAGGGGGAATCACGAGCACATGTAGACAAAGTACAGTATACGTGGGATGCAAAGAGACATTTTCCTCCCTGGATTTCAACGACATTGGTTTCTGCAGAAGAGGACCCCAAACAGAATTATTAATATATCTGAATCATGGTGGATTGAGGCGGTCAACTCTCCCTCTGTAAGTCATTGGCTGCTGGTAGCGAGTGAAAAATGACGAGATTGTGACGGTCTGTACGAGTGCATCTGGAGCGCCTCCAATTATCAGAGTACACGACCGCTCAGCAGCGATGCGCATAGATAACCCGCAAGCCGAACTGTAATTGGCGGAGTCTCCCTTCCAAGCCCTCCAAGCACAGCATCTGCGAAGCTTTTATGTGTTTTCCCTCGTGTGCCCTGCGATGAAGTCGTTTCACTTTACGATCATTATCAGATCAAAGCCTTTTGCCGCAACCGAATAGCCGTGTAAGTTGACTCTCTCCCTTCTGCCGGAAAAGGCCCAGACGTCATGTGATGGAGCTGCCGTTCCGGGCTGCCGACGAATCCTTTTCCCCGTCCCGTAGAGCAGAAATACCTAGGTACTATAGCCTCTCCAAATGTCATGACATAAGTGCGTCATCGTCATCGCCAGGCTGGATTCATCGTGAGCACCTGCACAAAGAAAACATCACGTCCACAGCTCTTTGTTCAGGACAAGAAAGCAGAATCTCTATGGAGCCTTTGCCCACAACACGTTACGGATAAACTTCGCCTCGCTTGCCGCTCGTCTCCAGAAAGGAAAAAATTTGCATCGAGCACAAAGCAAGAAAAAAAAGCAAACATTGTTCGGTACGTACCAATTCGGTAGCCTGACCCGAGTACCTAAGGGAAAGGGAAAATACACTTGCAGCCCTATCAAAGAATACTTTTAAACCAACGCAATTTCATCCGTCACACAAGTGCTTTGACTTAGTCATCCATGTACCGTCTCGTCAGGCATGACCCGTATTAGGCCCAAAAAGTCACGCCCAAACGCGGCAAGCTGCAAAGTTTCAGTAGCGGGCTTTGTTCCCTGCTAAATCTCTCGCGACCCGCCCCTCTTCCCTCCTTTCAATTTCTCCTCCTACATCTCCATCGCCACCCAAAAAGGTCTGCGAGCCTCCCGCTTCAGAACCTCCTCTTCCATCATCTCGCGCATTCTTTGAATCGTATTCTCGCCTCAACATCCCCCTCTAGGCCGACCGAAAAGAAAACAAATAATCCTGTTAGACAGGCTTGTGGGCAGTTTCGCCTCCAGCCCCTGTGATATACTCTCTCGCGTGTGCGCGCTCCACTGCCGCAGTAGAAGACTCTTTTTCTTTTCTCCTCACGCGCTTCATCAGTCACAACGTACATCGTACTTTTGAGATTTGGTTTACTTCGTACAAACGATCGGAAATCTCCTGCTTCGTACAGTGTTCGCGTCGTTTTTTGTAACACAAGGCCTTTGATCGATAGTACTTGGGAGGAGAGGCAGCATAGACATCCGCCGTACGACTTGTTTTGACTGAGAAGCTCCTCACACCAAGTGATTCACCGGACCAGCCAAAGAAGGACATTAAAAGACAGCTGGTTTTTCATTTGTCTGCATCGCATCCCAAAAAGAAGGGTTCATCGTACACTAGGACCGACTAAATCTTGCTGAGACTCTGCCGCGGAGGATCTGTTGGAACAAGACAGACAAGGAATTTGCCTCCAGCCCCAAGGTCCCAACCATGGCGTCTGCAGTAACAGACTTGGAAGCTGGCCTACAGGCCATGCTCAATTTGAAGCCACCAGGTGTATCCGGCTCTCGTATTACTAGCCTCACGTCTCTCTGCGTCGCCAACATTCAGGTAAGGCATTTTTGCACAGGTTTTTCTTCCAACACGCGTTGCTGAGCGGCCCCATTCCTTTTGCTGACACGGCTCCCTTGCAGTCCGAATCTGTCCTCCTTCAAAAAATCTACACACACTTCAAGAAAACTCCAGGAACACACAAATTGGGCGTCCTCTACGTCGTAGACTCTGTAACCCGCAAGTGGCTTGAACAAGCAAAGTCTCAGGGTCAGCCCATAAACAGCTCTGCCCAGGATGGCACGTATGCCGCTGGAGTGCACCGAGTAACGGAACTGATGCCTGTTTTGATGAATGACATTCTTCAGTCTTGCCCAGAAGATCAAAAGGTACGTGTAATTCGAGTTTTACTCTGTATCGGTCGGGTGAAATCACACACGCAAACGCATACACATGCACATGCACATGCACATGCACACATACAGCGCTCCCGCTCGTAGGCGTCTGAACGTGCGCTTTGTCTTGTTGATATCTGGCATATCTGGTGAACCGGAAGCATGACAGACCCCTGCACTCGTTTTTTGAAGAACCAAGTCTACGAGTGCAAGTCAGCATTGCTTTGTTGGTGGTCATCAGCCGAGCCGCCTCCAGGAAATCTCCACATGCACATGAAATCGTATCTGAAGGACCAGTAACTCACATTTTCTTCTCGCCTTGTAGGAAAAGATCAAAAAATTGCTTGATATCTGGGAGAAGGGCCAGACCTTCCCCACATCCATGATAGAATCATTCAAGGAGAAAGTCAACGCTCCCTCACCACCAAGTACGTCTCCTCACATGCCTGGCATGGTGCATTACAGTCGTCCTCGAGAGACGTGATGCTCCTGGCCAGGCTAAACCAGAACTCCTGTTTGAATGAGCTCTTCTAACGCAACTACAGAATCAACAACTCCCCCTGGTAGCCCGCCTGCTGGATTGGCAGCTTCGCTCCAGAACCAGGCGCAGAACAAGCCTGCTGCGCCAAACGGCTCGTCCATCTTGGAAGCCTTGGCTAATATTGCTCGTCAAAACACCTCGGCTGCACCAAGCAACCAGTCCCTCCCAGCTCCCGCCGCATCATATAGCATGCCTCCCGCTGCCTCCAACGCGCCCCCAGCTTCCGCCACTCCCCCGGGGCTATCACAGGCCCTTGCTTCATCGCTCTCACAGCCTCACCAGTCGTATCCCCCGGCTGCGCAACCCGTAAACGTGTCGTCTCTGCCCTTCTCGTTGACTCAAATGCTTGGTCAAAATGCTCCTCAAGCGATGCCAGCCAGTGCGAGTAACCCATCCAACCCATATGCGGCAGGGTCTGCAGCGCCTCCCGCCGCAGGGCCCGGCGGAGCTGGTCTAGGACCGGACGTACAGCAGCAGATTATGCTGATCAAGGCCCTCGCCGACCAAGGCGTTCCCTTTGATAAGATTCCCGCTCTCATCCAGAGCATGACTTCTGCCACTACCACAGGAGGGTATCCGGCAGCGCAACCTCCCGCCCCTGTCCCCACTGCCCAAGGCACCTTTCCAACGGCTCAGCAGCCATGGGGTGCGGCCGCTTCGGGCCCTGCGCCTGACCAGGGCTACCAGGACAACGTAAGATCTCCTAGATATCGCGGCCGTTCTCGCTCTAGATCACCTGAGCGCGGCTGGAATGCTCGCGGTTCTCCACGTGGTGGACGTGAATATGGACATAACTCACCTCCCCGAGGACGCATGGATGATCGAGACCGCAATGGCCGAGGAGGCAATGATTACCGCCAGCGTAGCCCTCGTGGGCGCCATGGACGAAGCCCTTCTCCCTCCCAAGAATTCCAGCAGGAGAAGTGGGTTGAGTTCGACCCAGCGCTTCCATCTGGCCACATCAAAGTTCTTAGCCGTACCCTGTTTGTAGGAGGCGTTACGTAAGTTCTACCACTTTCATACCTGGATAAGTTTTGATGATATGCTGACCAAGTACACCAGTTGCTCCGAGGCCGAGCTGCGTGGCATCTTTGGCCGTTATGGCACTGTTCAGACGTGCATTGTGAACAAGGATAAACGCCATGCCTTTGTCAAGATGTTGACACGTCAGGACGCCATTAGGGCAAAGGATGCCATGGAAGATGCCAGGGGTCTTGAGTATCCCCTTCGTGTAAGTGCAAGCCAGGCATTGTGTATTGCGATAAGTGTAACGTACTAACTCCGATTACCAGACCAGATGGGGCGTTGGGTTCGGTCCTAGAGACTGCAGCGATTACTCAACCGGCATCAGTGTTATTCCCATCCACAAGCTCACCGACGCCGACCGAAAGTGGATGCTCACTGCTCCGTACGGCGGAAGCGGAGGCCGGCCCATTGAGACGGGCATCTGTGTGGAAGAGCCCGACATTGAAATCGGCGCTGGCGTTTCGTCCAAGGCCATCAGCCGCCGGATGCAGACAGACAAGGGCGGTAGCAACGGTCCCAAGTCTACCCGCCACCGCGAGGACGACCCACGCTGGCGTCGGGGCCGAGATGATGGGCCTGGCCAGATAGATCTCGATGGCCAACAGCAGCAAAACAACATGGCCGGTTTCCCCTTTGGCATCGGTACCTTGCCCAACGGCATGCCCAACTTCCCGACGGGCTTTCGGTTCCCAGATCCCAACACTGCTGGGAGAACCTGAACGTTATTGACTTTTGCGATACTTGAGTGGTAAATTTGATTTCTATGCCCTCGGCAATTTGCGCCGACAGGTTCAGTTCGATCGAGGGCAACAGCGGCATCAATCAGGCTTCGGTTGAAAGGCGTCTGGCGAAGGGGAGGGACCCCTCTGGGGATCGGAAACTGCTCCTTGACCTTGCTTTTGGTCTGGATTGTACTGTCCCGTCATTGGCGATAGATGTCTCGTTTGTTTCTTCTTTTTTTTTTCCTTTATGTGGACGTTTTTACGCAAAGGGGGAGGCATCTTCGTACTCTGAATCGGATACCTATTAGCTAGTGACAAAAAGTTAACTTGACGTTTTCTATATCTATCATATATCTTTTTTCGATATGATTATTTATGATATATTTGGCTATTTACAAACCCAGTGAGGTGTCGTGCCATTGCAGGATCTAGGACAGAAGTTATATACCCGAACTCGGCGAATATGGGTAGATGAGAGAGAAAAATATACAAATAGGATATTTAGAGTGGATTTATCAGGACTTGAAAATACAAAGTAGTTCTTATACAACTTCCGACTTACAGGTACCTAGGTATCTAGACGCAAATACCTACCCTGCAACCAATCCCAAAGTTTCGTCAAAGTCTATAACTTAGTTCACACCACTAAGGAGTGGTCCAGATGGCGAGAGATTTGACTTGTTTACGTGACAATTTAGGCTACGGGATATACACCCAAAGGGTTCATCTATTCCCTGATTTATCTCACTGGAATTTGTTGCATCATTCCAGACGAAGCGGACCAGCAGGATCAAAGGAATGGCCCGGAACGCAAACTACTGTTTTCCGTACTGTACTGTAGAATACAGAGAGGTACAATTTCATAGTGAGCTACCTGGGTGCTGAATTGATATTAACTTGGGTTTTGCACGCCAAAATACGGACAAGAATAACACATGGACAATTGAGGCAATTAAGTCGAGTTATCAGGGGGGCTGGGAGATTGCCTGCGAGGTTTTTTTCTTCTTCTTTGATATGACGGTCCGGGTTCATGTATGAGGCTTTTATTTTCCCTTTTCTCACCATTTTCTTTCATTTTAATGAGCTGATCTACATAATACCAACGGGGTGTCTGTGCACACGAACTAGCTGGATATGACGATGAGACACAAGAGCAAGGCTAAAGAAGTGAAGGGGAAAAAAACAGAACGACAAGGTTGGTTATAGCGTAAGCCCGAGGCTGGGCACGCGAGAGCGGTTACGGTACGGAGGATTACCTAGTTGAAACGATGGGTGTTGAACCCTTGGATAGTTACTACCTAGTAGTAGATAGGATCCGGAGTGGGCGAATTCAGTCGGTAACACGATATGGGAATAGTAACACCTGGCAGCATTCTCCTTTCTTTTCTTTTCTTTTTTTTTTCAACCCCTCGAGAGCCAGGGAGGTGATTATGAATGTCTTTAGTTTACTCGGCTGTGTTAGTGCCGCTGGAATCTCTCATGGAAAATTTTACATCCGGGAGAGGAGAGGCTTCGTACGAGATCACTCTGCCTTATGCAACCCCGTACTTGGCTTTCCATCTTCCCCAGGTCTACTTCAAACCACCCCATCCAGCAAAATCCCAATTGATCCCTCCACTCAGGGATAAAACAAATAATCAATAGCAAGGAGAGAGAAAAAAAAAAAGGCTGCAGAGAGAGCGAATATACTTAAAATCGCCTTTCCGGCCGGGAAGTCGCGGGAAAATGTGGAGCCAAAAAAATCAGCGTAGCATCACGCCTCGTTTTTTTTTCTAGAATAAATTCACGCAGCGAAATCGAGAAGGAGGAAGGCCCTTATTTTTAAGAATACGTGAAAGTAAAATTTAGAGTTATTTTGTTAGGGCGCGGGTCGAGTTGGAGAATTAACGGGGGCCGGCGGCCGGGTAAAGAAGAAGAGTGTAGTAGCATCATTGGGGAAGTGGTTTTGTGGTGTGGTGGGTGCTACCCGCGTTTCCCGGGGAAGCCGAATGGTTCTTGGGGAAAGCTGTTTTTTTCTTCTTCTTGTTTGGTGTTTGCGTGGCTTATTTGAGGGATTTGGTTTGTGGTAGGTTGAAGGCTTTTGGTTGCTTCACTTGTGGCACAGTCCTGTGATGAATTGGATGTGGTGGGCAGAGGGTTGGCCGTGGTTGGAGAGGCAGACGAGCAGTGCTTGGCTTGGCTTGGCTTGGTCCGGCCTGTTCTCACCTTCCATAGCTTCTTGTTTCAAAAAGGCCTCTTCTCTCTCTCGTATCATTGATTTGGCTTAGAATATGGCTCAAAACACGGAAGAGTGTGTATCCGAGTGAGTTGGGTAAGACATATATCCGCGGCGATGTAGGAGGCAAAGACCTCCTAAAGGGCTCTACTCTAAGCAAACTGGAGATTCGGTGATGTTGAGATATCACTTATAAACGCTTTGTCAATGTCATTATCAATGATGTGGCGAAGAAGTATACTTGTTGTGGCCACGATGCTCTGAGCATTGAGCTAGATGGTGTTGGTGGTCAGACTGCGTGTGGTTGAAACCTGCAAGGATTCCATCTTTTTGTGCTCCGACAGAATGCTCGTAAACACAAGAAAACCATTCAAATGGTAAAAGAAGCTATAGAAAGACGCAGGCCAAGCAAAACACCAGAAATCGCCTCTCCGGTGGCGGGGATAGCAAAGGATGAGACACGCCTACTCAACACCACAGAGGCTCCGAGCACGGAGTACAAAGCAGACCTTCCAACATCAGCAAAAGTGTCCCACTCACTGCAGCTGCGTCTCCACCATAAGAACCTGCAAGAGGCGAGGCGAGAGCTTCGACACAGCTTCTAGAGCGTCGGGCTGGAGTTCTAGGCGGCGCCAAAGGGGCGTACTCGGGAGTATTCTTTTTTTGCCACAGGAACGGGACTTTGCCGACTGGCACGGTGCATCTAATACGACCCCATAGGTTTCGAGTGATTACTATGCAATACCACGTTTTTACCGAGCTCCGTCAAAAAGGGACCGGCTTTGGCTGTTGTTGTTGGCAGGATTGAGAATGCAGGGTTCGGTTTCAATAGCCGTCACTGCTTCTTTGATCCTCGGCTTTGCAACCACAAATGGTAAGAATGCCTCCTATTCTCTGCGTTTTCCTTGCTTCGTATCTGTCTGAACAGGTACGGCAAGATCGAATATTACCTGTATTATCTGCTAGGTAGGTACCAAGGTAGCATTCCGTATACTCGTAGCAGACTATCTGCATTGGCCCCGTGGAGAAAACAAAAAAAAAAAAAAAGACCGGCTCAGAGGGTCCGTCCGTATTGCTGCTGGCCGTCCCTCGGTTCCCAGAACTCGCCAATGGCAGCAGCAGCAATACCGACGAAAATAGCGCTTTCTGAATTGGGCATTTGATATTCCGTAGCTACTGAATCTTGCAGAGCCAATCAGTCTCGCGCTGCTGATTGCGGGTGCATTACCAGCCAGCCCCGTCTTCGGCGTTCGGTAGTCGGCCGCAGGCAACCATGTAAGAGGCCTGCCCGACTGGCTAGCCAGAGCATCACGGGATCCGGGGTCTATGTAAGTGCTAACATCGGGTGCTGTATTATACAGTACTCGTATTGTTAGGACTCGGGGAATACGTAACATCCAGTCATATTGATTGATCCCTTTTTCTGCTTTCTCGATCCCATCGGCCTCGCTTTGCTGCTCGGCTCTGCTCTGGGCATCGGGACGCGGCAACGCGAGACTGGGCAAAGACGCACTCCAGCGATCCCTGGATGATTGATTCTGTGCTGTTCTCGATTCGATTGGCCACCCCCTGACCATGAACCTGGACGTGGACGTGGACCTTGTTGGCAGCGGCTTTTCCACGGAGCCGCCAACTGAGCTAAGCTGATGAGGTAATTGGGCAGTGGAAGGGAAAAAAAAAAAGAAGAAAAAAGGAGCAGGCAGGCAAGCGAAGCGAAGCGAAGCTGATGTGCTTTGTAAGTATTGGACCGACGGCGCAATGACGCATGGCAGACCGCCGCCTTTCTCGTGCGATTCCATGCGTTCTCTGACTCCGGTCTGCTGTACAGTACACGTACAGTCCATACTTTGCGCGTTCTGTAAATTACTCGCGCCGCCGATGGCGCTGATGCCCCGTGCAGTTTGCTGCTGTTCTGTTTTGTGCTGTGCTGTGCTGTGCTGTGCTGTGCTGTGCTGTGCTGTGCTGTACCCTTTCCCCTGAGATGGATGCTGTCAAAGCTCTTCTACGACCAAGCAAGTATACTTCAGACGACGGACTATTATGCCTTTTTTTTCTTCCTTCTTCTCCATCTCGTAACCCAGACTCGCGTATATGCAGACAGCTCTCGTTAATCGCCCAATTCGCGCTGCCAATTTCCCTCTTCCCAGTCCCCCCAAGCCTCTGATCGATCGTGGAGAATAAACCGCTGAAGGGACCCCCCTACCGAAGCACAACACGACAGGCAAAGACGAACAAGAAGAAGAGAGAAAAACGCCAGCGCACGTTGGACGCAATGACCCCCGAGCGAGCCCAACCCTCTCCCCCCTTGCTCTGCCAGGTATATCGCGGCCTACTGTAGGGGGCTTGCAGGAAGAAAAACAACGTGAGGAACCACACAGTACGCTCGACGATGGGCAGGGACGTGCGGACACTAGGCCGGGGGGGCTGAACCCCATGCCCTTGGAGAAACGATTTTTCCTCCGTATCGCAGGTTTCCGCATGCGGTGGGTGGACGATCGCTTTCTTTTTTGCTTCGTTTGTGACATGGCATGGATGGGCGGTTGTGCCACTTGGCAAGTGTGAGTACATGCACCTGTCAGCCCGTTTTGATGGATCCCCCGTGATACCATCTGCGGTGGGCTGGATTTTCAATGCCGAGCAAGTAGGTATTCGTACTCGTAGACGGGCTTGCGTGCTATACTGTACTGTACTGTACTCGTACAGTACGTGTAGGTGGTTTGTTTCATTGCACAATCTTAACAAAGCACGACGTACTTGGAATTTCGCCCATTGAAACCAAGTACAAGTCTTACGCCTCATCATCACTGCTGGGCCCCCCTTTCCAGACCGTCTTGGCAGCTCCCACATTGGAGATGGGAAAAAAGAAAGATGGAGTTGCATAATATGGAGAAAACTGGAGGGACCCAGGCGGCGCACCTTTTCAGCTCAGGGTCTCGTGGATTCCTTCTCACTCGAGCCGTAGCACGAAAGATACGGAGCGCGCAAGTAGCGGTAGGGTATTCAAAAGACGAAGTCAAATCATTGGATCCCCCGAATGCAACGCAATTCTGTGACCAGCCAAGACCGCCCTACGAGTGCTTGTACGGGCTGCGTCGTCGTGGCTTGCAAACCCCCACACAGCGGCTAGAAAGAGGAACTTTCATGTTCCAAAAAGAAATGCCTCGTCTAGCCGGGGGAGGACGTCGGTCAACGCTTATGGGAAAAGGGGGGGGGGGGCGCGCCGTGATGTGAGTTGTGCTGTGTCTTTGAGTCGTTGGTACGGCTGAAGCTGTTGGTGAGACATTGCAGGTTACGAGCGAGAAGGACCAATTCTTCTTTTGCCATTTCATCGTTTGTGACGGGATGATATCATATGATTCATAGACCTACTTGCTGCTTTACCCGTTTGTTTCCCATCCATTGCCCACTATCCTGTACACGAGTACATACTGTAGACAGGTACCCAGGTCTATACAGACTTCAATTGGTACTGTCAATGCCGGTATCAACCTGCTCGTACGCACGCAACGTGGCTGGCTGGATTTCGTCACGCCCGATGCCTTGCAGCAAGCAATACTAGGTAGTAGAGACAAACGCAAGGAGGCGAGACCAGTTCTGCCCGCTGCCGAGACGAGGCGCTGCAGAAAAAAACAAGGATCGATTGAGTGATGCCTGGAGAACGGACGGGCCTTGCACGGCCACTTCTGGCACCGGGCCAAGCAAAAGCAAAGACATGCTCGTACTGGCACAACCCCCCCAAGTCTTGTACTAATTGCGTGCATTCGCCATCGAGATGCAAGCGCGGCAGTCGTGTCTCCGTAACCGTTGGTTGGCACGCCAAGGCAAGCCTTTTCTTGTGCTGCAACAATAGCAGTTTGCGATGCTCGCATTCAACGCCTCGTTCTAGAATGCCCGCAGAATGTCTTGGCCCTCCACTACGGTACGCCGGTGGCAAGCGAATGTAGTTACGAGTACCAGCAGTAATCCGTAATACACGGAGCTGTGGTTGGCTGGCTTGCAGAATGTGTGTGTATGTACAGAGGAAAAGAGTAGGCATTGACAGCACTGTATGGTATGCTGATGCCAGTCTGGGCATTCCACCACATGCGGCAAAGCCGAGCTGAAGCCATCTCGATGACGTAGCGGAGAAAAAAAAAAGGGCATCAAATTGCCATCAGGGCAGTTTTCTCCCTTGTCCAGCTGCCCTTTACCGACCGGCACCGATCACGATAAACTCAAGCAGAATAGCACCGCCTGAATCGGAGACCCGGCCGCAATTCTTCAATTTCTAGGCCACCCCCTTCCGTTCCCGCGTCCCTTCTCCGCGGCCTTTAACCCCAAGCGAAGGGAGAAACCCCCAGAAGAGGAAATCTCGGTATATCGGTGACGGCGCTTCGCGGGTCCGGCATTTCGCCGTTTGCTCTTTTTTTTCTCTCCCTTACAATTTTATCCGATGTTTTTTTTTTTTGCTTTTCTCTGCTTCTTTTGTCATTGGGGGCCATGATGAAATGGTATTTTTTTTCTTGCCAAGGCCATTTTGTCGCACTTTGCGGATGCCGCGGTAATTAAAGCTGAAGGATTCAGATTAGGATGCTCATACGGATATAGAAAAGAAAGACCAGCCGTGACGGGTATGTGCACTAACACCAAGGATGCTGAGACACCGCAAACAGCAAAATGCTGGCATCGCCAATATCTACTACTACACGGCCCCCCCATCTTGGTGAATCAGTTCAATTCCATCAATGTACGGAGTATACGTGTATATCTTGCTGCAGTCAGCCAAGGCATTGCCTCTGGTACATAGTGCCGGAGCTGAACTAAGACTGAAGCAGTCAAGTCCAAGTATAGCTACGCGTACGCTTATTGCGGCCGCTGCAGCTACGGAGGTAGCATTACTCCTTTTCGTGTACACGTACAGCCGTACATGTAATGCTCTGAAACGACGCCAGCTTGATTGAAACCGAATTGATTGCGTCGCCAATCGAGCGCCAACACCAGATAAGAGAAGCAAGTCGCCTTTCTCCGTGTGCTCTGCTGGGGCCAGAAACAAAACCAAAAAAAAAGACAGAAAAAGTCGCCAAGGAAAAAAACACCAAAATGTAATTTCACCCAAGTGCCATGTTTCGCAGCTCCTTCGGTGCTAGCGTGCCACGGAAAACACTCATAGTTTCGAAAGGGCACTTTATCAGAAGTGTAAAAAAAAAAAAGTCTCTCGCCTCAGCCGTAGCCTTTGTAGCTGTTGGGCAAGCACGTTGACATGGAGGGTACAAGCCGGCGTCGGGTGGGGCCAGTGTGGCATACGGTGCTGCTAGGGCGGGCTCGAGCGCTGGAAAGCCGCTAGAAAAAGCCGGTGCGCTGCTTGTTTGGGGGGAGCAAAGTGAAGCCGCGGCGTGTTCCCGAGGGGGGAGTCAAGCCACCGGGCCAGCGACTTTTTGGTTCGGGGCCTTTGATAGGGAGGGACGTGGACGGGCTAGCGGCAAAGGGGAGATGCAGTCCAGTGATGGGCTGCATCCGGGGCCATGCACGATTGGGACGGGAGATGGATGGCCGTTGACAGGCTGCCGTTGTGTAATTGAATTGGCTGTGTTGTGTCTGGTTGATGATGATGATGATGATGATGATGACGACAATGCTGGCCACTAGTGGTGGCATTTGATGCACACCTCGTAGGAGGCACTAACGGTTGCTGCAGATGCATCTCAACGCCTACATGTATTCATTCATCCAATCAGTCTCACTCGGGTGTGCGACAGGTACAGTTGCGCCTTCGGAGGAACTCGACAAGCTGCTACTAGTACTTACGATGACACTGTATTCTGTAAATAGGCATTGCCACTGCGTGTAATTGCGATAATTACATGTAGTCTGTACATGGCTGGATTGAGCATTGGATGGTAATAATACGGAGTAATACCGGTGCTCCGTATTTCATTTGATATTATGCTGACCTGTACCTACCTGGTACTTGTATCAATATCAATGCATCTTTAGCTTCAGCCAATTGCCATGAATATCACCCATCAGCCAAAAAAAAGAAGAAGAAAAAAGTAGAGCTACAATTCTTCAAGGTTCAATTACCCTGCATCCGACCGACTCGTCAATGTACAAGACGTACAGGTAATCGGGATGCTGATCCTGGTTACCCGGCATCAACGACAAGCGATTCCGATGACATGGATGGACGCCTTGACGAGACCGGGCAGGGCAGGGCAAGGCAAGGCCCAAACGGCCGAAAATCGCAGGGAGCCAACGTGCGAGCTCGCAGCAAAGCAAACAGGGCTTCCTTTCCCACGGACACGATCTGCCGAAGCAAACCCGCCCTGCCTGGTCTTGGTCGGAGCGGCTTTCGTCATGGGGCGCGGCGGCGGAAGCATTCCCAAGATGCCGTTGTCGCTGAGACATGGCGTTTGGGGTGAGACAAGGTGTCGCAAGAAATGCGCAAATCCCGGTAACAGCTCATTTTTAGAAAAACAACAACAGGGCAAAAGAGAGAGAGAGAGAGAGAAAACATGGCATGTGGCTGTTTTGTGTCTCTCCGATGCACGTCTTACGGCTTGTGTCGAAATAGGCAGTCTCAGGATCGGCTTGTGGTACCCCCCCAGGGAGCGCACTGATGTTTTCTTTTTCTTCTTGCCCCCCCCCGTCTTGGCGTCTACAGGATGAGGGCGGATGGAATCACACTCACGCTTTGTATGAGAGTGAAATGATGGACGGCGGGTGAAATTGAAATGAAATTGAAATGAGACAGTCACACATCACAAGAGGGCAGGCATCATGAGTAAGCTCTGGCAGCGAACGGCGTGCTAGCGGAAGCGCCGCCGTCTGGGAAGGATATTGGCCGCTCGTCCAGCTGCCGGCCACTAGAAATAGTAGCAGCCCGTGTAATTTATCGATTGAACCTTTTGTTGATCAGATTGCGACCATGTGAAAGGCCGGGCTCGTGATAAGGCCGCCGCATTGGTTGGCGCTATTGGGTCCTGGAACGGCGCACTGCCGGAGGCATTGCCGCATTAATCATCTTGAACCGGCAGCGACAGAAGCGAGAAGCAAGCAAACAACTGGCAGAGTAGGTATCACAGAAACGAACGCATGGGACGAAAAAAAATGCGGGTGGTTGGGCAAGGCGAAACGTAGGTTTACGAGTACACACGCACATGTTCCCAGCAGAGCTTATGCACAAACTGCCGCTCCGTTTTTACCGCCACTGCCTCTCCTCTTATCGCCAAGTTGGCGGTGACCAAGAGTCGTGTCGTTGCATGTGCTCCGTACCGCATCGTACCTACTTGTACCTACATATAGAACCGCCAGCAGAAAAGTAACAAAAAACCTTGAAGGGAAAAGGATTGGATGCAATGATTGGAATCCAGCTCCGTTCTGGCGTCCCCACGGGGGTACTTGTACGCAAGAATGCAGTGGGAGATTGCGGTAAATGCAGGTACCTGCTTTAGTCGTCGCCTCTAGATCCACTGCGTGCAAGTCCACGAGAAAGCTGGCACTAACAACCGGTCGACGAAAAGCCACCGCAATCCATCTCATTGTCACAGCCATGTACAGTACGTTTTTGGGATGGTAGGTGCACGAGTTGTCGTGACGAGAACAGCGCATGGTCTGGGCAAAAACCAAGAAAAACCCCGGATAACGTACCGGACCGTATCGTCTCGCAATCGAGAAAAAAACCAACCTGAAAGCCACCGGAGCAACGTTCTACTGTAAGGGCCTGGGCCCCTCCAGCCCGCAACCAAGGGGCTTTGGGGCTCCAGAAATGCCCACAGATCATCAGCAAGGTGCGGTTCGCGAAAAAAGGGCCGTCCGCGCTCTGTTGCTCGCTGACCGCCGCGTGAGAAGAGCCCACTAGAACAGCTCTAGTTGAGGGAGTGGAGGGCCAGCCAGCGTTGTTGTCATCATGGGAAGCGAGCAGGAAAAAATGCCTCAGCAAAAAGACGAAATGCTTGGCTGGCTGCCGTGTACACGGGGAAAAAAGAGTAATGAAAATTAATGGAACATAATATCAATAATAGCCAGAGAAGGGCTGCTCTAGCCAAGAAGCACCAGCGCCAGGACGGCCAAATGAAACATGGAACCAAGAGGGACGAGAGAAAAAAAAAAAGAGGGCTTCTGGGGCATTTCCCCCGGGCTAATCGACTCCAGCTCCAGTATGAGGTCTTTTGGCGTGCGGTAAGTGGCCCGTAATGGTAGCAGTAGCGGTGGTGCTCCGGAGCGGGAGAGAGTTAGAGGCGGATATTGCAAGTAAAGTTGAGCATAAAGTTTATGGGAACGGCAAGGCTTTCTTTTCGGGTTTCACCCACCTAAGATTGCTGCTTATTGTTGATCGGGTCAATTCGCCGTATTGGACAAGTGCTGGATTTTGATTGCAGTAAGATACGAAGTGAATCATACTATTTGTTGCATTCGGGGGCAATTGCAACTGACGGCATGATTGATGGTTCCAACCGCAGTGTTTGATAGCCGGAGCTGCACCGCTGAAAAGAGACTGGCGCACCGCACCGGCAGCAACGCGGCGTCGGCACTCAATTGAACTCAACTTTCGCCCTGGATTCTGCGTTATCTGCCTCTGGCGGCACGGCCAACGCGCGCCAGGCAAGCATCTGCCATCCATGCTGTGACGAAGAGAGACGCCGCCTAGCGTGTGCCAAGTACATTGATGAGCAGCCTGAATCTTTTCCGTCCTGTTCATGCCGATGTGCGGCTTGCACAGGCACTAGGAGTACTCGTACACTAACAGATACCAGGCACGGTACAAAGCATCAATGGGTAAGGTGTTTAGGTGGTGGGCGATAACCATGTACCTCGCCAAGGGGACCCAGAGACAAACAAACAACAACACCGGACAACACACAGGGGGCAGGCTATTGTGCAAGTCCATCGCAGCACGGTCCAGTGCAGTGTCTCGCTAGCATCAATTCATTCAAGTCGGCGCCAAAGGCCAGGCATTTCCGAAAGGGTGCGCCGTCTCCGCCAAGGCCCGCCGGCTGGGCTAGCAGGGGAATTGCAGAGCGTGGACGTGAGTAAGAAGAGTAAGAGTAGCAGTCGAGAGAGCAGAGAGGCTCCGCCCCGTGGTGGAAATAGGTAGGTAGCAGACCAGATGCCGCAAAGTCGAAGCGTGGCCGTGGGTTTCGATGCTGCAAGTGCGGTGCGGTGAGGTGAGGTCCAGCAGCCACCGACATTTACACGAGCTCTGCACGAGGACTCGTACACGTAGGTACCTACCTACATGCAGCTCCATCCGGTAGCGAACTGCAGTAGACAGCACAACGGCCCGCTGGCTTTCGTATCGAATGGCAAAATCCATCCGAGCTGTACAAGTATGTACTCCGTACGAGTACTTGATAGTGTCGAGGGCAAAGGGGGCGGTGGGCCAAGGGCTCGTCGACAGCTGGGCCGTTTGCTCGCTGCTTCGGCCTCTTGGGTTGGCGTGCTTTTTTTTTTTTTGGGTTGCGTGCGCCAAGCCGACAGGACCATCGTTGTGCTTTTACTTTCCGGTTCACTTTCCATTGCAAGTCCTGAGGTACGTGTACGAGTACTCGTAGAGTACCCGGGGTACTTGTGTACCTACGTCCCTGACCAAGTTCCCTCTTTTGTCCAGCCAGCTCAGTCCACGATACAAAGATACAAAAGATACAAGATGCAGGGGGCCAAAGCAACCAGGCATGGGGCCCGACGCAAGGTCGCAGGGATGGCGGCGGTACGTACCGGGCTAGTGGCCACACAGTGCGCGCCTGGCCGCTAACCATACGGCCGACGGCTTCGTGCCTTGTACTCCACGGTACCGCTTTCGCCCTAGCACCGCCCATGGCGTGCCCCAGTCTTCGCCGTGCCTGGCCTGGCCCAGCCCAAGACCCAAAGGACGCTCGCATGGCGCCTGCTTGCTTCGTCGTGGCTTTGGTTGAAATAGAAGCTTCTCTCCCCGTCCTCGACGTGGCTTTCCTTTCCTTTTTTCCTCTTCACCCACGAATGCGTTGAGTAAACGTGTCCACCCCCCAAGCCTCTCTTCGTGTGGTGTGAAAAATCAACACTTTTTTTTCTCCCTTTTCCCTCCCTCCCCCCCGACTTACTATTTTCCCCTAATAATAATAATCCTCTTCGCTTTCAACATTCCCGCCCCTCAAGGTCGTCTACATACCAATTGAGGCACTCCGCGGCATTTCTAGACTTGTCAGCTTTTCTCGCGACCTAGAACCCTTCGTCTTTCTATTATAAATCAGCTCCGCCAGCATACACATCACAAGCGTCTCACACACGTTAATAATACTTCGTCATGGCGGACGATAAAGCCGTCGGCGCACCCGCGCTGGATACAAATATCGAATCGGGCAACTTCGACGAGAAGCGCGCTCAGCCTCCCACCGAGGCCGTCCCTCCCAAGAAGGATGCTCCCGCTGAAGAGGAGGAGGAAGATGAGGACATTGATGCCTTGATTGAGGATCTCGAGTCCGAGGATGGCCACGCCTTCGAGGAAGAGGAGGAGGAGACCAACCCTGCCACTGGGCGTGTCGTCCCCGAGGACATGCTCCAAACTGACAGCCGTCTCGGTCTGACCGAGAGCGAGGTTGTCGCTCGCCGTCGCAAGTACGGTCTTAACCAGATGAAGGAGGAGAAGGAGAACCTGGTTCTCAAGTTCCTTTCCTTCTTCATTGGTCCCATTCAGTTCGTCATGGAGGTGAGTTTTTAATTTTCTTCTTCTTTCGCTTTCCCCGTCATCTTCTGCGTCTCGATCTGCGCTCGATTGCCTTGGCCTCGACAACCACCGCCATGAGTCGTTTCGTCAGCGCTCTCACCAACACCACCACACCCTCTTGCAACTTATCAGCAAGCCGCGTTCCCCCGACGCGGCGGGCGATTCCCTCCAATTGCCTTGTTTTTCTCTTTTCCCGCGCTTGGCTCCTCGGGTCTCGATTGGCAGCTCCACACCAGCTGCTCACGACCTCTGCGTTCATTGGTTCAATTGGCCTGGCTGAGCTGATCTGCACTCCGTTTCCCTGCGCTCGAGAAAATTATGCATGTGGGGGGCCGAAGAATGCCGATCCACTCGATAAGATGTCACCCGCTCCACTCCCATCCCAACCGGCGCCGTCGATCGCCGATACGCAAAAACACATCCTTATTCGTTACGCGTTTCCAATACGCCATTTGCTGACCATCGTGTTATAGGCTGCTGCTGTTCTGGCTGCCGGTCTTCAGGACTGGGTCGATTTCGGTGTCATCTGCGGTCTTCTGTTGCTCAACGCCTGTGTCGGTTTCATTCAGGAATTCCAGGCTGGTTCCATTGTCGAAGAACTCAAGAAGACTCTCGCTCTCAAGGCTGTCGTCCTCCGTGATGGCACCCTTAAGGAGATTGAGGCTCCCGAGGTCGTCCCTGGTGATATTCTGCAGGTTGAGGAGGGTACCATCATTCCCGCTGATGGTCGCATCGTTACCGAGGGCGCTTTCCTCCAGGTTGATCAGTCCGCCATCACCGGTGAGTCTCTCGCCGTCGACAAGCACAAGGGCGACTCCTGCTATGCTTCCTCTGCCGTCAAGCGTGGTGAGGCCTTCCTGGTCGTCACCGCCACCGGTGACAACACCTTCGTCGGTCGTGCCGCTGCTCTCGTCTCTCAGTCCGCCGGTGGCACTGGTCACTTCACCGAGGTTCTCAACGGCATTGGTACGATTCTGCTGGTCCTCGTCATCCTGACCCTGCTCGTTGTCTGGATTTCTTCCTTCTACCGCTCCAACGGCATCGTCGACATCCTGCGCTTCACCCTGGCCATCACCATTGTCGGTGTCCCTGTCGGTCTTCCCGCCGTCGTTACCACCACCATGGCTGTCGGTGCCGCCTACCTCGCCAAGAAGCAGGCCATCGTCCAGAAGCTCTCTGCCATCGAGTCCCTTGCTGGTGTCGAGATTCTCTGCTCTGACAAGACCGGTACCCTGACCAAGAACAAGCTCTCTCTCGCCGAGCCCTACACCGTCCAGGGCGTTGACCCCGATGACCTGATGCTCACTGCCTGCTTGGCCGCTTCCCGCAAGAAGAAGGGTATCGATGCCATTGACAAGGCTTTCCTCAAGTCCCTCAAGTTCTACCCCCGTGCCAAGAGCGTCCTGTCCAAGTACAAGGTCATTGACTTCCACCCCTTCGATCCCGTCTCCAAGAAGGTCACCGCCGTTGTCGAGTCCCCCCAGGGCGAGCGCATCACCTGTGTCAAGGGTGCCCCTCTTTTCGTTCTCAAGACCGTCGAGGAGGACCACCCTATCCCCGAGGACATTGACAAGGCCTACAAGAACTGCGTCGCTGAGTTTGCTACCCGTGGTTTCCGTTCCCTCGGTGTTGCCCGCAAGCGTGGTGAGGGTGCTTGGGAGATTCTCGGAATTATGCCCTGCTCTGACCCCCCTCGTCACGACACTGCCCGCACTATCAACGAAGCCAAGAACCTCGGTCTGTCCATCAAGATGTTGACTGGTGATGCCGTCGGTATCGCCCGTGAGACTTCTCGCCAGCTCGGTCTCGGAACCAACGTCTACAACGCTGAGCGTCTCGGTCTCGGTGGTGGCGGTGACATGCCCGGCTCTGAGGTTTACGATTTCGTTGAGGCTGCCGATGGTTTCGCTGAAGTTTTCCCCCAGCACAAGTACTCCGTCGTCGAGATTCTGCAGCAGCGTGGCTACCTCGTTGCCATGACTGGTGACGGTGTCAACGATGCTCCCTCCCTGAAGAAGGCCGATACTGGTATTGCTGTCGAGGGTGCTTCCGATGCTGCTCGTTCCGCCGCCGATATCGTTTTCCTTGCCCCTGGTCTCGGTGCCATCATTGACGCTCTCAAGACTTCTCGCCAGATCTTCCACCGCATGTACGCCTACGTTGTCTACCGTATCGCCCTGTCTCTGCACATGGAGATCTTCCTTGGTCTCTGGATCGCCATCCTCAACCGTTCCCTCAACATTGAGCTGGTCGTCTTCATTGCCATTTTCGCCGATATTGCCACCCTGGCCATTGCCTACGATAACGCCCCTTACTCCCAGACTCCCGTCAAGTGGAACCTCCCCAAGCTCTGGGGTATGTCCGTTCTCCTCGGAACTGTCCTCGCCATCGGTACCTGGATTGCCCTCACCACCATGTACGCTGGTGGCAAGAACGGTGGTATCGTCCAGAACTTTGGTAACATCGATGAGGTCATCTTCCTTGAGATCTCCCTCACTGAGAACTGGCTGATCTTCATCACCCGTGCCAACGGTCCCTTCTGGTCTTCCATTCCTTCTTGGCAGCTCAGCGGTGCCATCCTGGTTGTCGACATCATTGCCACCCTCTTCTGTGTCTTTGGTTGGTTCATTGGCGAGCAGACCAGCATTGTCGCTGTTGTTCGTATCTGGATTTTCTCCTTCGGTATCTTCGCCATCATGGGTGGTCTCTACTACTTCCTCCAGGGAAGCACTGGCTTCGACAACCTCATGCACGGCAAGTCTCCCAAGCAGAACCAGAAGCAGCGATCTTTGGAAGATTTTGGTAAGTTTTTACATCCATTCACCTCCCTTTTTAAGCGCGCGGTTGCTAACTCTTTTCGCAGTTGTTTCCCTGCAGCGCGTTTCTACCCAGCACGAAAAGTCTCAGTAAATACACTCTATTACATACCCGCAGGCCAGTTGGCTTGCATGTTTCCGTTTTAAATGTTTAAATGTACTGTATGAGTCGTATCTGAAGATGGACTCGTCCAAAGTGGATGAGAGGCAACTTTTCATACCCAATGATGGTCTGATAGACAGCTAATGAAAGACAAAGTAAAATAATGTCACCTTGATGTGTCTGGTGAACTTGATGTTATGTCGGCAAATGTTTTAATGTGAACCACTGATTAATGTTTTGAGGATGGGGCGAGGGTTTATGAGTTGATAGTTGGCCAAAAAAATGAAATTGTTTTTAATGACTAAACTATCGAGTAGTGTTTACGTGAAATTTAGATTTTGTAGGCTCCTGGCTGAACTTTTCCGCAGATGCCGGCGATAGTGATAATATTGAGGCGCTGCAAAAGTTGGTGTTGTCCTGCCAAAGCGCGTCACGTGACGTGGCAACCGCCAGTGCATTCTCTGCAGCTAAGCCCGTTCAACTGCCGGCTGCAGAACATCGCCCCCAAACGCCCATCAAAACAAACCAAATTATTTCTATCCTTTGTAACAGAACCAAGAATTTCTGCAGCTTTCAAATCAAAATTATCTTGAGTGGGAATTAACAACTCTCTCTCTGCACGCACCTCTGATTTTGATTTTCAGTTTTCTTTTAGTTGGGCTCCCTTCCGAAGCTCTCCTGGCATAGAGACTGTTCCGTCTCTTTTCGAGAATCGCCATGAGCAGCACTCCCGCAGAGATACCGGGCTTCTATTACGGTGCGATTCCCCCCCTTCTTCGTGTATTCTGCATAGATCATTTACCAGCCTAACACCTGAGATGCAGATGCGGAGAAGAAGAGATATTTCAAAATAGAAGATTCTCATACCGCGCCAGCTTCGGCGGAGTGGTCCTCTGCCTCAGTTAAGCGCCGCAGGCTTGAGACAGAAGCCGCCGAGGAAGCGTCCCAGGAGGAAGAGCTCATCAAGAACCACGTTAAGCGCAGTGCCTTAATTAATGATGCTGCTGCCTCTGGACTGCTGGCTCGCGAGCTGGGCACCTCGAAGACCGAGACTGACGAAGTGGCTGCTGCTTTGTGGGCTCAGGGGGTGACTGACAAGGGGAGTGTTGCCTTTGGGCTCACTTTGCATTATGAGACGCATCCTCATATGCCGTGTTTTTACGTCAGTGGCAAGGAGTGTGGTACGGAGTCGGCTATAGCGTATTCGAGTGAGTTTTTCTTCTTTTATGTTTGACACTTGTTGATGAGTTGGGTGTGAAGAACGAGAAGGCAAGGAGTTACTGATGATTCTTGGTTATAGCTTTTGATGAAGAGATGTTGATGGGAACATACATTGACACGGATGAAAATGAAAAGTGAGTCACTGTTTTCCTTTTCATCTCGACTCTATTAACGGCCTGAACGATATAGTCTTCAAACTAAAGCAGCTTCTTTCCGCACTGCGGGAAGGCTGCACTATGAGATGGTCTACTGTCCTCAGATGTCATCCATCAAATACCATCAGCCGACTAACAAGGTTCTCCTGACTTCGAAAGAACCAGGCCGGGGCCTGTCTCTCTGTGTATTCACTCCTCCAATGGATGATACCCCCGACCAAGGAAGGCACTGGATCATGGGCGAGAGTATGTTTCCCTCTCTCTTATCTTAACCCCGTTCCAGGAGTCTTTTCGTGACAAGGCATTCACGAGTGTTTGTCAATGATTCTCGTCTGAGCATCTGACTGACACTGCAATAATAGTCGACAGCTACCGAAATATTGTATACAACTTTTCGCGCAGTCGGAGCTGGGGTGTCAACCAGAGCACGCCTGCCCCTGCCTCCTCTGACCTTCTCTGTGTCGTGGGCACCAGCAGAGGGATCCAACGTATTCATCTCAATGAAACTCCTAGCTGGATCACCCAAATGGACAGCCCACCCGACTACGGCGTTGATTCCAAGATCGATCACCCCGGCCGTAAGAGGTTTATCGGCCCTCAAGAGATCTTTTCTCAAGACTTCCAGGTTGACAACCATAACATACTGCTTGCTGGTGGCCGGCAGCCTCGCCTCTGGATTACTGATCTCAGAGCGCCCACTGCCGGATGGAACTTTGTTAAGCACGGTTCGTCCATTGCCCACGTTCGCAGCATCAACCCCCATCAAGTCCTGGTCGCTGGTCTGCGAAACCGCATGTCCGTGTACGACATGCGCTTCATCCAAGCCAACAAGAGTGGGTACCGCGACCGAGCCACTTCTTCTCCGATCCTCGAATTCTCAAACTATAAGAACGAGCCCTACTTCAACATTGGCTGGGACGTATCCAAGGAGCTCAACCTCGTGGCCTCGGCGCAGGACAACGGCACCATCAAGCTCTTCTCGCTGAGCTCCGGCTGCGCTTTGCCTTTGGGCAAAGCCTTGGGGAGCCTTCAGACGGGCGATCCCGTCAAGGCAATGATGTTTCAGACGCTGCCGGGAGAGAATTCGCCGAGCCTGTATGTGGCCAAGGGCCCGTTTATCAAGAAATTTGGTTGTGCGCCAAGCAACCCTTCCGACGAGGAATGATTCTATTCAATCTCCTCGACTTGTTTTCCTTTCTGGAGCTATATTTGCACCCATTTGATGTTGTTTTTGTTGTTTCCAAGGACTATATGCGCAAATTTGCTTTGTTCATTGTTTTTTTCTTTTTTTCGATTTATTTTCACGTCAGGTGTTAGGATCAGCCTGAAGAATCTTCTTTATGTACGATTTGGGAGGGCGGGCTTGGTATTTCTGTTCCCTCGAACTTGCTTCAGCGAGGAGATGCATTGTTTACATCGCCTTGGGGTCGATTTGATTTGATTTGACGCAACAACGATACTGCTGATACCCAAAGGGCGGCTTTGCAAAAAAAAAAAGGGATACAAAAGGGAACCGCAGGCGTATGCGAAATGAGCTACGAGTTACGCGTTTACGGAAACAAAGGAAACGGGAAAAAAGTGTCTTTCTTCTGCTTTGACAGAATGGTTCATGGTCATTGGAGTGGTCGTCTTGTCTGTTTTCTTCTACCTTGCTATATATCTACAGACAGACAGATGGACGGACGTGTTTGAGAATAAGCTTATTAAAGAGCTTTGTATGAATTCATGTAACGAAATTACAATTATATTCAAGAGATGTAGTAAATACATTAAACCATATGCTATAACGCATACATGTCGTAATATGTGCGAGTCTTATGATGAATGCACTTTAAAGGTTACCAAAACCAAACGAGTTGTCCTCCAACACCGGAGTAATGCTGATGCGAGCGATCCAGGGTTAATAAGCCCCCCAGGAGTGTCCTCCTCCTCCTCTTTCTTTGTGCTCATATTCCACCCTCTTCTGGTTTACTAGAAAGCATCATTTATTTAGCAGTTTCTTGTCCATTTGCCTCGGGCCAATACTGACACGTATCGGCTAGCATAGGAAAAGACTCGGCAAATAGCCTCCCCAGTTTCCAATTATCCAAATTTCGCAGGTGGCTCTCGAACACAGGGTTAATCATAATCTCGTCAGAGTCGGGGTTTCGTAGTAGCGTATGTGCCTCCTCGTAAGGCCAAGAGACGGAGAAGGTGGATGTAAACGGAAGAAAGAAGTTGTCAAAGTAGAAGAGGTCGGGATTTTCGGCTCGAATTACCCTTTCCCTCATCGCTGGGTAGGGTACATAGTCCATCCACGCGGCATGCGATATTTCATACTGACATGGCAATGGATGGATCCACTCCGGCAAACGTTCCAAGTTTTCTTTCGTTGGAAATATCTGCCATCGCATGTAGAGGAACATGAGGTATAGAATGGCCACCTTTTCGGGAAGGCCGGACACCTCGGGGAACTTGGTAATGATGTCTGTGAAAACCCTAGACACTGGGTGGCTGAATTTGCTATTCGCTGGATTGAGCAGAGAAGAGACGGATGGATACCGCGGGCCAGACACCTCGCTCGGCTCGTAGCCCTCAGCAGCACGCTGCTGCCGCTCACTAAGAAAGTCGAGAAGCAGAGCGTCAAGAGGACACGTGGGACTGCAGTTGCGCAGGGGACGCGAGAATTGGGGGAGAGCTTCTGGGACAGCAGCCTGTGCGGTGGGATAAGGAACTGCTGGAACCATGGGAGGGCTGGGATCAGAGGGCGGCCCGGAGGCAGGCCCCGGCTGGCTTGTGATAGAACTCTGCCGAGTGATGCCCAGGGCTGATGCCATTGCCGGAGTTGTATCTGAAGCAGCAGATGGAATGGGAATGGGTGGCTCCCACGTAGGCACAGGTCGAGCCTGTGGTGCGTAATCCCGATTCACTTGTGTCCAGTCATGTTTCATGGGGACGTGGCTGTATTCACCCGTGTCTTGTGCACCGTGAAGGCCCCTCTGTAGCTTTGGTATAGCTTGGGCAGGGTCAAGCACGACGTTTAGATCAAAGCGGCCCTGCTCAAAATCCAAGCCGTGCCGAAGCGCCTGCCCCTGCCGCTCTAATAGAGCCTGAGTGCCTTCATCGACGGCGTCGGCTAGGCTGGGCTGTCGCGGTGCTGGGGGTGTGCTGCTGCCACCGCTTTGCCAGCTCTGCAGGGGAGGCTGAGCGACATGTCGAATGGGGTCAACAATTCCTGCAGCTGGAGATGAAGAAGCAGCGGATACTGCGGGATGATAGGCAATGTTGCTTGTTGTTGTCATGGGAATAGGTGTTGCGGCGTATGGGAGACCAGGGCTGATGCCAGGCATATCTACTCTTGTTAGACTCTCACCAGACAACTGTATATCTACACATGGGCAAGACGGAATTTCGGTTGGAAGACTGAAACTTACTTGGCCCAACCAAAGGCTGCAGCATGCCGATAATGCTAGCCAGCCGTCTCTTGATCTCAGCATTTTCTGCCTCTATCGCCTCCTTGGCCCGGACCACGATTTGGAGGTCCTGGTACGGTTTTTGAGCTTCAAGCTCATGGATGCGGCGCTCAAGCCTCTCGATCTGGTTCTTAGTCCTTTCTCGGATGGCACGTTGCGCTTCGCGGTCTGTACAACGAGGGGGAAGGTCACATATGTTAGTCATGCGCTAATACCAGGGGGAAGCTGTTGAGAAAAAGCATTGACAAAAAGAAGGTTGTATGCACGGGGAACCGGCCAACCAACATCATCGTGTAGTCTCAACAAGTGTAACATTGAAGTCACGAATAGGGCAGCTAAAAAGGCTGACGCCATATGCGGCGATCAAAAGGGGGTGGGAAGGATGTCTGGCAAACACTCACCGTTTGCTCTTTTCTTGGCCAGCTGCTCCGGCGTCAAGTTAGCAACACCTCTACTTCCCGAACCCGTTTTCCTCTTCTTGGTCACATTCTCCACCTCTTCGGCCTCGGTGGTGTCCATGGCGTCCGTGGCACCAGATGCCCCTGCCCCTGCGCCATTGGGCATCGCAGTCGCCGACGTCAGGGAGGCAGTGGCTTCAGCTTCATGCTTGATGGCTTCGGTAGGGCTGCCGCTCTCTACAGAATCTCCTGCTCCGGGGCTTATCCCACCCCGTCTTACGGACCCGAGATCCATAGGGAGCGTGTGGTGGTGTTCGGGGAACTGCCAACAACGGGCCGGCCAACCATCCTCCGCGTCCGCCGAACAGGCCGGAACGTGTACACTCCCAGCGGCGTGATCCCCCTGGCCTCGGCAACCCGGCGGATGTACCTGTGGTACCTGTGTGTGTATGTGTGTGTGTGTGTGTGGTGTGTGTCTAGGCGCCGGGGCTCAGGTCTCGATAGCAATCGCCGTCGCGAGGCTGGGCTGAAAAAGCCGATCAAGATGCGTGTGCTTGGCAGCTGGGTGGGAGGTGTATTCTCCACTCGGCTCCGGAGCTTGGTCTAGACTGCCTAGTTCCAGCAGGACTCGTCGTATTGAAGCCCTGTCCCCTCCAAAAAGCCTAAAGAACAATAGTCGTGGACTGTCTCTGTACGAGTACTCTGTACTCCGAAGGGCCGTGTCAGTCTAGCAAGCAAACAAGGGGCGTCGCGCGACGACGGGAGACGGCTGCATGGGGGTAATGGTGGAGATGGAATGGTTGGCTTCCCTCAACCTCCGGTTGGCACGGCTGGCCTATGAACGAGTCGTTGCTGAATCAGGCGAGCGGGTGGTCAGAGCCATGTTGCGAGTCAGGAAGCCCGCTAGCGATTGGCTCTGGCACGTGCCGTGCGACGAACTGCGCTGGCGGATAGTTTGAACTAGCAGCTCTGAAGGATCGAATCCTGCCGTGGCATGTTGAGCTTACTTTGCGATGCTGCGTGCTTGCCCGGGTATGCTCTAGACCAGTTGACCAGTCAGTAAACCAAATGCCAAACAAATGCGGCACTCATGCAAGCTTAAAGCAGAATGCCGAGCTAGGGGTGGGCAGAGTAATGCCGGTACTGAATGCCGTGCCATGTCGCCTCCTGCAGCTGTGGCTCGATGTCGCTATTCGGCTTGTTGAGGGTGAATGTCTCCGCTGCCATCTAATTGCCCGATGAAGAGTTTCCATATATAACAGAAATAGGCAGCTTGCTGTGTTCAAGGAGCTGCCTGCATGTCAGAGCTGCAGCTGCTTGTATGTGAGGAGATGCAGATGCTAGAAGCTGAGAGGAGAAAAGAAGGTTGTGGTGTTGAGAAAAGTACATGCAAAGAGGTACCTTAGCAATCGTACCTTCCATGCATAAACCTCACCACAACAGGGAGGCACGACGAGGCCTTTCTCTTTCCAGTTGCAAGGCCGAGTGCTTGTGGTACATTGGTACATTTCCGAGACTCGAGTCGACCCTGGTGAAGTACGTCACGACGAAGAAATGGGATCAAGGGTAGAACGCCCAACCGGCGAATCTGCCAAAAAGACCACAAAATGCGTTTGGAAACATTCGTTGATACAACAGAGAACGAGAATATTCTGAAATGAGAATCTGAAAAGGAATATATCATGGAGGTGGACAAGAAGATAAAGTATGCCTCAAGGTAGAAGTTGCAGACAAGCATCTTTCGAAAATACTAAGGCACGACGCCCATCCAATCTCGGATCATCACAAGAAACATGAACCGCGTCAATCCGTGTCCAACAATAACCAATTACTCTCCTATACATTCATTCCATCTTCCTAGCCTATTTCTTAATTCTTAAAAAGTGCAAGTTAGCATCTCCCTGATGCTGCTGCCTTGTTCTCTAATCTCATTTGTACCAAAGGTATCAACAAAAGTCATCATCATCAACAAATCGCATTGCTCCTTTTCAAGCCCCTCCTCATCCTCGTCCTCCCATTACATGAATTACTCCGCAGATGCTCTGGCCAGTGCCTCGTGCAGATGTGGCGGGAACCGGTATCGCAGTTGGCTCGTGTAAGTCGTCAGGTCAAGAATCATCTGCTTCAGCTGCTCCACCATCATCCTTCTCGTGCCCTCGTTACCGCTGAACTGCCCATTGACGAGCTGCTCTCTTTGTCTGACGCAGCTGATGATGGTCCACATGATTAGATTGGACACGTTAATAGACACTGGCTGTGAAAGACTGGAGAACTTGGAGGCATAGGCACGGATCGTGCTTGCATCGCCCCCTGCTTCGAGAGGGAGGATATCCAGCCCACGAATTTTCTGTAAACTCCATGTTAGTGATTTTTGAATTCTGGGATAGATTTGCAATGTTGTTGTATTGGAAACTTACATCAAGACATTGAGCCCATTGGCTAGCCTCCACTAAGCTCTTGATGGCACTCATCTCAAGCAAAACGCGGCAGGCAATCTTGTTCTGGTCTTGGATATTCCTGTAGAACATGGCATCGCGCTCGTACATGGTCATCATCGTCTTGGCAAGCTCAACAGGATCATCAATGGCTGCCAGGCTAAGGCTGCCGCCCTGCTCCGTCTCCTGGGCGCCACCCCTTGGCTTGACAGGCATCAAGCGCATTGGGTCTTCCCCAATCTCGAGAGAAATGGCTTCGCTCAGGGCGCGGCTAACAATGGCCACAACCGCATCGTACTCGCCGGCGAGGTGATAGAGCAGCACGGAATCAGTAGTTCGGCCATTCTCATCAGCAAAGCTGGCAGCTTGCAGAGTGACGGTATTGACAAAGTCGTCCTGTCCATCGAGGCCAATCAGCGGCCCGCGACCCTCGATGATGCCCAGGATGCGGCGGCCATCTGGCCTAATGTCACCGATGAGCTTGCTGAATTCTCGCGTCTCCAGGACTAGCTCTCTCAATGCCTCATGACAGAGACCGCTGTGACGTGCCCCGGCCTCTCCATTGAGATCTGCGTTCAGGCAGATCAAGGTGAGATAGTCGACGGCGGAGACGGCATCGGCAGCCCGGAAGTCTCGAGTGTAATAGCCAATCATGCGACCAAAGTTGATCTGCGGGAGACCCTTCATGCTATGCGTGCGCAAGTCGTTGGAGGCAGACATTGGGTCACTGGGACGGAGCAGGCCGTAGAACTCAAGAGCCAAGCCAAAGTGAACCGCGTCCACATAGGAAAAGGGGTAGAGATAGGAGACGGCGTCCTCGAACATGCCGGACAGGACCTGTAGGTAGAAGAACATGCCGCAGCTGCCGTTGTTATCGTCAGAGGGAGTCTTGGGGAAGTGCTTCTGGCCAATCTCTTTGATGCTGGCCTGCAAATCTGCCAGTCCGTACGATTCTCCGGCCATTTCTAGGGCCTTATCGCCCTCTCTGGCCAGGTTGAACTGAAGCCAAATCCAGTCATTGATGTCGGTGTTGAGGCCGTCCAGGTTGCGGTTGTTCAGCTCAATCCGACCAATGACCTTGTAACAGGCCATGCGGAAGGGATCGATTGTATTCTCTGGAGCGTTACGAGAGCGCTGGATGTATTCATTGGTGCAACGGTCGAGCAGCTTCCTGTTAGTGATTCTGCGGTCTTCGCTAGCGGCATAGTTGTTGAGGTATGTCGAAAACGTGCGGTCAATGCCCCGGAAATGATTGCTATTGTCGTTGACATACTTGGCAGCCTCGTTTACGTGGCCGGACCGAAGGAGGTAGAAGACAATGGCCCAAACATATTCGCCATGAATCTGCTGAAGCTCGGTGTTGTCGGGGACCAAGTCTTTTCTGGCTGATCGTAGCCGGATGTATGCCTTGATCTTGCTGGTGATGTCGGGCAGACCTCCAAGTTTAGCTTCGTGAGGGTGCTTAGCAATAAGGGATTCCACCTCGCGAAGGAATTGCTTTTCGAGGAATGCGTTGGCGCCGCTCAGGATCCGCCTTCTCATCTCGATGGAAAGCTGAGAGTTGGGATTTTCGTCCAGGTACATCTCGGCGAACTGGCGCTCCTTGGCCGTAGCACTGCGAAGCGTCGTCTCGGCATTGGCGTCTTCACCAACAATCTCAATCATGGCTCGGTAAGCCTCCACAATGTGAGGCGCATGTGGCTCGTGGGATTTTTGCTCAACCTCCGCCAGCTCTGCCAAGATGGGGTAGGGACGGCCAAGAAGACGCGAGGAGTTGAGGCTGCGAACCTTTTCAGCCAGCTTAGACTGGCGTTCGCGAAGGGCCTGGTCCTCGTTCCTGGACTTGCTGGCGCTCTCTGTAGACCGATCGATGTCGGCGAACTCGGACTGATGAGCTCCAATTCTCGACCGGGCTCCAATAACCGAGCGCTGGAAAGTCGAATTGCCAAATGTGCTGTTGCGAGTGTCACGAGGAGTGCTTCCTTGGGTCTTTCCTCGTCGAGAGCGTCCAAATCCGCCCTGGGCTTCACGACCAGTCGTGGCCGAGATCTCGCGAGGCTTGATGCCAAAGTGTTGATAGATACGCTTCCTCTGTGCGTCCCATTCCATGGCTACGTTGTCCTCCAAGAAATTGTCGAAATCGCGGAGCGACCGCTCGAGGCCGTCCTGAATCATGCTCAGGGTCGTCTTCGTCTGCAGGTTCGAAAGGTAGGTTTCGACATCGACGTCTGCTGGGGCGTAACCGTGTGTTGGTCGTTCGCTTCGCGTGCCTTGGATGTCGAGTAGGCCGAGGTCCTTGGCTGCAACACTGGGATCCACGCCAGAGGCAGCGAGCAAGTAGTGAGCCTTTCCATCGGCACCTCCAGTCTGCTTCGACTGTAGCTTTCTCAACCGGTGGCGCAAATCTCCCAGGCCTAGCTCCAGGCTAGGAAGATCCTCCATGTTGGAGTTCACGACACCGGCCTTCTGGGTCTTTGCGAAGAGGCTGTCAAAGTAGGCGCCGGCGGGTTGAGCTGCAGAGGTGGTCGTGTTGTTCGCAACGGTCAGCGCCTGGCCGCCCAAAAGGCCACCCGCCAAGGACATGCCGCCGGCCTGCTGAGCTGGAGGTTGAGTCGTCGTCGCCGCTCCAAAGAGAGATGGTTTCGCGGCCGTGGTGCCACCGCCTAGCAAAGGTGCGCCGGTCAGGGCTGAGCCACCAAACAGCGACGGCTTGGGCTGCTGTGCGGCGGCATTTTGCTGATTTCCAAACAGGCCACCGGTCATGCCAGTCTGTTGGGTCTGGCCTGTTTGCCCAAATAAACCGCCCGTGCTCTGTTGTGCTGTTGCTGTGTTGGAGCCAAACAGACCACCGCCAGTCTGAGGCGTGCTCTGCTGGGGCTGCGCCTGTCCGAAGAAGCCCCCAAGCTTCTGCTGTTGCTGCTGCTGTCCGCCACCAAACAGGCCTCCTCCGCCCCCAAACAATCCGCCTCCTGAGCTCGGTGTTGTGGTGGTGGCCTGCTGCTGTTGTTGTTGCTGCGCGGGCTGGCCAAACAGCGATGGGCCGGTCGTCTGCCCGAATAGAGACATCGCGGTGGCGTAGCTAAAACAACTCAATCGGACAGTAAATGGAAGATAAAGTAAAGGAAAAGGAAAAGGATGAATCCGTAGAGATGAAAAGAGGGAGCCACGGCGAGCGGGCAATGGAAGGGCAGAGATGCTCGCGCGTTTGGCAAGACAAATGTGTTGCGGCTAGCTGCGCGTCGCCCACCTTTTTAGAAATTTGGGAACCTGGATTGGCGAGGCTGAGAACCTGGCCGGGAAACAAGGAGCTTTGGCCAATCAGGAGGCCTTGATGGGTGACGCGGCTGAGTGGCGGTGGCCAATCAACGATCGCCTCCAGTTGTTGCCCTATCAAGCCTACGAATAAAGCCAGATGCGTATCTCAAATATGGCACAAATTATCTAAATTGCGAATTTCATGCCTGACGGCTCTCCTTAAAAGGAATCTATTAGTTCAAACATTGATGCCAATTATGCTGAGACAAGGGACTTTTCATAGAGGGACTCGAACATCATCAAGAGCATAGTGAAATAGATATGATAGGCAATAGCTTCGCTGTATTTTACTTTTCTCTATGGCAAATAAATGCATAAACTCATTACATTACATATCCCAAGTTCCATTCTATTTCGTCTTCCTCACGCTTCATCAGCGGCTTCACTCATCGTCAGCATCAAACAAGGCTCCCCACTTTGCAACGGCATTATCAATCTTCTTTCGGTACGCCTGTTGCGCGTTGCACATGTCGAGGAAAATTTCGTACTTGGCATCCAGAAGCAGCTTCTCGCCGGCATCGGTGCCAGGCTGAACCAGTCGGCCGGGCTTGCTCATGCGATCCATGATATTCCACAGCGTCTCGGGCTCTGAGCCATCGTTGCGGTTGTGGCTATGCGCCTTGGCACCCAGCATGGCGGCACCGTGAACGACGGCCGCGTTGACGTATCTAGGAATCAACACCGGCATGTTGCATGTGGTGGCCAGGAGGTTCATCAGAATGGGGTTCTGGCACTGCGAGCCGGACATGAAGATGGACGAAATCTCGTGGCCGGCCTTGTTCATCTGCTCGACAATCTGGCGAGTCTGCATGGCGATGAATTCCATGGTGGCATAGTACCACAGGGCCATGTTGTCGGTACTCTTGTCGCTGTCAAGACCAATCATGGAGCCTCTCATCTTGGCGTCTGCAATTGGTGAGCGGTTGCCCCACAGATCGCCATAAAAGAAGTGGTGACGGCCGAGATACGAGATGGCGGGAGCATTGTGCTTCTCAGCGAGATACTCGAGGTGAGCATTGAGGAAGTCGTAAATGTGCTTGTCTTCGGCCTTGGCCAGAGCCATGGTTTCGTTGTATGCGGGGTGAATGTCCAGCATGTGTCTCAGCAGCTCTCCTGTCGCGGACTGGCCACCCTCGGCCATCCAAAACTCGGGAATCAGCACGTCTCGGTATGGGCCCCAGACACCAGGGACAAAGACGGGGTTCTTGGACATGGCCAGATGGCATGTTGAGGTGCCTGCGACGGCGGCCAGGCGAGTAAAGGCCTGGCTGACATCGTTGTGCGGGACATCAGTCCTGAGCTCGTCCTCGGTCAGCTCAACCTTGGCACCGACGGTTCCGATCCATCCGGCGTAGGCGTCAATGACGCCGCTTCCGACGGCGATGCCCTCGGGCAGGCCAAGCTGGGAGGCAGCCAGGCGGCTAAGGGTGCCCACGCACTCGCCAGCACTGGCGTACTTTCCACTCTATCAAACAATGAGTTAGCCAAGGAACTCGAATCGCAAAGATGCTGCAGCCAAAAAGCGGAATGCAGCAGGGAATAAGACAGTCTAGACGCATAAGAAAATAGGCTCACCACCCCGTCGACGCCGCCCATGCGCTTGAAATCATCCTTGACCAAGTCGCCCAGGCCGATTTCGTGGTAAAAGTCTTGCTGCCAGCCCTTGACACTGCCGTCTACGCCAACGGGGACGAAGCCCTGCTTGCAGACGGTGCTGCAGAAGCTGCGCGTCTCGTTGCCGGTAGCCAGATGAGTAAGAGCGTCTGCCAGGTCGTAAAACTTGCAGCGGTCGAACAGCTCCGGGGGCATGTTGTTCTTGAGCCACAGAACCTTGGGGATCTCCATCTCGATGCTCATCTTGCCGCCAACGTACTTGAGCAGCTTGTGGCCGGTAGCGTTGATCTTGTCCGTCTCCTCGACTGGACGGTGGTCAAGCCACAGGATGACGTTGCGATCGTTGCCATCATTGTCGAACTTGGGGCCAGTGACGGGAATGGGCTCGTCAGTATCGTTGGAAAAGACGGCCAGGGAGCAGGTGGCGTCAAATCCAATGCCCTTGATTTGGCTGGGGTTGACAAGAGACTCTTGCACGACGCGGCGGACGCATTCGCAGATGCATTTCCAGATGTCTGTTGTGGATTGTTCCTACAGTCGAACAAACATGGACAAGTCAGAATTAAGCGCCCATGCAAGCTTTAAAAGAACCAATCGGGGGGCGCTGTGGGCGTGCATACGTAGTAGCCGTTCTCGGGCTGCCAGAGCTTAATGTTCTCCGAGGCCAAAGCCTTGATGTCACCGGTCTCATCAATGATACAGGCTCGGGCAGAGCCGGTACCGACATCTATGCCGATGTAGTGATCCTACAGCGGTTGGTGTCAGTTTTGTGGCCTTGGTCTCAATATTCTCGGTCTGATGAGCGGTGTTGAGAGCTCCAGCTCTACCAATTTCGTTCCTTTATAAAGTTGGCTGCTTGATAGGCCTGCATCTCGGGCTGTTGGGCGGGGAGGGTTGGAATGGGAGGTTTGTAGCTACCTGAACATGGGCAGGCCTGTCCATGATGCCAGAAATGAGCAATTAGCAACGTTATGATATGGCGAGAAATTGACGAGGTAGAAGAAGAAGAAGAAAAGGCAATTGGATGTATGGTGTAAGAAGAGGAGGACGAGGAATGGAAGAAGGAGAGAGCAGAGACTCACTCCATGGCCTTTATGGGCTTATTGTACGCGTACATCGTTGCTTCGGTTCTCAGGCAAGGTTTCCCCGCTGATTCTGGTGGCTCAAAGCAATGGATTGAATCTGGACCTTTGGAGCAAGCCACAGACTAAGGTAGGCCGAATTGGAGGGTGAGACAGGAACAGAAGATGGTGTCAATCCTGTATCGTAGTATCGATGAGCAGAGCAGCGAGGGGTTCGGTTTCGGCAAAAAGAAGATACATGATGATTCAGGCGCAAAGCAACAACCCACCGCCTTGACAGACTTGACCCGGACCTAGGGGCGTGTCTCCATGGGCGCCAGATTGGAGAGACGCCCAAGGTGCACGAAACTTGCAGCACCTTTTGGAGCCATTCGCATTGGATGGATCAGATGGGACCCAGCGCAGGCTCCAGCATTTCATGGATTGGATCCAGCTCTTCAGGCCGCTAACATGCGCTAACGCTCTCCCCAGTGCCCCCGCTGGAGGACCCTGTTTTGCCCCTCAACTCCAGCGCTAACTAACACGGAACGACTTGCTCAGCGCATCTCGGAAGTGATTGATCACGCTGTGGTGATGACGGGCGATCGAGTTGCCACTGGAGCCCGGGAACGGATCTGATGGACACGGCAGTATGAAGAGACAGAAGAGACAGAAAAGACAAAAAAAGAAAAAGTTGCAAAAAATAGGGTCTGGTCCCATTGACATCATTTATGATTTCATAGTGGCAATCCAGGGGGCCATTTTCATTAAGAATGCAAAAGAAGGAAGAATGAAAAAAGAATGAAGCAAATGAGACGATACAGAAAAGTTCCAGCGGCCCTGAATTCCCGGCACCCACCCGTGAAAATTCTCCCCCGTCAGCAGGCACCCCAAAACCGGAACCTCACGATAGTCTCTTCCCAAGTTTTTTTTTATTATCTTGTCAACTCCCGATCCCTCCATTTCCACCCCCACCATCCTTTTTTCCTTAACTCGCTGCCTAGCGATCATCACTCGTTTCTCCTCCGCTTTTCTGGGGACCCCCCCCCTTCTGGGCCTATCGAGAGCCACGGCTGCACAAGCGTTGCCCGGCCCCTGGTGGCGCTTCAAGGAGAATCCGGGAAGAAGCAAAGGCAAGGAAATTGTCTTCTCGTAATGTGAAAGGAATGGCCATCCCACGTTTTGGTGGGCTCCGATTGCGGTATGCGAGAGGCGAGAATGTATGCAACCAGGACTCGGATCTCGGATATGCTCACGTCCCACGTCCGTCCAACACCATGTTCGTCTTTTGTGGATGCATCCTAGAAAGGCGCCATGTCTCTCCTGGCGTAACACGGAATGGGAGCAACAGCATTTTGACAGACGCCATCATTTGACAAACCTCGCGATGCCTCAGACGACATCAGCCGCGCTCACGGGGCTCTCCTCCGGTATCGAAGCCCTCCTCATGGCCGCGTCTCTGTCCTTCCTGAGCATCACGTCGTTTGACACGCTCATGCTCCTGCTCCTGCTGCGGACCATGGCCAGGCCCTCCTGTCCCATCTCCGCCGCCGCAATCGCCTCCTCGTTGGCCGTCTCCGGGTCGCCCGCGTCCTGGCCCGGGTTGGCAATCTGATACTCCAGGCCCTTGAGCAGGCTATAGACGGCAAACGAGAGCAGCGCTCCCAGGACCGGCCCCAGCCAGTATATCCAGTGATAGCCCCTGAAGCTGCCCGTCACGACCGCCGGGCCGAGCGACCGCGCCGGGTTGATGCCCGTGCCGGTGAAGTTGGTGCCGGCCATGTGCGCGATGAAGACGGAGACGCCGATGCCCACGGGGGCGAGGAACGTGGCGCGGTGCTTCTCCACGGCGAGGAAGTACACCGTCAGCACCAGCTGTGCCGTAAGGAACATCTCGATGAAGAGGCCCTGCACGATGCTCGTGCCGCTGCCCAGGCTGTTGGTCACGCCGAGAGGGCCGGGCAGCAGACCCGATACCGTCGCTGCGGCCGCGATGCCGGCGGCGATTTGCATTGGCACGATGATGAGGGCCCGGAGTGGCTTCACTGCCCCGACCAGGACGAGTCCCAGAGTGACCTTTAATCATACCCATCGTCAGCATATATATCCTTGGGACCATCTAGGTAAGACTGCAAGAGAAGAAGAAGAAGAAGAAGAAGAAGAAAAGAAAAAGGACAAGCACAATCTTACCGCAGGATTAAACATTCCTCCCGTGACTCGATAAAACACCCACACATTGACCGCCAGCGCCGTCCCAAATGACGACGCAATATACAGCAGCGTCGCCGCGTCCGGCTTCCCACCATCCGGGCCGTTGTCGAGCGCCGCCTGCGCCCCCATGAAGGAGAGCAGCAGGAACATGAAGGTACCACAGAACTCGCCCAGGCCAATGACCAGGGCCGTCTTGACCCTCTCTGGGAACCTGTGAAGGCGGTTCGGCATGGTGAACTACTCTAAAGTTGCACTATGATTCGTAAAGTGTTTTTCTTCGTAGGATACAAGTGACGATGGGAAAATTCACATCTTCCTTGACAACAAATTCTCAACTCCCCATCTTATATAACTCCCACATCACCACCCATCCGTACATCATACCTTACACATCATCACCGCCGTCTCAAAAGCAAGTAAACTCTTCCCGATGTCTCACAAAAAACGCATGCATGAAATCACACGACAACAATCCGCATCAACACAACACAGCACAGCACACACCCCCCTGCTTCAAGCCTCCCCCCCCCCCCCCCCCCCCTTAAAAAAAACCTGAAAAAAGAGCACGAAACAAAAGACACTCCAGATGAAAAGTTAAAATCAAAGGCCCAACGGTCCTCCGCAAGAGCGCGTAACCTAAACCCAACAGGCAGTGTAATAAAACCCAACAAGCAGTGTAACGGTCACAACTCCTTCGAGTAAGAATCATCCCTCTGTGATTCAGACGGCACGTCGCGGCACAACTGATCTTGGCTTGCTCTTGGCTTGCCTTTGCATTACCGCCCGTCGATCGCCATCCTCGCAGAAAAAAAGGGAAAAAACAAAAACAAAACCATCTCGTAAAAAAGCAGAGGATAGATAATTCCTGAGGTGTTATAAAAGTCCATGATTTCACTTTGTCTCAGTTTTTGACATGGACAAGGCGCAAAACGGCGTGTATATCACTTCTGCGGGGTGACGTCGAGGGCTTGGTTCGAAGCGGCCATCACTCAAGCCAAAAACAAACGCGTCAAACGTAGACGGATATCAACGGAACAGTTGTATCGCTGTAACAGTTTAATATGATTTTAATTAAACCGATATTGTGGCAAAAAGGCAGAAAAATGGCGTGTTTTCAGTAGTCGTACGTCGTGGGAATATGTTGTGCCTACACATGCTGCAACCTCATCCGTCAAGAAATCAAGTCATTTCAGCTAGTAATATCAAAAACATCCAGGAGCTCAACTCCATTTTCATGCATGGCTTGCTAATATCTTGGCTTCCCACTATGTTGCTCCCCCCTCCTCTCCCCCCTCACAGGTATAATCACCAAATAGTGCTCCAGTCCCTTCATAATTGCAGTCGCTCAAGCAAAAGCCGCGGATCCAGCCCGTAGTTTGTCTAACCACTCAACCTTCCCCCGGTAGCGGCAACATATAAACAGAAAAGAGAAACAAGGTCAAACTCAGGTTACGTCGTATCATCCGTACATTCATAAATCATCATTCGTGGTCATCGTGTGGCTGGTCCTCGACCAGGATCACTACTGTTAATGTCGCTGCATATGCCTCTCTGATGGCGCACGCCATGCTACACGTTGTCCAAGTCAGTTCATCTGTAGATGGGATTCGAGGAGGATGCCATGATCCATCGGACATACCAAGTCTTGTGGACATCCGCCACTACTGCACTGAGGCCCCAATGAGCGCACCAAGCTCTGGCCAGCACCTCGTTGTCTCGAACGCCTACTGCATCTACCACAAGCACCTTCTCATCGTCGACGTCCCTATCAACGACGGCTTTTGCCGCGTCGGCCGCCGGTGGAGGGCTTGAGGCGGTGCTACTGGGCCCAGAATTCTGGCCGTCTGCTCCATACAGGCCTCCCCAGTTGCGTATCTTGACAATCTCGTCCGCCTTGACGAGCTGGTACACGTAGTCGTAGAACAGGGGGTGTGGCCCTTCCGAACACGGCCACGCTGAGACGAAGCTTACATCGTACATGAGCCGTAAAGGCCAAGAAACGCCATCAATCGCAAATTGCGCCTGGGCATCAAAAAGCCGGGGAATCGCAGTGTTCTCACGACCCGCGGCGTTGACTGGTTTGAAGCTCAGCAGCTCCATCCGCACCGCGTCCACCATGTACCTTGCATTATCAAGCTCGGGCAGCTTATACTCGCGCACAGGATATGCATCCGCCCGAGGCCCTAGCGCATCGGACCGCGTGCTCATGGTCTCTACGTCCTCGCGAGTCATCCGCTGCTTGGGCTGCCTGGTTCGGATGCGGGCAATCTGAGACCGGCCAAGCTCCGACGTTGGCCTGCCAGGCCCGACCCAACCTGCGACCGAGTGGCAAGTAGGGGCCAGCACTTTGCCCACAATGCAGCTCGCCGACCAGTACGTGTGACTATTACGATACTGGAAGCCAACGTGCGGATGCGTATGAGAAAGCAAGGCCAGCTCATTCGTCGCTGGATCTGGGTCCAGGTCGATGAGCGTGTTCATGATGAGAAACGAGAATGTCGGCTGTAACCTTGTTAGCACAAAGCTGTTCCCCTCTATCCTTACCATCATACTAGACATCATCACTTACTCCGGGAAGCACAAGCCCACTAAAGTAGGCAAACGCATCCGAGCTTATAGAGTCCAGAGCAAATTCTTCGTCCTTTTGCTGCAGGCTTTCCATTGTTTCGCCAAGATTAGGCCACTTCATGATCTGAGCAAACTTCTTAAGCTGCTTTACTTGGCGCTTCTTCAGCTTATATCGCAGTTTCACTGGCAAACATTCGCTTAGCTTTGCTCCGTGCGAGACACAAAAGTGCTACATACCTTGGTCGGGCGAATCGCCATACGCATCTACTCGCACATTCTCTCGCCACCGCCTTGCAAGTGCCAGGTTCCATTTGATCGTAGGAGGCATCTGCTGGAGCAATGTCTCCTTGGCCCAGTCATCGTGATGCCGCGACTGAATGCGCAGCTCCAGCTCGAGGCTAAGGAGCAGCTGGTGAAAGAATTTGTGATACTGCTCATGGCTCTCCTCGGTGGAGCTGTCGAATATGAAGCGAGTCACAACCTGATTCTTGAGCTCAGTGTAGTCGATCCAGTCAGGGCGCGACAGCGCCATGATCAAGTCGGCGATCTGCTTATCCAGCGTCTTGTGCGGACTCAGAAGCCTGTCGGGGTCTCGCAAGAAGCGCTTGTAGAGAGATCGGTATAGGAGAGCCAGGTCATCGTCCTCCAACCCCATCTGCAAGTCTTTCAGTCGCGCAAAGATTTGCTCCAAGCTCACCTCCCGCGGAATGACTCCCGAGTCCCTCAGCGGAATCTTGGCTGGAATATTGCTCGCGGCGGCGGCCCACTGGTTGAGCGTGATTGTGCCACCCAGACGACCGTAGAAGAAGGCATAACTAGGTTGCTCTATCGTTTCCCAGGGATATGACGTGTGCCCGCTCGCCTGGATCCTCATTGTCATGAGATGCGACATGGCATCGTGCGGCTTCGCAACATCGGTGCCTCCGCTTCGTGTCTTGGAGCTTGTCACGTAGAGCACGTAGTGCTGATCTGAGGCGTAAGGGATCGCCTTCCTACGTCCCCTGTAGGTCGGCGCGCCGTGCGCAATCAGCTCTTGGGCAACCTTGTGTGGCAGCTCTTGGTGGCCCGAGACGGTCGCCGGAGGCCATCGTGGGTTCCCGCCCCCAAGCGCCGCATGCGCCTCTGCGGCCTTCTTATTCTTGTCGCCAGCAGTCGCAGTGGCGATGTCAATGTCGGTTCCGCTGTCTCGCTTCTTGCCAAAGCTCGACTGAAGTCGTCCGGACAGCGACTCGTCGGTTCGCCGCCTCGTTGCCGAGGTTCTGGGCGAGCGCCTGTGAATGTCACTGCCGCTCCCGCCGTCGATTGTCCGGCGCCTGCGTGGCAGCAGATCACGCTGAGCGACAACAAGACTATTGCTGCCCTCGCTGAGCCTGCGACGCGGCTTCTCCTCCGGCTCGTCGTACTGCTGCTGTTGCTGCTGTTGTTGTTGCTGCTGCGACTGCGGCGGCTGCTGATGAAACTCCTTGTCTCCAAAATCATCCTCCCATTCGGCCTCGCCCTCACGCGCATCTCCGCGCAACAGCAGATCCTGATACTTGCGCATCACTCTCGACCCTCGCTTCATCAAGCTCTCCCCGCGCAGAAGTCCTCCCCAAAACCTCGATTTTTCCTTTTTCTGCTCCATCGCTGCCCGCCCTTTTGCCTCATGCAAAGTCCAGTCCACCTGTCCAACTTCCGCTAAGCGCCTTTTCCCCAATGGCGCTCTCGTAAGGTGCTGTCACAGAAAAAAAAAAAAAAAAAATCTCACGAAAAGTCGGTCAATCTCCCCAGGTTGGTGCGCATGGCCAGCCAGCTCTTTTTCTTTCTCTTTTGCTTTGGGCTTCCTTTCTTTAGCTTTCCCTCGGTAGCGAAATCATGATAGGTTGGACCGTGCTGGGCATACGAAAACCTGTTGGCGCAGTGATGATGCTCTTGAATCTTGCCGCAATGCAGTCGCAGCTCCAATACTCGGTGGTTGGGGGAGAGCCAAGGGAGGAGGGAAAACAGGTGACAATAAAAGGCAGATGCTTAAAAGCAATTGAAATGTCAAACAATGGAAGGGGGGGGCAAAATCCCCGAGTTGAGGCAGGACGTACATATAACATGCCACAATAGCCGCCCGCGCCTACCGGTGAACCAGCATCTGGCAAAATGAATCCCGAGGCCACGCGATTGTTCTTCTTCGCACACTTTGCAAGGGAGATTCGACAAAAGAGTGCAATTGTCGCAGAACAAAGATTGAGACAAAGGGGGAAAAGGGGATCTTTTCTTTGTGGTAGCAACACCCGCGTGCACGCATTTTATTTATTTATTCATCGAGCCCTGTTTCACTACGCGCACAAGCTCTGCGACAATAGGCCCTCATTCCATTCAATCATTTCAGCATCAAACCAAACGGAATCCCGAAAGCAAATACGAGGACACAGCTGAGACTCTCCAACTTCTGGATCATCAGTGTAAAAGAGCTATTTTGTCACGGAGCGCAAATGCTAACGGCATAGGCATAGCCCCCCAGACTCGTGCCTCTTCGGTACCACACGAACTGCATGATGCATGCTGCACTGCACTGCACATAAACACTGCATGCGAAATACGGAGTCTTACAAGGAATAGGACGGTGGAAAATGCTACCCTGATCACCTCCTCCTCCACCCCCGGCCCTTCCAAGGCCCAATCACCACCGCCATCACAGACCCCAAAGCCGCTTCCGGAACGCCGCTGGTCACACGGAGCGCAGGCCGGGATGCCGCTGAGTCCAACCCATCGGCCCAACATGAGCAGCAGCGCAAGTAAGGATTGATAATAGACACCGCACCTCGTCTTTTGTAGGTACAATTAGTAGGTATATTGATATGGATTAGTTAGCATCCCGTAGGCCCATCACTTGCGCTAAAAGAAAATAATACAACGTGAATACTCTCGCCCCCCGTGACGGGATGGTATAGCAAGTACACTGCACAGGCATATACACCATTGACAATGACAATCTGCCCATGAAATTCTCCAACACCAGGCTTCGGGTTTCCCCGGCCTCATCGCTGTTATACAAAATCAGATCATCCACCATGCATACATATACATCATGTCCTTAAATCAACTCATCCGTAATCGGCACATCCGCGTCAACATTCTTCATCTTGGCAAACGCCTTTTGATACTGCAGATACTGTTAGCTTCCATCCAAAAACCCCATCCGTTCGATATGCAACCGTAGTCTGTCTTACCTGAAGGATGAAATTGACAATGAGCGCAAGCATCATAGCCACGCTGATGATGATCGGCCCAACCATGTTGTCAAAGTCTTTGCCGCTCCTCTCCATAATCATGGTTCGGCGAGACTGCAGGATGCTGTAGCCCCAGATGCCCGCAAACGCCGCAATGGCAATGTACGCAATTCCAATCCACTGCGCAATCGCATTGTCTCCGGCAGCCGAGTACAGCGCCAGAGCCAGAGTGCCTTGCAGGATCGCAATGTGCTGCCATTTGAGAAACGTTCGCTCGTTGGCCAGCCATACCTTGGGCTCGACCTTGAGCTCTCCCGTGTTCTTGATCCACTGCGAAGGCTCCACTACACCGTCGGGGAGACGAGCCTGAGCTCGTTTGGCAACGGCATACTTGGAGAGGGACAGGCCAGGGAGAACGGACGACAGGGTCCCGTAGCCTGACTGCGCTCGGGAGCTGCCCTCTCCCTCTTCTTCTTGGCCTTGAGGAGGCTGCCTCTGCCGTAGAGATCGGGACAGGTACGCCGTGGCATCGGCCGCCATGCGATCAGCGAGATATGACTTTCCAACAGGTGAGCTCTGTGCTACCTTGTAAGAGCTTGGCACCGTTCCAATGAGACTTCCGACGGCCATGGCGTCATCGGCGCGCTGCGCCCGGCGTTGCTCCTCCTCCTCAAACGCCTTTTGCGGGTCCTTGCGGATATCCGTCTCGAGATCACCAAGCCAGAAGGGCAAGTTGTTCACGTAGTCGTCGAAGAGAGAGGCAACTCCGTGGACGAACTTGGAGAAGCGAGGGGTTGGGTGCACCAGGTGAGAGCCCATCAGATCCTCGATCCAGGATGGCCGCTTGCGGTTGCCGTCCTCCTTCAACTTGATCTCCAGCACGGCATAAGGAAATTTGGATACTTCGCTCTGGTTGATGTTCTGGAACGGGTACTTCATGTTGCTGTTGTCGATATCAGTTCGGTGCCACTCATTGGGATCTCGGCAGGGTCGCCTCTTGTCCAAGGTGTCCTCGCGGATAAAAGCGACGTCAGTGTCGATGGAGATGCGAACGCGGTCATCAGCAGGCTTCTGGAACGCGGTACGGACATAGTTGGCCCTCAACACTGGTGTCAGCTTTCTCCTCTGTTGGAATTCCTGGACCCTGGCAACGGTCGATTTGAAAGCTTCAATCTGCTCTGCGGTCGCGCCTTGTCTCTCCATCTTCTGTATCGCCTTTTCCGTCGAGTACTCTCCGTCGAGGAATTGCTTAATGTACTTGTCTTTGATTGTGAACTTTTGCTCCTCACTCCTGCCGGTGGCATCGGCCGACTTTTGCTCAACAAAGATTTCTGGTTTGGTGCTCAGTTGGCCGTACCATCGCAAACGTAAAGAAGTCACCTCCGACTGTTGTTCGACCTTTTCAGAGTATACCTCGAACTTGGAGTTGTCAAAATAGAGGGAGGTGATGGAAGGCGAGTCAGAGCCGTCAAGCTCCTTGGCGGATTGTTCGCTGTAGACGAGGGCGGGGAGGCGACGCAGGATCAGCGTCTTGACTTCCAGCAAGTTGTCGGGATGCACCCAGACTGCCAATTGCGTGTTAGTTAAACCAAACATAGCTTTCCTTTATAGCGGAAAGAGGACGAAATATAGTCAGCAGGTGCATCACTTACACTTGTGAGCCGTGTATCGCTCGCCGTTGTGTGTCTCTGCCGACGCCTCGAAATCGACCGGTGCCTGATCACCTTCCTCCAATTGCTGTCGAATGGCAAAATACATGACGGACAGCTTGTTCAGCAGAGGCGAGTAGCCCTGCTCCGAGTTGAAGGGGCGCTGGGCCAAGCTAAGCTGCATCATCGGCCGCACCTTGTAGCGATCGCCCCTCTTCCGGTCATGCTTCTTGACAATCTTGAGGAAGCTGGTATAGTTGATGTTGCTGTACTTCTTCAAGGCCTTGACCTCATTGGTGATCTCGTCGAGCTCTCCCTCGAGTTCCTTGAGCTTCGGGGTCAGCTCTTCGCGGCTGAGGCCTGGCTTGCTGCTCCCCTCGGCAGCACCGGCCTCGGCGCCGGACTCGGGAGGGGGAGCTAGCTCCTTGAGCTTCGCAAAAGCAGCCTCGACTCTCTGCTTCAGGGCATCGAAGCGCTCCTGTTGGAACTGGGCAACCTTTTCTAGCTGGACGTTGAAGATTTCGTCGCAGAAACGGCCCTCGTCCTCTTCGGTCCACACGGTCTCGTCATCCCTCTTGTCCTCTCGCAGGAGGCTCTTGAGCTTGCCGTAGTCGACGTACTTGTCCTTCCATGGCGGGTATATCGACTCGCGAAGGGTCTTTCCGAAACGCATTTCGTAGGTCTGCTATGGAAGATCAACCCCGTCGGCAAGCAATTGAACTGAATTGGAAGATGTATTCGTCGATTCGCCGCCTCCCAATGGGATGGGTCAACGTTGAAGCTTTGCCCTGCCTGGTGCAGCGGTGAATGGCTCCAGCTGCTAACTGAGCTGGAATGCAAGACTGGATGGCAAAACGAATGGAAGGAAAACCAACAAGGTATCGATGCAGCTAGGTACGCAGTTTGCGGCGAGAGCAAGATGAGAAGCAAAGTTCTGCCTCGAATGGTCCAAAGAAGGCAAAAAAAGAAAAAAAAAGAAAAAAAAACTTCCAGACAAAGGCGCGTACAAAGTCCAGCTCGTCTAGATCCCGCCACACGTGCCTCCAGGCCTTGCCCACGGAGGCCTTTGCACAGCTGCGAGCTTCACTGTATCCACAGCACTAATCTCATCCACAGCACCACTAATCTCATCCACAACAGCACTCATCTTCGATGCTACAGACCGCTAGCCTCACTGTCCGGGAAAGCCGCCAACCCCACTTGGGCTCCGTGCCGTTCCAAGCGCAAAAAAAAAGAAGCGAGCCTTCGAACTTGTGCCTACTTGTACATATTTTGACGGGCCTCAGTGGGTTCTCACTCCTTTAGTGCAACTACACAGCGGTTTGCAAGCTTGAGCCTATCACCCACGCCTTACGCAGCACGTGCGGTCCTCTGGCTTGCTACCGGAAGCAGCTCAAGCTGGAGCTACTGCACCGAAGCTGATGAGATCGGGCAAAATGACGCAGCTGCCCCGCAAGTCCCTTTGTTTGAGCCGATTGGACCAGAGCGAGAAGAGCATAAATACATGGATATAATACGAGAGTGTAAGAGCAGAATCGTCACTGATGGATGGAGCGAGAACAATGACAAAAGTTCAATTGAGCTTGTGGGCAGCAATTATTCCGAGCAGAATCAGTCAATTGATGGTGATGATTAAACTTCATCTTCTTTAATTACTTCATACAGCAAGCGTACATATCCGAGAAACTACTAGTATATGGACCAGAAGAAGTGGAACCGAGGCACAGTAAACACGTAAAATAATGTTGTGGTATCATTGCTAGAGATAAATATATCTGAAAACTAGAAAAAGAAAAAAGAAAAACAAGAAAACATATATGAAAGCTACCAGCTACATAGCACATATTCGATGATAAAACACCACGCTTCATGACTCGTCCCATGCCCCTTTACTGCGCTGCGATCTTGGTGAAAATCTCCTGTGCAGTCCGCTTCACAATACCACCCGTCACCGGCAAGTTGGTGCAGGCCTCCAGGTACAAGTCCACCTCACGGGCTGCCATACGGCCTTCGTTGATACCCCAAACGATGAGAGACTGGCCACGACGAGCATCACCGGCAGCAAAGACACCCTCCACATTGGTGCTGTACTTGCCAGGGGCAGTCTTGACGTTCTTCCGGGCGTCCTTCTCAATCTCATCTCCCAGAACGCGAGCCTCGGGTCCCAAGAAGCCCATGGCCAGCAGAACGAGGTCGGCGGGGAAGAATTGCTCAGAGCCCTCGACCTTCTTCATGTCCCAACCGCCACTGGGGTTCTTGGTCCACTCAACGCGAAGAGTGTTGATGCCCTTGACCTTGCCACTACCATCGTCGATAAACTCCTCGGACATGATGCAGTACTCACGAGGATCCTTGCCGTCGTGCTGGCGGACCTCCGTGTGACCGTAGTCGACACGGTAGATACGGGGCCACTGGGGCCAAGGGTTGTCGTTGGCACGCTCATCAGGAGGCTGAGGCAGCAACTCAAAGTTGGTGACCGACTTGGCGCCGTGACGGACTGAGGTACCAATGCAGTCGTTACCGGTATCGCCACCACCAATGACCACAACGTGCTTGCCCTTGGCAGAAATGTAGGAGTTGTCGGCAAGTTGAGAGTCGAGGAGAGACTTGGTGTTCTTGTGAAGGAACTCCATGGCAAAGTGGATGCCCTCCAGGTTGCGTCCCTTGATAGGGAGGTCACGAGCAACAGTAGCACCGGTGGCAATGACGACAGCATCGTTGCTGGCCTTGAGATCAGCGAGCGAAGGCTGGCCCTCCGCACCGATGGCTACGCCAGTCTTGAATTCGATGCCTTCGGCGGCCATGAAGTCGGTTCGGCGCTTCACAATTCGCTTGTCCAACTTCATGTTGGGGATTCCGTACATCAGGAGACCACCCAAGCGGTCGGCGCGCTCATACACGGTCACGCTGTGACCAGCTCGGTTGAGCTGATCGGCAGCAGCCAGACCGGCAGGACCAGATCCGACAATGGCAATCTTCTTGCCGGTGCGGACCTCTGGAACGCGGGGAACCATCCAACCCATCTCGAAACCACGGTCAATGATGGCACACTCAATCGACTTGATGCCAACTGGGTCGCTGTTGATGCCCAAAACGCAAGCTCCCTCGCAGGGGGCGGGGCAGACACGACCAGTGAACTCGGGGAAGTTGTTGGTCATGAGCAGACGGTTGAGTGCATCCTTCCACTGGTTCTGGAAGACAAGCTCGTTCCACTTGGGGATGATGTTGGAGATGGGGCAGCCGGTATCAGATTGACAGAAGGGGACACCGCAGTCCATGCAGCGAGCAGACTGGTACTTGAGCTCGTCCTCGTCGAGACGGGAGCTGATCTCGGCCCAATCCTTGGTCCGGGTAGCGACGGAGCGGTACTTCTCGGTACGACGAGCGTACTTCATGAAACCCTTTGTCTTATCGAGGACCAGAGCTCGCTTCTTCTTCTCGGCAGAGCTATCTCCAATAGCCTCCTCCATGTCCTGGAGCTTGGCGGCCTTGTCATCTTTCTTGCCGTGTGCGCTAGAAATCACGGGAAGGTTATATTCGGCGCGCTTGGCTTCTGCGGCCTTGACGGCCTCCTCTTCCAGGACGCGCTTGTAATCTGTAGGAAGCACCTTGACGAATCGAGGCAGAGCACGGTTGAAGTCGACAAGGATGCGTGCGGCCCGCTCAGATCCAGTGTAGTGGTGGTGATCTTCGATGAGACCGCGAACGTAGGCAATCTCAGCGGGATCCTCAAGAGGACCGTACTCGACCATTTCGGTGTTGAGCTTGGAGATGAAGTCCTTCTTCATGTCTAGCACATACGCAATACCACCAGACATACCGGCAGCAAAGTTACGGCCAGTGCTACCCAGGATAACGATTCGTCCACCAGTCATGTACTCGCATCCGTGGTCACCAACACCCTCGACAACGGCCGTAGCACCAGAGTTGCGGACAGCGAATCGCTCAGCAGCGACACCACGGAAGAAGCATGTTCCGGCTGTCGCACCGTACAAGCAGACATTGCCAATCAGAATATTCTCTTCAGCCTTGAACACGGCAGAACGAGGAGGGTAGACAATCAGACGACCGCCAGACAAACCCTTGCCGACGTAATCGTTGGAGTCACCCTCCAGTTCGAGAGTGATACCGGGTGCGAGGAAAGCACCGAAAGATTGGCCGGCAGATCCCTTGATGTTGACGTGGACGGTGTCGAGCGGCAGACCCTCTCCGCCATATCTCTTCGAGATCTGGTACGACAGCGAGGTTCCCATTGCACGATCTGTGTTGACAATGTCGCACTCAATTCGAGAGGGAAGGCCCTTGTCGAGAGTCAACTCAGCCTCGGAAATGAGCTTGTTGTCCAATCGAACGTAGAGCTTGTGGTCCTGCTTGCGGACGTTGAACGTAGCAACGCCGGGTCGGAGTCTGTGGGCAGGGGTCAGGAGCAGAGACAGGTCAATGTTGGCCGTCTTCTTAGTGCGCAAATCGTCTCGCATCTTGAGGACTTCGACACGGCCAACCATCTCGTTGATGGTTCGGAAGCCCAGCTTGGCCATGATGGCTCGGAGCTCGTTTGCCACATAGTAGAAGAAGTTGATGACGTGCTCAGGGGTACCAGTAAACTTCTTGCGAAGCTCGGGATCCTGTGTAGCGATACCCACAGGGCAGGTGTTGAGGTGGCATTTGCGCATCATGATGCAGCCCATGGCAATCAGAGGAGCGGTAGCGAAACCCCACTCTTCGGCACCCAGCAGACACGCAATAGCAACATCTCGGCCTGTTCGGAGCTGGCCGTCAGTCTGCACCACGACACGGCCACGCAAATCGTTGAGAACCAAAGTTTGGTGAGTCTCTGCAAGACCAAGCTCCCATGGGAGGCCGGCGTACTTGATACCGGTCCATCGGGAAGCACCAGTGCCACCGTCGTGTCCAGAGATCAAGATGTGATCAGCCTTGGCCTTGGCCACACCAGAGGCGACAATGCCCACGCCGACTTCAGACACAAGTTTGACAGACACGCGAGAACGAGGGCTCGAGCACTTCAAGTCATAGATCAACTGCTTGAGATCTTCGATGGAGTAAATGTCGTGGTGGGGAGGAGGCGAGATGAGACCGACACCAGGGGTAGAGTGTCGAGTACGAGCGATGGACTTGGAGACCTTGTGTCCAGGAAGCTCGCCACCCTCACCGGGCTTGGCGCCCTGTGCCATCTTGATCTGCAGCTCATCAGAGTCTGCGAGATAGGCAGACGTGACGCCAAATCGACCAGAAGCGACCTGCTTGATGGCAGAACGCATCGTGTCGCCGTTAGCCTGGCGCTCTGATCGCTCGGGATCTTCGCCACCTTCGCCGGTATTGGACTTGCCACCCAATCGGTTCATGGCGACAGCGAGGGTAGAGTGAGACTCCATTGAGATAGAACCGTAGGACATGGCACCAGTGCAGAAGCGTCGGACGATGTCAGTCCAGGGTTCGACCTGGTCAATGGGGACTGGATTGCAATCATCAAACTTGAAATCCAACAGACCACGAAGGGTGCAAGACTTGATCTGCTCGTACTCGCTTCGCGAGTAGGCCTCGTAGGACTTGTCATTCTTGGCGCGAACCGCATCTTGGAGGTTGGCAATGGCGGTTGGGTCGTTGACGTGAGCCTCGCCGCCGTCTCGCCAGTGGTATTCACCGGATTCTGGG